TGCCTGGGAGGAGTGCGAGAGTATGGTCACCTTAAATCCACTGTGGCACCTGGAAAATAGCCAGATGATGCTGTGGAAATGGAAAATTTCCTCGTGACACTTAATATGACAGCAGGTTAACAAAAGAGGAAACACAAGGGACTCAGTGGACTTTTACAAATGTTTCACTGAAAGATAGATTGTTTTACACGTCGCCAAAGACGTATATATCCAGAACATGTTTTTATAGTGTCTGAGCCCAGGGTCTTTTTTTTATTGTTGCACGTATATTTCAATGCTTGCTTTAAAACAACAATGCAAAGAAGAATAGACTGAAAGCACTGCCGGCTACAATCTGTCGTATATTAGGGGTTGTTTTGACCAAAGGTAGTACAAATATACAAGGCATGATTTGATACTGACGTCACAGCAAAGATGAGTATTAGCATCGAGACTTTAAAATTCATAGAAAACACGTCTTTGCTGATATTTATTTCCTTGAGAGATCAGTCTTTAAGTCAGTTTTGGCGCCCCCTGTGGACAAAGCAATCTTTGCTTATCTTGTCCTCTTAATGCTCAAGTAGTGACATCTTTTAAAAATATCCCTCTGCTAATTTTGACGGTCAAATGTGTCCTTTATTGTTTCATCTGGAGAATATAACCATGGCTGTTTCTTTAGCTTCTCAGCTGACACTCCCTCATAATAGTTACAATAAAAATTGTAGTTTAAAAATAATCAGTCCTGTCACTGACTGTCTTGTTTACTTTAATAAGTCTATAAAAAGCAATAAAACAAATTTATATTTTATACCATCCAAAAACTCCTCACAGGAGCTTTAAAAAACAAAGTTGAATTGCGTGTATATAATTCCCAGTTTTTAAAGTCCATGTCAACAAAGTAAAACAGCTCTTACTTATATGATCTCGTTTTCAGATATATGCAAGGAAATAACCTTTATGATCTTGATTTTTAGACGTATTACTCCAGAAAAAAGAAAAATGCTGCACTACTGTGGTATGAAACTATGACTTAAAGGTAAGGGACAGCTTTGAAATCCTGTGACTGGCCAGACTGTGCCAACCTGATAATATCTCTTAGACTTGAGTCTCCCAGGATGTAATGTGGTCTGTATTCGGTCAGTTGACACCCATTTGGCGAGCCCTGGTTAAACTTCTCGGTCTGCGCACTCTGCAAACCCCTCAGTACTCCCCTCATCCGCCTGATCGTCTGCACCTGTATGCTTAGCTTTTAGGCGGTAGCTTGAGCTGGAAGTAATCGTTGATATTTTAAATCTTTGTGACATGAAGTGAATAACACTCTGCTTTTTTAAAAGCACAGTGGTGTTATTTTCAATCATGGCAGCAGCAGGAAGCAGGAAGACACTGCAGTGGCATAACTACAGGGGGCTGAAAGGGACAAAATAACAGGATAAAAATAAAGTCGGTTTTGCTTTGTGATAACATTTCCGTCCTATGATCGTCAACTAGGATAAAAGTGGACGTTTTCTGTGAATACAAGTTGATGACTCTGTTTTTGTGTATGTAGCAGTGATGTGTGAAAGCCTTGTTCACAGTAAATGAGCTTCCATTAAGCCCACTGGCCTCTCCTCCCCCACTGCTCCTCCACTAATCATTGGCTGACTGTCGGGGTGCTCCTCTTGGTGGCCCGGGTGGCGGCCTGGTGAGAGGTCGTGTTGGATTAGAAAGCGCCCTGTGTGATATAGGTTACTGCACGGAGATAGTAGCGGGGTGCCAGGGTGGGGGGCGGAGACTTCAAACAGACGCACACACACTCGCACAGACGCATGACTCATAGTAGTGACAAGGGCGTGTGTTTGATAAATCTACCGTCATGGTGCTGTGGATTATTTTCTTTTATCACCGCCGCTCTAAAGGCTGATGCATGTTGTTGTTGTTTTCCTAAAGCTGTGAGGGATAAAGACCTTTGACTATAATCAGAAAAAAATCACATTTGCACATCTTTATTTCCTAAATGTCGTTGCTTAGAAACCAAACAGTGCTTTTCAAGGTCTCTGTGTCATTTAAACGGATAATTTCATGCAGCTTCTACCTCTAAAAACACTTTTCAATTATGCTGTGTTTACCAAAATGAGTTATTTTCGTTTCATTATGACTGCCATTATCTGTCTTTATACACAACCTGGTCCCACATCTGTTTTTCTTCCAGGAGTGTATTTTACCTTCCCTTATATTAAACAAATCCGAGTCTGGCCTTTAGAGGGCACTGCAGCGCAGACTCTCGCTCATTTGAAACAGTCAGAGCTGAAATCAGTCTGTAGATAAGTCAGGAAGAAGCAGAAGCTGATGAGACTTTCATAAATCTATTAAGCTCCTCAAAGGGATTCATGTTTCATCTGTGCTTTTAACTGTCTTTTTTCACTCCAGTCTTGATCAGCCTGACTCACAGTCGGCGTCTGAGGCAGGTGTTTGTGGTGACAGACGAAAATTCATTCTCATGTCTGTAACCATGGCAGCAACAAAGAGAGAGAGAGAGAGAGAGCGTGAGCAGAGGGAGAGAAAGTCCTGCTCACTGAAAAATAAAACATCCCACAATGTCAATTTAGCTCTATTTTCCATGAGCAATTGTGAGCCAATTTGCCTCAAACTTCGTTAAAAGTCCCTTTGTTGTCACAATATAAGGTCAGCGTCTATCTCGCTTCATTAAGCCCGAGGCCGACTTCATATGAGGAGTCCTGCGGTGATAGTCAGGGGTCATTCTACTCAGCAGGTTTGCATGAATAATAGATGGCCTGGTTTGGGAGATTAGGAGAGGTCACCACACAGAGGAGGAGGAAACAGATGTGATTCTGTGTGATGGGCAGGATATACGTCAGGAGAACATCGAGTAGATCCTGCAGCTGCATGTCACACGATCACTTTTGGATCTAGTGACCTTAAAGCTGCATCTCGATGTGTTGGGTTACATTACTCCTGAAAGTAAGATTGTTTCATCATACAGTTAGTGCCGGTACAGTACTTAAGTGTTACCAAATACTCAATAGAGACACCAGAGCCGCATTCCTGTCATTTGTACCTGCAAGAAGTCGCCCTTAGAGTCTCCTTTAGTAGCGAGTGCAGGCCTCAGTAGTTCTTGCAGTTTGTCCTCAGGGGCATCCTGGCACTCAGCGGTACCCAGTATCTTACTTATATGGCTGTAGGCAAGTGAAACAGAAATCTATTCAATCGTAGACCTCTTTACCGCTCACATATGTGCACGGTGTCTGAAGATCTGCTAATTAGCTGTTCCATTTCTTCACAGATGGATAAAACCTTCATATCTGTAGAGGAGAGGCTAATCAGTCTGGTAGCTAGGGTGACCATCGTCTGAATCCCCAAAAAGAGGACATGACTATGGGGGGGTTGAGTCACAGAGTCACGGGTAGTTAATTTTGAAAGTCTTTTGGGTTGGGTCAAGTGTTTTTTACACACTAAGTCCACGCGACACAAACTCAAAACTTCCTTACAAAACCGCAGACATTTGAAGGATTTTATAAACTCCCCCGGACAAAGATGGACAGCCTGGACAGCCCCTTAAAAGAGGTTTGTCCGGGTAAAAGAGGACAAATGGTCACCCTACTGGTAACTCACTGACAGTATTTTATAATACACCTAATGTGAAATAATGAGTGAAAAAAGATTTGAAAAAATACTTCTAATCTTTCCAATTCACTTAAAAGTCAACATTGGCAACCGAAGTGAGGGAAATAGCCTGTTAGAAAGTTGGCAGCATGCTAGCTAAGCCCCCACACTACAGTATCTCTAAAATCCAAAATTAAGTCAAAATCATTGAATGCACTGGAGGCCTAAATATTACAGGGAACACACTAGCAATGAATGGCTGGTTGACCTGCCAGGGTACAAGTTCCTGCAGCTGATAGGATTTGTGCTCCAGACACAGCTTAACATTCTAATCTTTCCAGTTCACTTTAAAGTCAACATTGAAAACCGAAGTGAGGGAAATAGCCTGTTAGAAAGTTAGCAGCATGCTAACGAAGCCCCCACACTACAGTCTCTCCAAAATCCAGGAGTAAATCAAAATCATCCACCTTGTAGCTAATAGTCTTGTTTGCTTTCATGTTCCATAGAAAGGCGTCGATATGAATTCTTGTTTAGGTAATAAATGTCAAAAAAGCAGTTAAATCGGAGTCGACTTGAATCACAGACACTGGTGAAAAGTTATTTAATCCTTTATTTTCTTTGCTTGTAAATTTCACAAACACATGGTCACCCCTCACAGGTGACCCATTTACACAGGGTGGAAGATGTCAAACGTTACATTTGATTGGAGTGGCAGTGTCACATGACCATCTGGACAGGAGCAGTGTTTTTCAAACATCACATTTGTTAAAGTGTGGCAGTGTCACGTGACCATCTAGACGGGAACCCGTGTCTCACATATCCTCTTCACCTTCTCAAGAGCAACGCATAAGAGTAATCAAATTTATTAAATACTTCATATACCTATTTTTAGATTTATCTTTATATATTTTTTTAGATTTAATCTTCGTATACATGCATTTCTTTAACATGCAAGGTAATTACAATGTTACACTTTGCATAAAATAAGCTTATTCAACTCATCAAACTTAAGGACAAACTCCCGCTCGACAAGGGCGAAAAAAATCAAGAAGCTATTTACAAATGCTCTTCAACAGATCTGTGTGTCATCACGCTTCTTACACAGTCAACCTCAGTGGTTTGTTCGCACACCGTTCATCACATAACTTAGATCTGCAATCCTGTATTTACCTTCCAATTACCAATGTCAGTACATGACGTCTTTTAACACAAGATGCAATATTTTCATCCAATATAAATAAAGTTTTAATCATTTTGAATCACAAATGATGATAATTATGTTCTCCTTTATGTAAACAGTGTAATGATAATAGTTCATAGTATTTTTATTATAAGCAATATTTTCTCTAGTAAAACTTTGTGAAATACTCGGATCATTAAAGTACTCGAGTTATCAATAACAGGAGATCATCTGGGGGTAATCACAAATATATGGACCAGTAGATCACGTTAAAGAAGAGGAAAGAGAAGGGGAAAAGAGCTCGGGCGTACAGGTCGACTTTTTTGGCAGCAGAGGGGATGACTGGTTTTGGAGGGGGAACTTTCTTGTTGTTCTTGGACTGTGATTTTCCGGGACCGGCACCGGTATCGATCGGCTTCCCGTAGCAGTCAAAGTTCGACAGCTCAAAGTCCCGGGGGAGCGAGCCCACGATGCTGAAGTCGTTGGTTCGTAGGTCTGATTTTGAGGTGCACACCTTCTTGCAGCGAGTCTCCGCCACCTGGGAGAAAGCGAGCAGCATGAGGGTAAACAAGAAAGATTAATACAGTCTGCAGCAGGGAATTCATCCATCTGAAATCCATAAGGCGAGATAAGATTAGACTAAAAGTCTGAAGGCGCTGCTGGCAGCCCCTGAGGTTGTGTAGCTTCACTAAAGTGGTTAAAAACTCATCTGATGAGCAGCAGACTGGGATTACTGTGCAGGGAGCCGTGCAGTCTGACAAGCAGTACGATCAGGGATCATTTAATTCACATATTGATTGAATAAAATTCGGATTCGCTCTGTAACTTTTCTTCTCTGGTTTGCTTTATTTATGGGACGTTCCTGCTCATTGTTTAGTTTTGTCTGTTTCATTGATTTACAGCCTGTTACCAGCCTTTGCTTCAAAACCTTACAGACATAAAGCCTTTGTTTTATTGGCACCTGATCTGTGTCAGATTCCTTCTTCAAGGGTCTGAGCTCATCATGGTTCCCATTAGTCATCCTTGCATAAACAATCACATATTGAACCAGATAGCCTTCATTGAGCACCATGGCTGTATTAGAGCGACTTTTGATCAATTCAGTCTAATTTTCGACAAATAACACAAATTAAATTAAAAAACTACATCAGCGAAGATCTTTGAACGACTGAGACAACACCATCCTGCATGGTCAGTATTCAGTCCTCTTGTTTTCATCCCTTCGATCTTTATAAAGCTCTTTGTATTTATTACTCTGTATGTAGTGAATGGAGAGATGCACAGTAGAAGTTCATATTGGTTGAATCAAACAGCCTCTAAAGATCACTGAACCCAGTTTAGCAGCTGGACTCTTCTACTACAGAGCCATGCTGTTGTAACACAAGAACATAGTTGCTTATCTTTGTCTTGCTGAAATATGTAAATAAAATACACCGACAACCTGTTTTTGCAGGTTTTTGGGAGTGATTTTGAGCTCATGCAGTGATCTCCACTACAGAGTCGTGTCTGTTTCTAATGCGGTGTTGCCTGAGGGTGCAGAGATAACATCTTATCGGTATAACCCTGTCCTTTTTGGGCACAGATATCTCCAGATTCTGAGTTTTGTACCTGTGTTATCTCCCTCAGATAATGATCTCCAAAACTTTCTGAAACTTCACCCTGAGGAATGTTATTCAGAAGTTGGTGAACTATTTGATCTCCATGTCTGAGAGACCCAGCTTAACTGGATACTCTTTTTATACCTTGTTATGTTATTCACCCATTGCAAACTATCCTAATTACTTGGACAGATCCTTCCGATAGTGTGGGTTTTTTAACCATTGTAAAATATTTTAGTATTGTCTTGTCTCCATTCTAACTTTTTCAAAAAAGGTCAAATTTCTTCACTTTCAACATTTAACACACAACCTGGATGATTTGCAAACTATGTAAATCTGTTTTTCCTTTTGGGAATTAGGGCTGTACTTTTTGCGACATTTAACTATCATTGAATATCCTCTCTTTAAGGATTGTTTAGCACAAACTGATAGAAATGTCTCACTCTGTGAAAACCACTGAATTTCCTGCTTGGTGTGATCTCTACCTGATGGATAAAAAAATGTGTGTGAGTGTAAACAGCAGAAGTCTTTTCATCCTGACTGTGAGAAACACTCAAATGAGTTTGTTCAAGACTGTTGGACCAAAAAAACGGACTCCACTTTAAAAACCTAGTAAAGGATCTGTTTGATCCTGAAGCTTGGCCTGGAAGAATATATTTTTTAAAGTCTGATCTTCGGAGCCAAAATTAGACGCACTTTGTGTTTTACAGTGCCGCCTAATTTGGTTGTTCTCTTATGCTGGGATCTTGCGGCCGTTTTGCACACTCTGCGTGATATCCCAACGGACAACCGGTGCTCATTAGATCTATCAACAGAAGAATGTAGTTTAGTGTCATCCAAAAAAATCCCTTTCATCCATGTCCCTGAAGGCCTGCAGGGTGAACAGGATCTAATCAGACTTTGGCTGCTTACTCACTGAAGTCATTAAGCTCATTAAGGCTTCATTATTTTGATTCGGTTTTGACAAGAAAACCCATTAAACCTCAACGGAATAATGTAATCCTCTAAAAATCAAATGTAGTTCGGACTAACATGGAGCTGGAGATAAATTCATTTCAATTAGGTCTGCAAGTGGTAGGAGCTGCGCAACATACCGCAGCTCTGATGTGCATGTGAGTGTCAGAAATGGTCTTTGCATGTGTGGCATTAGTGAGGGCAAATTTTAATGATTGAATGTGAGTGTTTTTGAATTTATATGAGGTTTCTCTGCCTCACTGCTACAAAGTTGTGTCATTAATTTATGGTGGTAATTATCTAAGGCACCAATACCCAAAGACACCCTGACAGACCTTTTAAGATGGACCATCGCCAATCAGATTTGGACCTCCTAGTCTTTGACCTTTCCTTTTTGGTTTTGAGTCGATTTCCAAGCTTTCATTATTTGTTTGGTTTCGATGTATTTTAAGTAGGGAGATGGAGAAACGCTCATTAATGTGGTCTAAAAAGCGGCAACGATGGATACAAAGCAGATCTACTGACGTGTAGGGTGCTGACATGAAGCGGCGTCCCTCCTGTCCCGTTGACCGTGTTGTTCCTGGCAGCAGGAATCTTCCCTGCAGCTTTCTCCTTAGTTGCCATCTTGGCCTTTTCAGCCTCGATGCGCTTCGGGCTGTTGAGCATCACTTGAACCACGGCGTACTCTACCAGCGAGGCGAAACCGAACAGCAGGCAAGCGATGAGCCAGATGTCGATGGCCTTGACGTAGGACACCTTGGGCAACTCGGAGGCCAGGGAGGTACACTCAGAGGACAGCGAGAGGACAGAGAGGATGCCTTTACGGAGAAGGAAGACAGGTGACATGATTAGTCAAAAAGGGAGAAGATTTGAATAGACTACTAGTACTTCTCATACCAAACAAACCTTTTGAAACCGTGCAACAAGCGATCGACCAGATGAAATCCATCTTGTCAACCACTTTTACCATTTGGGGTCTTGGGGGAGGGGTAGGAGCCTCCCCCAGATGTCACTAGGTAAGGGGACGATGGGTTGTTTGCAGCAGAAGACAACCAGAAACATCACACTCTCACCTAGGGGCAATTTAGAGTGACCAATTAGTCCAACAAGCATGTCGTAGGACTGTGGGGGGAACTGTCCGCACACTGCTTCACCTTAACAACAAAAAAACTGATTGTATATTTTAATTGGAGAACATCTGAGTTTGCCAACTGTATAGCCAAAAGATTCAGAACTCCCCCTGCTGACTGGCTGCAGTATAAGTCATAAGCCCCGCCCCCAGCAATCTGAAGGATCATGGATGTCTTAACATTTACTTAAATGTGTATCTTGGTTTGTGGAGAGGGTGTGACATCTATTCTGCAGTTGTTTGGCTTCACCTCTCATGATAAGCAAAAATGAAGTCATGTTATCCATTTTACATCCAGTCCATTTGTACAGAGTAATGAATTAAGTGTTAATAAAAACAGAAAAATATGACTAACAGGTTAATTTTTGGATTCAAGGTCAATTCCGTATTCTTGTCTCATTTTGGTCTTTGGTGTTTTGGGTGCGTTTTGGTCCTCGCCAAGAGATTTGGGTATCAACGCTCAGCTCTGGATGATCATGATGATGTAACCGCAGCTTTCATCACACACCACTAAAAAGAGACAGTCCTGCCTGTGACGTCTGACTGTGAGTTTCAACAGAGCAGAATCCAATAATCCATTTCCTGCTTTGAGGAAAAGACAAATGCGTTTCCTCTTCAAAGCTCAAGATGATGACTGATTTCGTCTTTCCCTGTTCACTACAGCTGAGTATGAAAAATGGAGGACATGTCTGCGGCTACGATTTCGTGACCCTTTCTTTACCTCTTTTATCGGGATCATCTCCGAGAGCTCAGACAGCCTCTAATGAACGTAATTTCAAATTGTTTTATCTCTGATCGCTCACAGGATTGCAGGTTAGAGTCTTCCCCTGCACCTGCGCAGCAGCACCTCTGCCAGGCTTTATCAGCAAGACCTAAATGGCTCCTCTGAGGGTTTTATAGCTACAAATGAAGGGCTTCACTCCCTTCACCTAGTGTAATGATTCTTTAGAGAGATAATAAATACAATGAGATGACCGATGGGTTCTTTGCCTCCTGGCCTCATTACAGTCACTCATCGAGGGGGAGTTCGTACAGGGTTCAGGGTTTTTGAGTCAGACTACTCCCCCTCACTAGGAGGGAGTGTTAATGTGAGCATTGTCATCTTTGAATCCCACCTGTTATCCACCAGGAGAGGAAGAGCTGGTGATTCTGAAACAGCTTTGTTTGTCTTGTTCCCCGATGACACTCTGAGTACAAAGTGAAGCTGGTCTTTGATTCAAGACTGTTTCTGTCATGCAGTGGTAAACCTGTTTTAGGGGTTACATGTGATTTTTTTTTTTCTTCTCTGGAAAGAAAACACGAAGTACACGGAAATGGAAGATTTTCATTAAACACAAGGAGGCAGAAACACACACACACTCAGACACACACACACAACAGCACAGAGCAATAAATGAGAGTAGTCCCACACCTGGGTGTTGACTGACCTGGACTGATCCCATTTAGAGAGGAGTCAGAGGAAGCTTCCAGGAGGAGTTGGAGTGATGATGGGATGGAAGTGGTGATAAACAACTGGAGGGAGGATGGAGAAAAGGAGGTGGTGGAGGACTGGATCGGGATAAAAATGGATTATCTCAGCCATGCAGCTCTGCACACACACAGTGGTGACCGTGTAACACTGTATGTGGATGACAGTGACACATCACATGCAGGTTTAATTATGTGGGAGGAACATGAGAAGATGGCACGGACATTTTCCCAAATGGGAATCAAGTCTTAAGGGAGCTGAACTTTTCCCATCATGCATGGTGAGGTGACAACTGCAAACAAAGGGAACACTGGAGATCTTGTTTGTGTCCAACCAAAATACAACATGAAGTACCAGCCCATTGTAGCAGTCTCTGCAGGTTGTTTAGGTAATCCATCTGGGGCTACTTCATGCTTGGCACATTGTGCTCTTCTCCGGCTTGAGAAAAACAGCCCTGCTCTTCATGCGCCCCAGCGTACCTCTTCATTAATTGGGTTAATCGGGATCAGGTATGCTTCGTTGGCCACCTGAGTGTCAATTGGTCCTCTGTGTCTGCTGAAAAATCCTTCAAACCCGCAGTGATTTGCATAAGGATTTACCAGAAAGACCCTTAATTAGCCAAGCCTGGTAGCTGCATAACTTTAACTTCAGGACACAAAATGGTGTCAAAGTTTGGAAATCAGCAACCGCAGTAGGAATCACATCCAGATATCAGGCTGATACAGCATCATAATGTGGCCCTGACGTAGTCTATGTGATACAATTCACTAATAGTTAATTAATATTGTTTTTGCAAAGACAGATGCAGCTACTTTGAGAGCAGGTTGGCTGATGGCGGATATGTAATTTAATGATAAACGAGAAACAGCTGATATATAACTCCATTACTTCATGCTTATTACAATCTAATTTACATGCTTAGGTTGGCCAGTATCGTGTTTTAGACCGATTTTAATGGTAATTTATGGACCAGGGAATTATACCAGAGCATGACTGGTTACAGATTTGATATGCTGTTATTTAGTATGGAAAAAATCACGTTATCATTTAAAGATAAGGTAATTTAATTAAACATGAATAGCAGGATGCATGTGTTTATAAAAAATATAATAATGAGCTAAAGTTAAATGAAAAGAGTAGAAAACAAACCTCCATCGGTTCCTATTGCGTAATCTGTTCGTATGTTTTGTATTGAGTGACTGGAGGCGACACTGATGAGATTGTCCTCTACGTCTGCAAACGTTATTTCTATTTTCCAATTGGTCTCCTGAGCGCAGGTATCTACTGCTGCTGCTGATGATTTGAAAAAGCTATTAAGCAGCTCAACTAATTACATCTTAATTGAAAAAATAGTGTGCTCTAAATAGATTTTGACTCAGTGCGTCACTACTTTGTGACCCTTTGCAACAGCGATAACGACTTTTGTTTATTTTGTTTTATTAAACTAGTAAAGCCTCATTGAGATTAAAAATTCAGTGTATTTCCTTCTAAGTTCACGTTACTTTTGCTTTTTTAACTTACAGACAAAATACATAAATATCAAAATTCTCTAAGCATGTACCAGGGAGGAGGGTCCCATCCGTCAATTACAGCTGGAGTCAGTGATTTATCACACACAGGACAACAGTTGACATGCCACCATGCTTGATAGATAAAGTCCTTAAGGCTGTCAGAGTGATTGATGATGTCATGTTGGAGATGATTAGGGCCACAGTGTCACTGATCCTTAAAACATATAAATCCTACTATGGTTTTTATTTTATGGACCACAATCTTTCCCCTCACGGCTTTTTGCAGCAGGACTTTTCACACCTAATTACCCCGGTAACACCAGCACTCCTGCACATGCCTCTGTTTTGATTTTACCAACCACTTACACAGTCTGCCCTGTTTAACACCGTGAGGAATACTCACAGATGTTGAGTATTGGTGAAATGGATTAACTAATCCTTACCCAAAGGGACGCGGGCAGCACTGGCATCAGGGTTGATCCAGAAGGACAGCCAGGAGAGGACTACGATGAGCAGCGTGGGGGCGTAAACACCCATCATGTAGAAGCCCACCTGTCGCCTCAGGGTGAAGATGACCTCCACACAAGTGTAGTACCCTGCAAGAAGAAAGTCATGTTTTTACAATCCTGCTAGTTGTGAGCTATGAGTGGAAACACTCCTCTGCTGGTCACTTGTCTTATATCGTCTTTTTTTTTTGTTTTTTTTAACTGAGGAAAAGTATATCATTATTCTTTTTAATGTATGATCACAACCTAAAGAGAAGAAGCGGTGCAAGATTCATCTTCCTCGCTGTGTATCCATCTTGCTTTGGTAGTTAAGCAGTCACTTGTTGCTTTGAGCGCCATCTTCAGGGTGAAATACTGTATTGCATCAAAATACCTTTTTCTGGTATATTGGTTGCAGCTCACTTTTCAAGCAACACAAAAAAGTATTAGGTGTGTCTTATACACCCTTTTTTTTCTCCCAATCTAGAAACTGAGACTTTGAAAGAAAGAGCCAACTAGGGTGAGTTTCACTGAAAATGAAAATTAAGGCTGCAACGATTAGTTGACATTGTGGACAAAAATCGAGAATATAAAAAAGTCAACAATGATTACCATTGTCGACTTTTTTTGCCAGAGGAGTGGAGTGAGGCATCTTACTTCATTATGATCTCTGCCTAGAGTCACACGTGCGCAATAGTGTCTCCACCAAATGGTAGAGCTGTCAAACATGGCTTATTATCCGAATTACAGCACAAAGAACAGAGTCAATGCTGGTGAGATCACATGATAACAGCTAAGACCAAAGAGGTGAACTTAAAACTGAGCATGTGTCAGCAGAGGAGCAGGATTCAGACACCTGGACTGATTCTTAACTGCGAGTTCACAGTGTCTCACTCTTTGAAGTTATTGGAATAAATTAGATTTTTTTCCCCCCAGACTCAGCAGTTTCCAAAAAGGTTCTGAACAAACTGACATTTAACCAACCTCAGCCCCTTTTCTAAACTAAAATATATCGTCACATTTGTACTTTACTCAGCTTAGATATGTGGACTCCGGGAGCTGGAGCCTCTGAATTGAAACAGAGCAGGTGAGAGAAATGGCCCTGTGCTGACTTGGTCTATTAAACCCATTTTAGCAATAAAAAGGAAATGTAGGAGTCAGGTAAAGTCCAGTATCTGATCTGCCTCCTTTTGTCTCAGCCCAGAACTGTGCACACCATTAGTAAAAAAAGAAAGAAAGGGGAGAGAAAGGTCAATGGGCAGGAGGACTTAGATGCATTGCAGCTAACTCTGTTAAAACTAGACCGGCACTCCAAAAAGCTCTGGTTCAAATTGATAGCGTGTCTTTTCGGTGGGGTTTTTGCTTTAGCTCCCGCAGACTGATAAATGATCAATCCAGATCAATCCCACTCAGCTGGAGTTAAATCCCCATCCGTTGGCCTTGGACCAATATGGAATAAGCATTGATACACTTCAGACCTCCTGCAGCGGTGATGTATTTCTGCTCTTTGAGTCCGGTCGGCGGCGGCTCCGATGGGATGGTAGAGTGGATGGGCTGAAGTAATATTTAACTAGCCCTGGGATCTCTGTGGCGAGCTTTATGCTTCGTATAAGGGTTCGCCTGTGTGGCAGAGCAGGCTCCGACCAGTCGTACACAGAGGTGATCTTTGTGTCTGGCGAGGTTGCTATGACAACCCAATAAAAGGCTGACTCACTGCCAGTGCAGAGGCTCCAAAGTGTGAGAGCACTGAGGTCATACCCGCTCTGCTGGCTGATAGATTTTCCATTCCATCTTAATTTCAGCGTCATTTTAGTCCAAATATGTAAATGCCACAGAACATTGACCTTATTTGAAGTTTGTTTTGATTTTAAATATTATAATATTCAGAGAGAGATACAAGAGAAAAGGCCTGAATTCATCTTAGTCAATAGTCCGAGTGCATCGGGGTCACCTTAACCACTTAGTAGGAACTACGGCTCAAACTTCAAATGTTTTTAAAGTATGCCGCACAAATTAGATTTTCATGGCCATCACAGCGGCGGTGTTGTGCCAGCAGAAGCAGAAGACAATCGAGTTCCTGGGCATCAGTGTAGGCAAAGCTTAATTCCACTTCCTAAATGTTAGCAACACACTCAGCTTTGTTGGACCTCAAGGATACACAAAGCATTTTTTGTGAGTAACTTCATGTAATACCAGCTCGTATTTGTTTCCTAAAAATCACCACAGGGCAGCTTTAAGATCTCAAATTATGCAGAGATTAAAAAATTAGGCTGGTTTTATTCATGTGTTGTTTCTCGTTTGAACATGTTTATTTCATTTAGCTGTGGCCTTATCTTACCCCAGAAATACTTATGTTTGCTTGTCCCTACTTGACCCTGAAAACAGCCTGAAATCTCAGTTGATTTTACTGATTGGAGGTTTAACTGTTATTTTGTTTATTGTTATGTGCTGGTTGGCAGATCTTTCAGGACGATAACCCACAGTGCATCACAGGTTATTGAGGTGTTAAGACTTGATTTCCTTGAACAAAACAAGTATGATTGAGGTGTTATAAAAAAAGATGTCTACCTCTGCTCAGATAAAAACATGGAATTGAAGCTGCCTAGTTTCAGACTGACAGATCCCATCTTTCAATCACCTTAACCCGAATAATCTCACCCTCACAAAACGACCAATCATCCTCCGCTGACGTCCATACCAGAGCCTAAAACACAAAAACCCCAGGATAGATAACAGCACTCCACATTTCTTCAAGAAAGTCCATCTGGCAGCTGATGTGAAGCAAATCCCAGATCAAGACAAGATTAGTTGTTATTGTGCTCAAAGGCTTTTTGTTGGACAAGATTTGGAAATGTCACGACTTCCCGCTGAAGTGAACACAGAAACTTCTTGGCCGAGTTTTGAATAATCAAAGTGAGTACCAGGCGTATGAACACTCTTTTAGAGTCTGAAATTGTTTCTTAAAGCTTTTAAGCCCATCCAGAACAAAATATTCACATCTCAGAAAGAATAAATAATGAGCGGAAGGAGAGCTGAAAAATGGAAAGAACTGAAGTCTGATTAAGAGACACAGTTCATAATGGAAACGGCCAAAATGAAATCAATCTGATCTGAAATAAATCTGCAAAGTTACCTCCAAATACTGCATGTTAAAACCCCCAGCTGTCAATGCTAAATTCAAGATGTACAAAAAGAGCAAAGCCATCAAACATGTTAAGAAAAATGTTTAAAGTTTAAGTTAAATACAGACCTTTATCAGTGAAACCAAGTTATGTAACATAAACAAAGTTAAACACCTGACAAGGGCTTCCATGAACTGATATTTGATAGTCCACTAGTCCTGGGTTACATGGTATAAACTAAACTCTACTCTCAAACTCTCAACATGCCTTTAAAATCCAGATTCATGTAAGAGAACTGATTAAAATTTAATATGTGGTTACCATAGTAACGTGGGAAGAGTTTGCTCCACTGTTTGGTGGTGGAGGAGAGGAGAGGGAGGAACAATGATGCAGTGTTATAAATAAATCATTTCATCAAGGACTGTGATTGTACAACTCAAAGAGTGTAGCTCTGACCGAGGGCTGCTGAGCTGAATAGTTGAGGTGATGGTAAAAGAAGAGATTTACGACATACAGGCGTCTAAATTCTTTGATCAACGCAGGGTCGAGTATTGTGTATCTTTCATCTTTCTTATATAAGCTCCTGTACACAAAATGTACAATACCATGTAGCTATGTTTTGTTTATTTGCTGCTTCCTGGTTGTTGTCTAATGCATGAGCTACTTTCAGCAGAGATAGTAAGGATGCAAGATGTCTCAACCCTCAGGAAATGACTTCACTGACTTCTTATTGTCCGTAAAAATGATTGGTAAATAATCACACCTACGAATCCTTGCACCCTCTGTAGCTAACTTTATATACCGTATTTTTCAGGCAGGCCCAGACTGCCTTGAATGAATGCACTTCTAATTTAGACATTACAGTCAGGCAGTCTTGTAGACTGCTCAGGGGTCCTGTTACGGGGCCAATCAGGTAGTGACACAGCGTACCGTAATGCCCCCAATATCCACTGAACGGAGCGGCTTCGTTGCTTACCAAAGTCGTTCTTACACAATTTGACAGATTTTTTTGAAGTACATTAAGTACATGAGTCTGTGAAAAGGTCGGTACCTGTTCCCTCATAGAATTTGGTGCAGTTTCCGTAATCGATATCCTCTTGTCTGATGTCAAACTGTGGCAGAGCGATGGCGTCCATTTGCACCGGGTCTCCCGTCTGCCACATAAACTGCAGGTCATCTGTGGTGTAGCCAACTGGAACACAGAGTCACAAATACGCACAGAAAGTGAACACACTTTCACACAAATATCAAGTTTAAACCAAATTAGTGCGTAAACATGCAAAGATGCTCACAATATCTGCTGGCATGTTAATCATGCTCATGAACGTCATATAAATGCACACGGACGAGCAGCGAGCCTTAAGTCTTAGCAGGCGGCTTTTGCATTAGCGGTAATAGCTTGAAGTTATCTAGCTTATTTAGGTCTAAACTGCTTTGTAAACAAGATGCAGAAACCCACAGTCCAGCTCAATTAGCTGTGAGACTTCACAACAACCTTAAAATATGATGATTTATTCAACTTCTCTGAGTGCCCGCCACTGAAATTGGCCTCTAAACACCGGCAAAAAGCTTCCGCTTACCCCAAAACAACAAAATTATTAAAAAAACCAACAAATTTATTCCCAGCTCATTAATACTGTATCTCCTCAATAATAACAAGCAGACGGGTTAAAAGTCCAAATGAAATCATATTATTCATCCCTTTGGAGTCAGGAATAATATTTCACGCTGTGTAAAGGTGTCGTTTACACGTTTTTATTATGAAAGGCGGAAACAAGGTCCTCAGGCAAATATGACAAACAAAGAGGCTGGAGAGGCATGTTGGTGTTTTTCAATGACTGCAGCTGGGAGGGAGCCAGAGCGCCGGTGTGACACCCAAGGGAACAGGAGACAAAGTAAAGAAACGACTGCAACTGATGTGTCCAACTGTGTGTTTGTTTAGCTAAACCAAACAATATAACACTACACGCTTTTTAACCTGGTCTAGAAGATATACTAATCAGAACTGGCCTGCAGTTTGACATTAGCAGTGCTTTTTTACACACTGTAAATATCTGCTTGTTGAATCAGGTGTACATTATTCAAGTTAGACACAGAGGGGATCAGAGCAAGAAAACAGGGCTGCTCTAACAGTACTCTATAAGATTATCTATACATTTAAGGGACATTTTTTTACTGTTTCTTATTTATAAAATTAAACATATATATTCTGTGTCTCGCCTATTGCCAGGGCTGGACTGTAATGAAAAACTTGCTGCTCCAAATATTTGGTTAAACAGCGTCAATGTTTTACTTTTATAAGAACTCTGGTTTCATATTAATCACAAAACTCAGTTGGACACAGGAATTTTACTTGCAGTGAGGTGTTTTCATTATTTTCTCTGTGTGACTCAGACTTATAACTCTAGATTTACCTTAGAATGATACAGACCTACGAGTCACCAGCTCACATTTTAGTCATGTCATACAATCTTAATTTCATTGTTACTTGTTAATACCGTAGGCTCAATCTGTCCCTCTGTTTTACTTACACACACATGATCCTGCTCTCAGCATGCTTTGCTGCTGATGTTTTTCTGGACTCTTAGTTCTGGCTTGTTAACATAAACCTTAAAGAAAGCTTTGTCAACACATGAATCCCCTATTATCTTAATCAAATCACAAGCAAAATGACTCAAAGTGTGCGGTTTACTATCTGAGTAACAAATATTGAAACTTTTCACAAAGATTTTTGCAGGATTTTACTGGTTGGTTGTAATATCTAACATATAGTGTTTTCACACTTGCATAAAGTTCAGAAAAAAATCACTATGTGTGAACAAAACAGCCAAACTTTTCACCTTGACTTGGAGGAAATCACCCTTTGAGTATGAGGAAGAGGAGTGATGATGGTAATACCATGCAGCTGGCGATCTGTCTAGTTTTGCTGCTTGGTAACAATAAAGGACTGGTAGTTTTAATCTTGTTTAACTTTGTAAAGGGGACATGTGAGGGGACGTGTGTGAACAGGCTAGGGAAGTAAATTTCAGGGGCAGGGCTCCGGAAGTTTTCCGTGGTGCAAATCTGAAGACAGCTATAGACCGGTATAGAAGCTTCTTTATAGGTGAACACATGTTGAGTTATTTACAGATCTGCTGCAGGAGAGAAAAATACTTGAATATAAATGAAGTTGAGCTGATGAGGGTGTTTAAGGTGGTGTTATGTCAGGAAAACTCACAGCTTTCAAGTTGCATTTTACACCTCTGAGTGTCCATGGGGAACAACGTCAGATCCAGCGGACAAGACAGCGTGACAGACAACCTGGAAAAAAACAAAGAAAATATTTACAGTTTTTTGTTATGCTTTGCTTTGTCTATCCTCCTACATCCTCCTTGATCTGACACATCCACTTTGTTTGGATGAAACTTGTATGTCTTGAGATCTCATAGGATTTTAGTGTTTACCTGAATGTCTCTGTCTACAAGAGCTGTATTTGTGTGAGAGAAACAAAATATGTTACAGTCATGTTTACTGGAAAATCAAAAAGATTGTCTCGGGAGGATGATGGAGACCTAACAAAGCAGAGCAAAGCTGTTGCTTCAACACGTTAACATTGAGTCCCCCTGGAAGATTGTTATGAATGTGTTAACAGTCTCATGAACTTTAAAAATCACTCCACAGACTTTGGTTTTACAGCTTTTGACCTGGAGAGGAAAGTTAAAGGAGAAAAAAACCCACAAAGTCTTTAAAAAAGGCTTCTGTAATGGTTTAAGATGCTGAAGGAGTCGAAGATCTGCAGGGAATTAACGCAGATGATCAGTTTAAAATGTTCTCATCGGGAGCTCCGGGTAAATAGTTCTGTGCGCCCAGAGCTTAAACTGTATAATGTGTGTGTTTAGTCTTGTTTAAACAGGTATTTAAAGCTGAATTGGGAAAGCTTTGCTCTGCTGATAATGCCATTCAATAGCTATTTTGTTTCACCTGGGACTTCATTCATTCAGCCTGTTTATTGACCTGGACGCTCAGCTGGAGAGACCCAGAGTGGCTCACTTAAATCACAGATAAAGACGTACAGCACCTTTATTTGAGAACACCCCTCCTGCTGTGTAAGCAGTCCCACACTTTGGCTGTCATGTTCTATTGTCTTTTCATGTGGGTTAGATTTCTAGTCTTCCAGCAGGAACTTTGAGTCTGCTGATGCCGTACTCTTCCGAATTTTTTCCCGAAAACTTTATTTAGACACTGATACCTACACAGATTTGTACGATTTACACTGCATCTGAAACCTCCTCCCACTTTTCTTTACAAGAAAAGGATCCTGGGAGTGTGAGGATTTATCTGTAGCTATACAAACACAGATGTCACCAACCAACTTCCATCTACCAAGCTGGGATTTCAGTTGTTTCTCCGGGAACTATCATCAGTTTTTTAATAAGTCAAATACTGGAGCATAGACCTGCTAACATCCTGGATATAACATATGAAATGTTGGCTTTGATTCAAAGCTATTGAAGTCATTTAAATTTCATGGTTTGAATGGAGTTCATATAAGAAAAGTAGAGACTGAAGATGCGTTTTTGTTCGGAGGAAACTATATTGATAAATTCTCGTTAGGGGAGACTTGTTTGTGAGTTTAAATTGACTTTCAGGGACATAGTGAAATATTTTAGATGCTTATTAAGATCATTACAAGCTTTTCTTTTATCACAGAAGCAAAACTAAGAAACTGTGGGGAGGTTTTAGAGAATAACCGACGACTGCGTAGTGATATGACAATGTCCTTGCTTAAATAAACAGCATTCAAAGCACATTTTAAAGTATTTTGATTAAACTAAAATGTTATTTCAAAGAGCTGGTAGAAGGACCTTGGCTCCAATCTTTACCTCATACTGATGAGAACGTCTCCATTGCGGAAAATGAAGAGCAGGATGTTCTCTTGTGTGACGTCGTGGAAGTTGGCGCTCTTCTCATTAGCGAAGAACAGGTCGGGCTTCCACAGACACTTGAACATCTTTGGGTCGACAGTGAGGGAATCAGACTTGAAGTCTTGAGGTAGCTTCAGCCGAGGGTCGTTCCACCGCTGCCGCAGGAAGATGTTGACTCTGTAATCCTGTCGGGTGAGAAATATACAAAGGAAAAATGTCTGCTTAATGTTTCGTGAGTGGGTTTTTAAGGCGCTCTAACAAAAACTGTCTCTGTATGGACTTCAGGTCCGATCGTTTCCTTATCTATAATACAGGATAATTACAGTTGCTGCAGATGTTCTCTGTGTCGCTTGGTTGTATTTTCTAAATCGGTCGTTTCTGTCTGTGGAGAGAGAAGGCACCGTGCAGTGACTTAAAGAGGTGCCCAAAAAGATATTTCTATTTCTGCTGAGATTTCCATCTTCTAGCAGCAGATTTATAAAAGGAGCAGCTAGAATGGCCCTGAGTACACAGCCCACCAAAGTTACAAGGCATTAAATAGTGCTGCTCTATGTCCACATATTCTGGTCCATGTGGACCCTGCTGACAATGCATGTGATGCATTAGAAACTGCTGCTAATATTGGCGGCCTTTTTGCAGGTGAGCTGCAGCGGTCTTGTGCATCCTGTGGTGAGACACATTTCTTTATGCTGTGAACCTCAACAGCCTTTGGACAAACTTTTAAAGACAGAGTTGCAATTTATGTGGCTTTAGGGACCAAAATTGATTGAATCATAAGATTTGCAAAGATTCACACTCTGACACCATTTAGCTGCAAAAAGCCTGAGTAGGATGATGAAAGAATCTTTGTCTCCTTTACTCACACTAGTGTTTGGTTATGCAGATAAGACTGAGTTTTTATTGAATACTATTAATAGGAGGCGGACACCCTCTCTACTTTTAAGAGTAGGCTCAAAACTTCGGGCCTGGACCTGCTCTTAGTTATGCTACTATTGATATAGACTGCCAGGGCAAATGGCACCTTTCTCTCCTTCTCTATCCTCTTTCTAACTTTGAATTATCACGTCCCATTAAAGTCACCAACCACAGTCAAGTCTGTGCTCCCTTATCCAATCCGTTAGTGGCAGATGACTGTCTAACATGAGTCTGGTTCTGCTCGGGGTTTCTGCCTATTAAAAAGAAGTTTTCTCTCTCCACTGAAACTTAAGCTTAATGCTGCAAAGTGTCAGAGATCAGAGTGGACCTGATCTAGATTTATAAACAGACTCTATTTTCACTGACAGGAAGTTTTTTAACTCGTTGACAAACAGAATTTTCTCCCAGCAAACATTCGAACAGAAACTTCCACAAACCACACACCCGGTGACATCTAACAGCTGCAGCTGAAAGACCCGTCACATTTCTCTTCAGAGCCGTCAACACACAGCAGGCTGCGCGGTCCATGAGTCAAATGTGATCGCTACAGCCGCACGTGATGCAGCGAAGGCCTCATTAGAGAGCTTATTAGCAAAATTTTCACATTCTCGTTGGTGGGAAAGTATCCCTCCATGAGGCTTTAGGGTCTGTTTGTTTTTTTTGTCCCTGCTTTGATGGCGTGCCTCAAGCTGTTCTGGGACCAGGTGTGAGGAAGGACTATTAATGCAGGGTGTGAAGATGGATGACATGTCAAATAAAGCCGCCAAAATACCAGCTGTATGTGCGGGTGTAGTGTTGGTGTGTGCGCGCTCCGGGGTGAGAGATTAACTTCCAGCGTCCATCCCTTCATTGTTCACAATTTTCATAATGATAAATCCTCTTTATTTTGCTTTTTCTATTTTTGAGGCTGCGCTGGGGGCAAACATTTGTCTGTATTTTCATGTTAAAACTGGTGCAATTTTTCTTGCACACCGAGGCTGTGATGACGCTGGTGTGAACATGAAGAGCCGACATACTTAAGTAGAGAGGCTGAGTAGATTTGATGTAAAACTCCTGCAATAGAGGTTGATTTCAAGTGTGCAAAATAAATCAATATAAATGTGCAGCATCCATGACTTACTGTGTATTTATGCCAAACTGTACCGTGATCCTTCAGTGTAAAAGTGTACTATGTTTGAAGCCCCGGTGGGACCTAAGGCCGCAGAGAGCCTGCTCTATAGGACCGTATCTATGGCAACGTGGTACATATACTTGGCAAAAGCTATTCCTACTGGAAGTTCTTTGTGTAACAGCCAGCTCTGAGAGTGAGAGACAGCCAAGTGGCCTAAATATGGATCCATGCTGCATCTGTTCTTCATGAAAAGACCCGATATTATCATGTCAGCTCTGTGATACCTAAAGAAATATATTATTCTTCCAATGGTTACAGATGTCTATGTATTTATTCAAACACAGTTAGACTCATTTTGTACTTTTTCCTGCAAATATTCAAGGACAGCCACAAGGACCTTGCCTCTAGACCCAAACAAAAACACATTAAATCATTCGACACACCGACTTGATTTTCTACAGGTGATTAAATATCCAATAGACCCCATAGGGAAATTTTCAGGCGTGTAAAACTTCTAGAAGTTATCTTTTAATAGGAACAAATCAAATGGATTGTCCAAAAATGTTCACTTGGTCTGACTCTGCATTAACATTTCTTAGATCTATGCCAATCCAATAGATAGTTGGTAATGTTGTTAAGCAGCATGCGATCATGGGTTTGTTGTTTTCAGCTCAGGCAGGAATAAACTTTATAAATGAGAAGATGTTTAACAAATTTTATCTTCACTACATCAGATTTACTAACATAGTGTTTATTCTACTTAAATTGAGTGAATTAAGTAACTAAAACAGTTTTTTTACATCCTTCTTCAAGCTACTGTTCATTATTTTTCTGTAACTTGTTAATAGTAAATGTATTACCCACTGGGGATGCTGTCAAGCCCCGCCCACTTCTTCAGAACCAGGATGTCCGTGCTGCAGATGAAGTCGGCTCCACCTCATCACTTAGCTAACTCCGACCCAAACACCAATGTTTAAAATAAACACAACACAAGCATGCAGAGAACAATATACGCAAAGACTGCTTTGTCCACAAGGGAGCGCCAAAATGAATACAAACCAGAAGTTCCTCATTGGAGCTTTAAATATTCTTGCATACAAAGTTATGAGCCCAGGTCTTCCTGATGAGTTAGTTATATTTCTCATAAAATTTAAGATTGATGTTATTTGATGCCGTATTTGATTAAATTGTGGGCAAATATTGTAAGGGCAGGTTTTTGTACCAGTCTGGCCCTGGAAATAAGTGAGACACAAGTTGGATTTGGGTTTCTAGACAAACAATAAACAGTGAAGAAGTTGTCCCACAAACTAATAAATGATCCTGATTATTAAATGTGAACTCAGTACCACTGAAAATAACATTGGTAGCATTTGATCCTAAAACAAAGAACACTCTAAACAAAATAGGGGAGTCCCTCTGTTATGAACACTGCTGAAAAAATTCAGGATAATCCCAGAGCACGACTCACCAAAATTCATCACACGTCTGGTCTGTTTTAGTCATTTGAATGTGACTCTCGGGAAACTTGAATCTCGACCAAAGTTTGATTTACTGTTTCCTCTACAAAGTCAGACCCGGTCTTGTTGGGCCCATAATTCTTGCAATGCAACTTAATCAAACAGTGTTTACTTCCAAGACTCAAACACAGATCACTTTCATGGCAAAAATGTAGAAAATGTAGGACTGATCCAAGCAGTCTGTGTGGTACATGTTGGTGCACAAAGTGCTTGTAATGTTATAAATCAGCAGGAAATGTTCCGATACACAAAGGTTTTAGGAGAGTTTATAAATTACACAGGATCCCAGAATGTGCTTTATTTCCCTGCCAGGTACATTTCTGGGAGGCAGAGCCGTGGTCAAACTGTTGATATCTTATTTTGGAAAGCAGGCTGTCGTGTCGTGTCCACAGAACCTAATCTTGGACTACAGCGTGTTCAAGCAGTCCTGAAGCGACAGCGTGAATAGCTGCTGCCGGCTCTTTTCTGTCTGACAGAGACACAGGCCAATTCCCACACCTTCGCCTTTCGTACAACCAGACAAGGAAATATATCTTCCCTCTGGCTCACGATCAAACTGCCTGTTCTGCATTCGATCCCGGAGAGATTTAACGGAGGCGCTCGCTGCATTTCAGTGAGGAAAAACTCGTTTAAGGGCACAGTTTATTTCACATTTTTAACACTCTCTCTTGATGGAAACAGTCATGACGTGGAAATAAACGTGTTAACTACAGCGGACGCGGGGTGGTGATCGGCTAGAGGAGGTGTAAATGAAGAAAGAGGGTTTCCTGAGACCAGATACCCCGCAGAGTGATAAATTGAGAGGCAGAGGTGACCAGCTGTCTCCTCTGTCTCCTCCAGGTTCATTCTTTTTTATTCTCTCTTTTTCTTTTTGTTGGGCGTCTAGAGAAAGATAAGAGTCGACCATCTGGGAGCTCCTCATCTCTCTTTTTCTGTCTCCCTCTTGGCTCTGATTCGGTCTCTCAATCTTGTCTCCTTGTTCCTGATTTCTCTATCTTCCAGTCCTCTTATACAATCTGTCTTTACTTTTTCTTTGCTGTCCTCTTACCTATTAAGTCTCCTTTGTTGGCGTTTTTGTTTTTACCAACAGTCTGCTTGATCTTCTCACCCCTGCTTCTTACATCATCCTTGTTTGTGGTCTCCTTTCTCCTTTCTTTTCCTACCTACCCCACTTTCCCCTTCCTTTTCTCTGATTCTGTCCCCTTCTATTCTTCCCCGTCTTTTGTGTTTTCCTTTAAAGCACCATCTGTTCGCTCCAGCTCTATACCTTCCGTAGTAAATTTTCCACTTTCAGTGCGTACTATCCTAACTGCTCTAAATTGGTCCTGGTGTGAAACTCTCTCCTGGAACGTCTCACGAGCAAACCTCGCCGCCCTCATCTGCTGCCAAAAATATATTTCCAGTTTCGGTGCCAGGATATACGATCTGAGGCTTAATTGTCCAGAGCGTCACTGCTTGTGAAGTAAAGTTGGAGAACATTGATCACCGCTTTGGATGAAGACGCTGTTCGGATCTGTTTCACAGGACTGTGGGAGCAAAGGTTTAAAGGAGTGTTCTTCTTGTTCCTGTAAGCCTGGTAGTGTTTTCCAGCAATAAAAATGGACGAGTTTTGAAAGAAATATCAGGAGGAAAGGCGCTGTGGGTTGCCACCGTAGACGGTGTATGGACAATTTGGTTCTGCCTTCTGCCAGTGTACAGATTTGAAGCCAAAAAGATCTCGGTATTTCCGTTTTTTTTCCCCCAATTTCCTGAAACTAACATTGCGCAGTAGTGTTGTATGCATTCGGTGGGAGAGTTGCCGATATGACGCTTGGCTCAAACACCGTATCCCCCGGGTGAGCTACACAATCTTCGTACGCCCATAGGCTGTATTAAGTGTCAATCATAGAAAACATGAACCTCCCAATAACTTTAAAAAACTGAGCTGTACAGAAAAAAGAGGACTTGAACACAAACCGGTCTTACAGAAACTACCTGTCAAGATCACAACCAAGAGGGAGAAAAATTTGTATTCTGTGTAATTAAATTCTAAAGTTTGTCCACAGCTTCATAGGGATTTCTGGAGGAGGCGAGATTTATGACCTATTCTGAAGTCCGTCACCAGAGGGTGCTGCTTTCGGGGTGCCTTCACCCAGCAAGGAGGCAGACAGCATCTGTTTTATATACAGTCTATGGTTGCCACAGAGTAGATGAGTTACCTCTTCATTTGCTGTTTCTTCCTTTCCTTTTTTGAGGAAACGCAATAAGCATCAACTATTATTCACTAACTGTCATCTTCTCCATCTGTCATAGACGCCCATTAACAAAGTTTTGCTCATCATGGCTAAAGTTGTGATCTCGTACAGTTTGATGATTCCTTTAAAATGAACTAAATTTTAACTTCATCTCAGCTCTTCATTTAATTTTGAATGATTGCCTCAAGTCAGTGATTCAGAGAATTAAATCAAGAGCTGCAGCCTTTTTTTTTTTAGACTAAATTAGGGTTGCTACAGCTCGTCGGCTGTATTCCGATGCCATACTTGTTATTAATTCAACACGGGTGTCTGATGAGTGCTCTGAGCTCTGGATCAGGGATAACCAAAGCTCAGGTATCAATACCAGGCTTAGGAAGTTGGATCAGTGCGTCCTCATGGGATTAATCCTGCCACTAACAGGCTTCAGATAGAAACTGAATTACTCTGTGGAAACATGTTACAGTCGTGTCCTGTTGCTGTGATTTAATCACGCTGCGAGTATTTGGGTCTATTGGATTAAAACTCTCCAGATGGTCACCTGTAAAACTGCACAGAGGAGCTGATGAGGCAGAGTCGAGTCAAACGCCGGATCCTGTCGCTCCGTATTAATTTTCATTATCTTGTCACACAGTTAAGAGTATTTAACGAGGGAAACACACGATGTTTGTTGTGTCCTCGCGGCTGCTTTGAATTAAAACACGCAGCTTGACAGCGCTTGTTAGAAACCTTCAGGAACGTCGTCTCTGTTGTTTCCCAGTGATCAAGAGCCGACCCCGCTCTGTCCTTGAGTTTAATCTGCTCTCTCGTATTCAAAGCTGCACTTCTTTATCAGCAATTAAGCCATCAGATAAATGAGGCATGAAAAAGCCGGTCTTCATAATGATTCGCTGCTAAATGCTCTGATACTGTCTACAAAGCATGCTCTGGCTTTCTTCCCGAAAAAGTTTTTTGACAAAGCAGTTTTCAGCTCTGATCCTCTCACTCTGATTGGCAGAGGTATTGATTATCGATACTGGGAGGCAGAAGTGGAACTGGGAGTGAATTAGTGATGGGAAGAACAGTTCTTTTGACTGTACTGAGTTTTTAGAATCTGTTCATTAAAATGATTCGTTCAAAAGATTCGTTCACTGAATCAGTCAGTGCTTCGGACTTTTGAAGCAATAAAATAGCGTTTTGCTTTAAGTGCCTCAACCCTACAGACATAAACTACATGAACTGCCTGCCTCGGGTCGTTCAGAAGTGGTTCGTTTCATTCACAATCTGACTGATACATGTCGTTCATTTGCTGTGAACAAATCACAAGACTCCGCCCAACCGCTCACTTGCTGGCTGGCTGTGTGTCGTTCACTTAAGAGTCAAAGGTGGCAGTCCTACTCCTGACTGGCTCGCCATACCCGTGGCTGAGCTCAACTGAACTTAGAAAGGAACGAATCATGTCTAGGAGTGAGTCCATTCATGTCGTCCACTCGGCAGTTTTGTTCTTTTGAACAAATCGTTCATGAACGACACAATACTAGAGTGAATTCTTACCATGGTTGTTTCTTGGATGGAGCCGAAACTGTTGATGAAAATGTTCACTCTGTCTTCAACAGGAATTCCTGCGTTTAGAAAGAGGAAAGAGGAGATAGTAGTGTGAGTCGTCTGGTTTTTACAGCTCATCTGCAGCTGGGTAGTGATACTGAGCGTCAGTTTGCTTCCTATAGACCTGTACATCTAAATTTCTACACACTCAACCTGGTGATTAAATTGATTGTGATGCTGACCAGGATTTGTGAAACACTTTATCAACTTAGCCAAGTTATAAAAATCCCCTCTCGTCTCCTCCGCTAAGCTAACGCTGTAAACATATAAAGTGAATCTCCTCGCTCTCAGCCTTTTACATAAACTTTTAAAACCCTTGATGAATGCAGCAGCTCAGCCCGCTTTGAATAAATAATTCTCTTTGAGGTGTTTACCGTGGGCTCAGGAGTTTCACAGGATAAACTCCATCAAGCGTTTCACTAAGTAAATGTGCATAATACGAAGGTTGCGTATGGATCACATATTCCATGCATTAATTCAGACAAGCATAAAAATATTCAAGAAACACTCCCGGTGTTATCTTAAATTCTCTATATGGGCTATAAAAGCTGCTCACTGTTTAATAGGCCTGGGCAGAGTAATGCACAAGGCACAGTTTAGGATGTAATTTGGGCGATTATGACATGGACGTTAATGGACAGAGAGGTTTCAGCCCACCCCGAAATCAAGAGCAGATGCTTGGCCGCTAGACAAGTAACAGGCTGTCAATGAGGGAGTTGATCCTGCTCGAAACACATCAAACATGGAGTCCCAGGTTACAGCTCCTGCTGCCAAGTGCCCGAGGATGGAAACTAACCGAGGGTGTACCTTGAGACCGGTTAGACCATCAGTCAGGCGTACTGTGAGGTTGGCAAACTCCTCTTTGTTATTTTTATGGCTGTTTCTGCAAGACTGGAGCCCGGTAACTCCTTACAATGTGACATTTACACACTGTAAAGATTGACTGTTGGTGGACAGTAAAACAGGAAGGAATTGGCGAGTTTTCAAAGAGCTAAAATACACTATGAAGTATTGGCAAGGGCTCCAATCTGATTCTAGTATGTATTAGAGCCTTAAAACATTGACCTATTTCTTCTGTTATGAACGGTAGCACGCACAATAATAACATCTTATAGCTTCTGCTAGCAGACTGGATTATCACTGATCGACAGCAAATTTGTAGAAACTGGGGGGGTGTTGGCTAAAAGATGAGCCGCCATAACCCTCTCTGGTCAGCACCAGAGTTTGTCGTTGGTTGAACAAGTTATTAATACTCTTATTAATCAGCCTGAGGTGTCAGCCATATGTTGTTTTTAGCTTTTGCATATTCGATTGCCATCAGCTGGGGCTGTAGTTGCAGTTGCTAGTAAAGACCTGCATCTAAGGCAGGGTTGGGCAATCATGTGCCATGAAGGGCCGAGAGGCTGCAGGTCTTCTTTCCAACCCAAAACTCCACCAGGTGATTTCACTGCCTTACCTCCAAGCAGAGAGCAGGGACTAATCAGTGAAATCACCAGGTGGAGTTTTGGGTTGGAAAGAAGACCTGCAGCCTCTCGGCACTCCATGGCACATGATTGCCCACCCCTGATCTAAGGTTTTTATTTGTAGGGTCTCCAGGTTGTCTATATGTCACCCTTCTTACTCTGCAAGACCACACAAAGCACCAATTCCTGTATTTTTCGGACTATAAGCCGCACTTTCAATCCTTACATTTTCTCAAAAATTGACAGGGTGCCTTATAATCCAGCACACTTTATGGATGATTGCTTATTGTGCCTAATCTGTCGAAATGTATAAGTACTACTGTGGTAGGCAAAGAAGCCGCTCCGCTCAACAGATATTCAGAGCATTACAGTACGCTGTGTCACTTCCTGATCAGGACCCCTGAGCAGTCTACAAGACTGCCTGACTGTAATGTCTGAACTAGAAGTACATGTAAGGCAGCCCAGGCCCAGAGTATGCGCTAGCAACAACAAACCAATCAATGCACCAATGATTAATGCGCCTTATAATCCGGTGCACCTTATGTGTGAACATAGACACATTAATTCACAGTGCGCCGTATAACCCGATGCGCTTTATCGCCTGAAAAATACGGTATATCTCACAACTGTGTAACAAAGGAAGTCACATGCATCGGTAAAAAAATAGAAATAATACTTTCGTATGTTGAATCATGTTGGTATTTGGGTGAAATCACTCCTGGCCAGCATTCAAGTCCAAGCATGGGATCAGTATCAGTTTTAAGGAACATTAACTTCACATATGTTGTTGGTAAGATCTCAGACTGTTTTAAGTTATAGTTTTTATCAGATAACCGCGCGTCAGTCAACATTAGACTGTCTTTGAGGGAAAACGGTCAACCCAACAGCATCTGCTTACTGTAACCGTGTTGAGTCCATATGTATGTACCGGCACACATGAGAGGGGATTCATTTTCATCAGTGTCTCTGACACTATTTATGCAGATACCTGCTCCTGCACCTTCTTCGTGGGATAAATCTGGAGGTGCGTGTTCACAGTTTACTCGTTTCTTTAATTAGCATGACAGCACTGCAGCAAAAATGTAAATTAAAAATAGACAGAGACAGATGAGGAGGGAAGGAGACTCGCCTTTGAAGTTGGGTCTTATTCTGGGATCATAGCTGATCAGTAACCTGTTCAAGATGTTACTGGTTGAATTTGCAGGGACTCGAGCCAGATCCTCAGATGACAGCTGTCTGCAGGAGAAAAAAGAAGACAGAGAGCCAACTGTAGGCACGATTACATTAGCAGGTCAAATTCCTGGCAGATGAACGGTGCAGATGTACAGTACTCCCACTTCTGCTCTGTGATTAAACTATAACCTGAGAGAACAAAGAGTCGGGGATTAAATTAGCCTTTTACATTTGAAGTGCATGTGCAATGATGAAGTGATGGATTGTGCAGAAATACGAGGTGTTAAACAGTTAAGACAGTTATACGAAACACCTTCAGATTGAAATAAAAGGAAGTATGTTCAGTGAGGAAGAAAATACACGTAACACGATTCAAGCTACGTCAGCCTCTTTTTACTAGATTGTGAAAAGGTCGTGTCTTTGTCCAAGGATATCTGAACACAAGCTTAAACAGGTCAAATGCTCGATCCAACTGACTAACTCTATTGTCCTTTTTCAAAACGAGTCCATACGGCGAGTATGAACTTCAAAAGGTCTCCGCTGTTTGTATAGATTTGTTGAAGTTGTCTCGAGAGTAGTGCCACGAAGAATAACAGATCTGCCATGTGGGTGGCAGGAATATTTAACTTGTCAAGAGAGACAGTCTATTCTTCCTGTGTGTGTGTGTCTACTTTTTAATGAAACCAAAGTGAACATTTCCATTTGAACCACCCTGCAGAATAGCAAAAAAGCAGCTGTCTGCTGGAAATTACCGCCATAACACAAAGTGGTGGCTTTCAAAGGCATCCTGCCAAACATCATTTGTTGTCTGAGGTTGACTGATGAAAAAACAATGGGACAGAGAGAGCGAAAGAGGAAGCCGGTATCTGGCAGGAGAGAAAGGAGAAACCGAAAACCTCCTTGTGGGTGGCAATGAATTCTCCTGCCAAAGAATTTCCCCCTCTCAAAGCACTTTACATATCATTATGTAAACCTTATCATGCACAGAGGATGAGTTAAAGTGCTCCGCAGGAATGTAGCACACTGTGTGTATGTTCTGCGGTTCCTCTGATCAAAGAGAGACACATAATTCCCATCCACTAAACCTCTTTTTTTCCTCTCTCTTACCAGACCCTTTTGACAACCTCGAGCACAACAGCTAAACTGGAACCAAGTGGTTCTCTTGATCCACAAAGGCATCCACAGCACCACACACGAAACATGTCATCCAGCTTACACTTGCCAATACTTTTGCTACATCAAAAGGCTTCACCCTCATTTCAGGGGGTTTCATTGTCAGGACATTTGTTACCATTTAAGGAATTGGAGGCTGCACCCCTGCGCTGCATAGATATAATGTGGAGTCCAGAGGCATGTAAGGACAAACATCAGGTTTTTAGACCGGGACTTAACCAGAACGGACTTTTATAGAGTATGCATGACCTGAAAAAGTTCACTGTTCATGTTGCACATCCTTAAACAGAGGCATTTATTATGAAACAGCTGCAGAAAGTCAGAAGAAAGTATCAAATGAGGGGCCAAAGTCTCTACAATAAGCTATAAGTTTTTCAAATATGCTACAGTGCACATTTTAAGGAAGTTCTGCTGATATTTTATATGTTCATATTTTCAAACACACATTTCTTTCCATGATAAAGAACACCAAGTCTTTTCTATATTAGGATTTCCTATTACTCTGATTTTAATGGTCTAACAAGACAAATTATACAAATTTTAAATTTCACATGTGGACCAGTCAGTAATGAAAAGCACAAAATATAAGTTCTTTGAATAAGATCAGGTCTGTGGTGAAGATGTGAGTAGCATCAGCGAGAAGACAAAGCTTTGTAATGAAGGTACAGCAACATCTGAGAAGTAACACTGACTTCAGACACAAGGGGCTGGCTATAATGTTTGGTTTGGCACTTGGTAGGCCAGGTTAGTATTGACATAATATCACTGAGAATTGCTTGAAAATGAGTTTCCACAAATGTTATCATAGATGCTTTAGGATGACTTTTCTTTAGATTCATAACTAAATTGATAATATCAAAGGATGGTTGTTTTGCTTGTCCTCACAGCAGCTTTGCTTTACAAACACCCTAAAAAGCTGTTTTTCTGTCTTTTTCAAACACTTGGCAACGCTTGTAGTAACAGAAAAACTTTTCTGTTCTCAGACCAACGTGGTTCAGCTTGCTGCTTTCATAGTGATCATAAAACAAACAACATTGACCCTTTATAATGAGCATGATGACATAGGCGGAAAAATATCTGACTCAGTAAAATTTTGCCACAGCTATTTGAAATAAGAAAGAGAAAATAGTGGTATCATCTTTGTGAGAGCCAACACTGATATGATGCCGATAACGTCAAACTGGCCCACCGATTCATCCGCCTACCGATGTGACTAGCTCTTACAGGATGAAGCTGATGATAGGAGACTGCCAATAAAAAAATTAAGAATAAGACCCAAAAGTAAGTTCCATTGGTCAAATATAAGACCAAACCAAAAAGACAGAAAAGGTAACTCCAACAGTAAACAGGATGCAAACTACACCTTTCGGCCGACCATTGTTTGCCTATTCTACCTCCTTTCCTTTTATCTCCCTGTTTCATTTTTTTTGTCTCTGTGGCCATGAAAAAAAAAACTCCTAGCAGACAACAAACTGAATGTGCAGATCTGAAACCTGCTTTCCATGCACTGTTCGCACCTTTAAATATTTTATGAGGTTTTTTTTTCTTGGTGGTGCAGTACTTAAGGATGTTGCCCAGCAGCAGTTTGATCCTAGAGTTTGCATGTTCCCTTGCGCATGTATGGACTTTGATTAATGTCCTTGTCTCCCACCACTAGTTCAACCGCATGTACTTAATATGCAATCTAGATAATGGGGAAATTTTCTGTTTTAAGTTATTCTCATGCCAGGGCTGACTTCTTGATGATGCAAAATTTCTACCATTCTTACAAGATGCTGCACCCCGATGAGAGGGCGCCCAAGCCTCAGCATTTTTTGGTTGGAATACTGTCAAACAAGTTTGCTGATCTCATTGGCGTCCATTTGGGTTTGAAACTGCATGATCACATCAGAAAAGGTCCCCAGTAAGCAGATTCCACTGAGTTATATTACTGGCTGGATTGTAGAGAGAGGAGTACATTTTTTCAGCTTGACAGAGAAGACTCAAATCCAGGATATCACATCCTCTGCTGCATTGATTTTAACTTTTTCTCCCTTTTTTTTCTAAAATCCGTCTCCTGTGAGTCCTTCAACTTTATAGTGCCACACTATATCAGTAAGGAGGAGCACTTTCGAACAACTCTTGCAGTAAATGTAATATTTTGAGAAAACCAGTCACGTATTTCAAATGGTTGAAAATCCCTCCAAGCAGACAGCCACCTTGAAACCGTTCAGTCAAATAAATCCAGCGATGGCATGCTGTCATTCCTGCACCTGTGCTCAAAAAGTAAAAGCAGTAGTATATTTTTGATGCTCTCTCTCAACCTTAAGGTGTTGTTTAGTCCATACTTACGACGGGCAGTAGACCTGCTTCCCTTTTTTCTTCCCCTTCTTCGTCCCTTTCTCTTTAGCAGATGTTTCCAGACATAGAGAGAGGACGAGGAGAAAGATGGCGAGTGCTTTAATCCCCATTCTGGAGTGAGTCAAGCCTGTAGAGGACAAAAAAAACAGTTTGAATAAAGAGAATGGACTCGAGCATTTAAATTAGCGGTGCTTAATGGTGCGCAATCCAATAAAGCAAACAGTTTTCTTGTCACATTCAACAAATCTCAGCTCTCGTTTGCATTTGGAGATGAGGGGAAGTGGCTAGTCAAGCTTTATTTAGGGGGAAAACTTAATTTATTATCGAAGCTGTGTGAGTTTCACCCTTGAGTTTCTGACATGATCTGTTCCCAAAGATTTGTTCCCATAGAGTAAACCTATATAACGCGATTGAATCAGTCTGACAAGGCTGCATAAATCAATCTGCGCGGCTGGATAACAACGGTCGCCAGGTGAATGTGACCTCCAAGTGATGGCTGATATAAATATATCTTCTAATGTGCTCGGCCTCAGAAATAAGACTTCAAATTGTGTCTCTGTGCAGCTTTTTATACCTCAAGACGTTCATCATGATCTTTGGGAAATGCATAATAAGGTTTGATCCATGCAGGCTGTGGTGTTAAAAGTCAATTCCTCTTACAACGGGACTACTAAAACGCAGAAGATGATGCAAATTTGTGTGTTTCCCATGAATCTCCTGTTAGCCTGACAGTAGCACAACAATGCTTACAAAAATGAGCGCTTCATACAAAAGCGGTGCATTTTTCCATTTTATGATAGGGGCCATTAATCAGCTGAGGGAGCCACAGTACCTGTGTGATCCATCTCCAGTAAAGTGTGCCCTTTTTTTAACTCTGGGGCTTTGAGACCCACAGCAAAGCCGACTGTCTCGTCCTTCCCGCCCTGCCAGAAGCAAGACTGTATATTAACTGAAGCAGTTTATTGTCTAGACCAGACACTCTCCCTCTCTCCGTCTCTTCGCCATGGCCCAGTAACTCCCTGACTGCTCCTTTCCCGCGCATTGATCATCTTCCCCCACTGGAAATCGTTGCCACCGCTCTGCTCAGCACCTTTAGTCCCCGTGCAAACACCTACGTCAACTCTGTTTAATCAATTTCGAATATCTCTGCAAAATGGGAGGTGTGCCAGCGTTTCCATTGTGCAGGACAAAAATGCCCAACATGCCACATCAGCACTGACCAAGACGTATCATGTGGCAGCAGCTGGAGTGAGAGGGGATGTTTAACTTGGCGGGCAACCAACTCATTTCTTATGTGACCTGTGATTCCCTTCTTCCCTCCGGCGTTTTTCTACATGACAACTTCTATCACTGATGTCCACTTCACTCTCCCTGACAAGGAGGCGGAAGAAAAGGCGCAGGGTGAATCCATAACAAGCATGACACTGGAGAGATCTGATAAGTTTGTGAATGCTGTAAGACAGGTTTTGAAATCCGTGTATCGCCACTTTAGATACATCCACTGGTAAAGGCACATTACACACATTGTCACACTCTTTTCTGTGTGTTTGGGGCTTGTAACCCTAACACAGCCAAAAAATGTCTCAGTGTAATGCTTTGTCTCGGGTTACATTTGTTCAAAAGATGCCATTCCTTTGCTGGGTTTTGCAAGTTGAAGGTTAAAGTTAAGGAGAAGAGTTTTTGTCATTTTACGAAAGTGTAACAAAAATGTGTCTTTCCTATCTTGTAAGGATGCTTATAGGATTTGTTGTGCTGCACGTTGTAGAGTCCAAAACGCTGAATTATGGACTCCATGGTAAAAAGACAGATTACCTGTATTTTTGTCTTCAGTCGGGACCACTTTCATCAAGTCATATGTGTTATATTTGGTGGTATGGCCCTGTTTTAAGAGACTCCTGCAAGTCTGTAATGAGGAGAGAGCACACCTCCAATGTATTACATGTGCATACGTGAAGAGCTAAGGCAGGGAGAGCATCAGCGAAGACCCCAGAATGCATGTTTTGGCATTTGTCAGCTAGACGTAACTGGCTGTGAGATGATATAGGGTGGCGTTATTATCAGTAGATGTACTGAGAACTGAGCTTGGCTTTGTGGGCTGCGGAAATTAAAGGGATATTCCGGCATAAAATTAAGTTAGGGTCAAACACACCGCGACACCGAGTTAGACACCCCATTGAGAGATGAATGTTGCTGACCGCTTGCTTCTCTAGTTATACCAACTTTAGTAATGAAGGCAAAAGCCACTTTATGATTTATGGTCATTCCTTTATCATTTCCTTGAAGTCATAATCATCATATTAATCATTTTGCTCTGCAGACGCGGTAGTTTTTCTGCCTTAGCGTCTCTGTCTGATTGTATTTCCATGAAGTAATAATCATAAATGTTCTTCCTTGAGCTGCGAAACCCCGCTGCAGTCGATGAACTACTCTGAAGTCTCGCAACAAACAAGCGGCTGCTGGAAGAGACGGGGTGAGTTGTGTTTAGATGTTTGGTGGCTAGTACTATGGCTGGGATCCTATATGTACCGTTCATGAAGTTAGGCGCTGTTCTGAGCATTATTTGAGCATTATTTGTGGCAATAGAGTGGCTTTTTGGTTGAGCGCGTGGCTCTCTGTATTGCTATTTGCGGCCGTTACTTAAGTTGGTATAACTAACTGAATATCCCTTTAATGTTTTTGACGTCTTTTAAATGCCATGCTTAAGCAACCAAACTACACCAGTCTGTGTTTATGCTATAAAAACTGTGGGTGTCTCGGGAGATTCAAGCGCATTGTAAAATCTCGTTTCTGTCGCGTTCAAACTCACACCGGTTCGCATTTTATTGCGAACTCACAATCTTCACATTCTATATAGGATGCGCGCACAGCCTGTCAAAACTGAAGCCTTTGCCGGGAAATATGAGTTCAGCAGAGACCAAAATAAAAAATAAAAAATAAATTCTCTGCACACTAATCTCACTTGACCTTGCTTCCTCCTGACTCAACTCTTCGCCACCACAAAAGAACATTACCCCTCGCCTGTGTTTTACTACTGGCGATGTGGAAACTGCAGCGGCTTTGTCATGCAATCGCTGACAGTGACTCAAGCAGCCTTGCATGGTGTGCTCCAGGGGTGGAAGGTCAATAAGCAATTCTGCTGTGCACACATGGCTTCCTCGGGCTGTACATTTATAGCTTCTGCACCACAAACATGCTGTTATATGATTTGAAATTATAGAAGGAGTACAAGGATGGCAGCTATAATGAGAAACTGTTCTATTTATGAGGTATTAAAAGTTACAGTGCCATGCATTAGAGCGCAAAGAACATTAAATATCCACAATACACGCACACACTTACAGAGGACCATCTTTTGTCCTTAAGAGATGCTTAAATCTACAAGGACAGGCCTGCCCGGTGCTGTTCCCATCAACATATATCCATAAGAAAACACTGCCAACAACCATATATAAGCTGACTACCGAGGCTCTCCCAACCTGTGGCTGCTCTGTCTGTTTGTAACAAGAGCAAAGTAAGTAACAGAGGCTGACACTTAAAGCCAGGGGAGAGCAGCAGCAGCAGCAGCAGTGGGTCTGGGAGTGGGAACAACACAGCGAGCAGCGACCACCATGACGGGGGGGAAGGGGAAGGGGAAGAGGGGGGGATGCAGGGAGAAGACGCCAGAACATATGAGCGCGAGCGTGCCATTTAACAACACACGAGCGCACGCGTCGAGCATAAATAACAAAAGGGGTCGTTTATCAAAAAATACGCCACGTTGTTGCACTCACCTTTCGGCTCTGTCACCTGTCAATTCCTCAGAAAAGTAGATGTAGTAGAGCTGACTGTGCAAGTGTCGTTAACGGAGCCTTCCAGACCAGCCGCTGTCTTTCCTTTCCATGCTGCTCTCGCGCTCTTTTCGCCGCTGAAGAAATTTCCTGACCGGGGTTCAAGAAAAAGTTACATCTCGGCAATGTGCCAATTTTCTTTTTTTTTACTCCCTCTCTCTCTCGCGCCGCGCCCCGTTTGTTGTTATTTTTTTGAATTAGTGTGTATATGGCTGCTGCTGCCCTTTCGCCTCAGCTCGGGAAGCCCAAGATGGAGGCTTGCGTGTACCTGTCATGCAACATGCGCAGTAGCGGCTGCACGGAGCCGGAGAGCATCATCAGTCCTCCCATCATCAGCACCACCGCGGACAGCCGCTCCCCGCCTCCACAGACTCCACAGACTACACAGCCGCTGCTAAACGCTCCTCCACCGTGACGTGATGCCAAGGAAGGAGAAATGCTCTCATTCACGTGATGGGCGCAAACGTCTCATTATTTATGGCAGTGTCTGCGTGGTATTTAGCGGCAGATGGACGTGAGCAGTAAGAGCTGTATAGACCATAAACCACAGAGCGATGGATGCAATAGAGTTCAGGCTGATTGCTTCCATTGGTCTTTATTATTGTGTGTGATTCAAGACCAGACGAAGAAATCTGATCATAATTAAAGACACAGAGTCAAAACCTGAAATGAGATAAAGGCTCATTCCGTAATTTTTCACATTTGGGTACATGTATCTGAAATTATTGATTCATTTTACTCTTTTTTACCAAATCTTTCCTTCTGTCATTTCTATAGTAGAGTCTAGTAGAGTTTATGTGTATGTCAGTGTGTGGCCTGAAGGCAGAGCCTCAATGGGGCCTTAAGCAAAATTTGATTTTGGGGTTGAATATTTCTACCAATAATATTGGTTGTTGATCATTCACACACCTCCACAGATCTCTTTGGCTACGTTCACACTGCAGGTCATGATGCAAAATTCGGATTTTTTGTTAAATCCGATCTTTTTGTGCGGTCGTTCACATTACAACAACGAATGCGGCATCTAATGTGAACGGAATGCGTCCGTGAAGTGACCCGCATGTGCACAAAGCACAAATTGCTTTCCGCGCCTGTTTGTGCTGTCGAACAATGGTGACGTGTGTCGCATATTGATGACGTGTAGGTCGGATGAACGCGACCTGAGCATCCACACTGCAGTCACATCAGATACATTTCCGATTTATATCCCCGTACAAAAGAGGCCTGGGTCGGATTTGAAAAAATCCGAATTGCACTGTTCACACTTGAAAAAATCAGATATGTGTCACATATGGTTAAAAACTCGGAATGGCCTGCAGTGTGAACATAGCCTTTGATTAACATTCCATGACATGCAAACATACCTTTATCTTGGCGTTTTTTCTCTTCTTCCTCTTTCTTTTCTCTGCTCCTAAAGGATATATCCTTTTTTTGCGACATTGTTTTGCCCCACAACTACCTGCGCTTTGGATGCTCACTGCATATTGCACAGCAGGAGGGACATAACGGTAGCGAAGGTCTGACATATTGGCAGTAAGAATCATAGGCCTGCATCAGCAGCAGGACTAAAATGTTTTTACTTTATTTTTATTTATTTTTACAGTAATTTGATCATACAGAAAGCATCGCTCATTTATGCAAACATAATAATAATAATAATATTTTTATAAATTGCTCTTGGGGGCCCCCTATTGGTCGCGGGGCCCGAAGCAGTCGCTTAGTTTCGCTTATGCCTTGGGTTGGCTCTGCCCAGATGGCATGCTAGTAGCAGTGAAACTCCTCCCTGCCCCCCCTAAAGAAATCAAATTGAAATGAAAAAATAGAAATGCATATTGAAATTAGTGTGCATATTTTTATTATATTTTAAAACAACTATTTGTTGTTGTTTTATGTTTCTATGTTATTGTGTACAGCACTTTGTGTCAGCTCCGGTTGTATTCAAAGTGCTCTATAAATAAAGTTGAGTAAAGTTGAGTTGAGTTGTGATAACTGCAGAAAGTGGTTCAGTAATGTCCCCCTGAATGAATTAGGTCTTCCTGAAAAAATGCACAGTTGCTCCAAACCTTTATATAAGAATGTTCAGAATTGATGGAGTCTTCCCTGATATGCAAGCTATCTATGCCAAGGGCACCTATACTGTACATCCTCATACTGTCACAGATGCTGGTTTTTGTACTGTGCGCAGTCAACAAACCAGATGGTCCCTCTTCTGTTTAGAGAAGGAGGACAAAGCATCCATTTAATATGTCAGACAAGGATCGGATAGTCTTTCACTTCACCTCAGGCCTTCTTAGATTAACTCAAGCCCAGAGAAGTAACCACCATTTCTGGATCATGTTTATTTATACATGTTTTCCTCTTTACATGGTTCAGTTTTTAATCTGCATTTGTGGATGCAGCAACATTTGGAAGTGTTATTGCACTATTCTCAACTAATTACAGGATTTAAATGATTTGCAAATTGTTGAAGTTTCTTTTTATCAACATTTACACAAAGTTCAAACAAATTGCACATAATTCTTAAAATTAAATATCCACAATAGAAGGAAAAAAGCAGTCAGAATAAATTCAGGCTGAATGTTTGTCTCTGTAGGTTTAAGTTAAATCCCGAATCTAATTCCAAAAATCCCACTGGATGCAGGACCCTGGCACCAGATTATCAGGATCATATCAGAAAGGGGTCAGTGGACTAGTATGGTTTGTATGAGAAGTCATTGTTGTGGAAAAAGATTTGGGGACACTTATCCAAACAACCCTGTAGAGCATTGAAAATAATAACATCGGAGTAAATAATCTCCCCAAAGGTCCATATCACTCATATCGCTTAATCCTCTCCAACATAAGGAGATTAAAGTCTCTTAAGTGCTCAGAAAAAGAAAAAAAAAACACATAGGAGGCAGAAAACTGAACCAAACATGATGACAACAGTGTCCTGTGAGTGTAAGCTACAGAGCAGCTTGCAGGCCTGAGACTGCTGTTTTCAAGGTGAGAAGCTCAGATTCAGCTGATTTAGCTGTTACAGCACAAAAACGATGACAGAAACAACAGACCGGATTGAGTTTGTCATTTTGCAGATGCTCCGAGGCTTGTTTGTTTACATCATGTTTAAGCTTGTGAGTTTCTGAATGAATTGAAGGAGTGGAAACGTTTGGCAGAGCACCAGCGAGTTACGGGCTCATCAAATGTTATCACTTTATATGTCCACATCATTGATTTTATATTTAGTTGCTGAGTTAAAGGCATCTTCTGCGGCAGGTATACGACTTTTACACTACACATTATTGATGTTCCTCTTAAATGTAAAGTAGTTTGCGCAGAGCTGCTGGAGGTCAGTACAGACTGTGTGTAGGAGGGGAAGTATAGTCTGTCGGAATGAAAAAGAAAACAAATGTAGGAGTGTTGGAGACTTGCATTTGTTTAAATCCCCAGAGGTGGGTGGTTATATTTGCTGCAAAAACATACTGGATTGTATTGAAGTCCATGAGAAGATGACCTTTCTTCCCACTTGATTAATTGCTATTGAGTTAATGGACTTAAATACAACAGTTTTAAAACTTTAGCAAAAGATAAAGTAAGTTCTGGTCCTATTAGATACACAATAAATCAGGGTATGGAGTGTGTCTAATTATCTTGTGTTGGACTGGTCATTACCATAACAACAATTGAATTTTGGTAATATTTTCATCCAGATCTTAACATTTTTATTTTTAAGAGTCTAGAAAAGAGGAAGAGGACGACCAAAATGCCAATCTAGATGTAAAACAGATAAACTTTAAACAGTCTATGGCAGTCAGTTATGTCAGTAGACTGAGTAAGAAGTGGTTCTGTAAGTAGGGAGGACGCTTAAGTGTCTTCAACTTGCAAGGCAACTTGTGACGGCCAAAATTAGGGGTGTCACGATACAATTTTTTTTACTTCCGATACAATGCCGATATTGTAGCCTTCAGTCTTGGCCGATACAGATATTTATCTGATATTGGCACAAACTTGTGCATGACAGCTGCAACGTCTTTTACTGACTTCAACAAGAAAAAAAAAATACTCCAATCACATCACTCCTACTTCTTGCTACTTTGTACTGCAGTACACACACTGCTGTTGTGATCATGTTGGCTCTGCATTCTGAATCTGGTCATTGCTAGATGGAGGTGCTGAAGCGGAGTCTGGAATGGACTGCTTGTATTGGAGTGCTGATATCAGAGATTTTAGATGCAGGCTGATATAATCCAATATTCATTTTTTTTTTTGCTGATATCAGACTGAAATTCGATATCAATATCGGATTGTGACATCCCTAGCTAAAATGCAGAATTTGAGACTTTAAAACCAGAGATCCTCAAACTAACAGATGACTCCAAAAAGTTACATAAGATTAAATAGAATAAGAAGTTGTCAATTTGGAGGGAAACTGCAGTCAGACTGTTTGAAAGTTTTAGAGAAATGATGTCTGATTTGAGTAGCTATGATATGATAATCTGAGTCACAAAATCACCAAAGTTGTTTGCGGTATTATTGACAGTTATTAAAGCTCCTGTAAGGAACTATTGGTTTGTTTTGGTTCTGGCGCCCCCTGTGGCCAAAGTAACTCTTCTTATCTCTTGTCCTGTATATATGAAAGTAGTATATGAGACAAAAACCCTCAGCCTTGTGTTTTCATACTGAAATGTGTCACACAGTGAGTATTTGCCATGGATTTGTCTTAAAGTGTGTTTCTTCAGCCTGTTGTCAATCATCTGGTCTGAAACCTCCCCCCTCAGAGTCAGAGTCAGAGTCAGAGTCAGGCACTGAAATGATCAACAAAGAAATGATCTGTCTTGCTGCTGATGGTTTTGTTTGCTTTTGAAGGTCATAAAGAGGCAGCAGTTTCAGTGTCAGTTTCTCAACCAGTTAAAAAATCCGTCTTTAATAGATATAATGAACCTTCTGTATATCACACCATATAAAATGAATGTAAGCCATCTGATATCAAGCACAACTTGACTTAAATTACTTAATATTATATGAATAGTTGATTGTATTGTACATGTACACAAAGTACTTAACCCTTGTGGGTATATGAGACATCAGTGGTTCAATAACTCATTACAGAGGTATTTATATCACAGAGTTGAATCTAACTCGAGCAGAATCCTGCCTCTCCTCCATCTGCTATACCTAATAAATTACAGTCAAATTCCACATGATAGGAAAACAGAAAGTAATGTTGCACACGAAACACAAAAACAAGTGTCATCCTTTTGGAGACACAAAGTCCACATTCTCATGAGCAACATCTGCAGGAACTGGAGGCGTCGGAGTTAAACTTTTCCAAACTGTAAATTAGAGTGTGACTCAGGTGCGATGGAGTTTCCTCTTGAGAGCAGCCAAACAGTGTGAAGATGAAATCGTTAAAATCTCATTTCACTGGATTACATTGTCTCCTCTGTTACATACAGGAGTTTCATCTTCAGGTTGGAGCTTTTGTTGTAACTCTGTATAGTGAAATCTAAGAGAATCAAATCATAAAGGAGAGAAATCAAATTATTTATCACAGTTTTTAAGCGAGGAAAAGACTTATCCGAACTCTTTGTTTCAGCCGTCAGTCACTTCCAGAGTCTAGAGTAACATATTAAAAGGCCGAACAGAGAGCTCCCTCCTTCAGCTCTTACAGTGAAAATAAAAACTCATTGCAGAACACAACCAATCGGACTTTTCCCACAGTTTTGATCCATATCTCATTCATCACTTTATGTCAAACAACCTGGGTGGCCTCTTCCACATCGATCCCTGAGGTATAATTCTGACTGACAGGCTGTTCCATTTGCATACACAAATTAATCAGCACCATATGTACAGTATAGAGATTAATGATTTATGTCACAGGGCATGGGTCTGCTGTTGCAATCAGGACCCTGGCAATCTGGCACAACCATTCCTTTGTATTGCGTACAAAAATGTTCACTGGCTGGCAACAGACCAAGTGAGTGATGGACAACCGTGTGACTTCCAGAAATCTGTCGGGCTGAATTGAGCCAATCACGTTTCTGCTGCTTCTGTGGATCTAAACAAAAAGCTTTTGACCCCTTCGAAGCTCGCACAAACTCCTGTTTTCGCCTCGTGCTGCTCGGTAACAGGTTTGTTTTCAATTTTCCTGGCGATCGGTAATTCTGTAAGTGAAGCCAGAGAAGCTGCATAGACGCATGTTTAGATCAGTGACAAGATAAATCGCTTGGAAGAGGGAGAAACACACAGTGAATGAGCTGTCGGAGCAAATGAGAATCGTGACAGATGAAGAACAGGAACAACGAGGCAGGACTGATGTGATTTGAATGGTATTTACTGTATGTGCACACAGTGGACTGATGGTGGTTATAAAGTCATTTTGATGGATTGTTACATGGAGTATAAAGAGAAATGAAACAAAAAGGATTTACTCGTTAGCAAACATGAATTAATAGTTTATTTCTAATTGTCTAATGTAGATGGATTTCTTTTCAAGAGGTGCACAGCGGACTACTAAGTCAACTCCTGCACGCTATCTGAAGGCTGACACACGAAATGATCTTTAAGTCTTAACCGGTTTTGATTATGTCAGAGACCCCTCACATGAACACCCGTGATGACTGCAGTGTGTGGTGTGCAACGATGTGGTGAAGACAGCATATCATAGAGCTGTCACTTTTAATCTGAATGTCCAACCTCCATTCAAACTCTGGAGAAAAAGATCAGATGCAAACTGTAATGAGCTTTTCAAATGCATCAAGTGGCCTGAAATTGCTCGCCATATGAACCAGCAGAGGGCGCTCTCTTGGTAATCTGGCTAATCCATGCACTCTTAGCCTTGGTGATCAAATCCAGTTTTGTTATTCGACAAAGCTGGGACTTGCAAATCTGCAATTAGTAGTCAAGACATCTGAGAAGTGTAGCGTGGAAGTAGATGGGGATCTGCACCATAGATGGGCAAGACTGTACTGTAAGGCTTACAGCAAGCTAGCTGTCTTACTCTTCCACATCGACAAATTTGTGTCTTACCCGAGGGTTTGCCATCCATGTGAAGCCTCAGTGGAGGAGGCACCGTAGACAAGCAGCACATGAGCAAGTGTTTAACCAAAGGCTCAGAAAAAGACAATTTTTTCACTGATAAGAAAAATACAAACAAATTGTATATGTCATATTTGCAACGTCGTGTTCAATATTCATTCAAAGTTGACTCTTTAAAAAGGAATTGCTGAAATCTTGTTAAGTCTCGAACCATAGACTGTAAAATTACTGGACATAGCATGAGTGGCGTCACCGGTTTGTTTCTAAAGCAGAGTTTTGAAGCCAATCAGCAGAGGTCACCATTCTGGTTTTGAGTCAGCATTAGGGTTGGGCATTGTTCAAATTTGAACGATTCCAATTCCGATTCCGATTCCGATTCCGATTCCTCGTTTTGATTTCGGTTCTTTTTTCGATTCTTTTAAAGGGCAGGATAAATGCCTTATATGTCTTATATTCGGACAAGACAAGCACTAAAATAGCTTTCGTAGATGTAGCCATCTTGTTTCCGCCTCAGATTTTGCTTTTTTCCGACTCAGTAACTGAAACACTGGTAACTCGGGTGTGACGTCATTTTAAGCTCGGACTTCTGACTTCTAAGGTAACTCAAACGCAGCAAAAGAAAGGCATGATTTAAATGAGGGCACTAATCAGAGTTCTTTTTGGATGAAATGTCTGAACTTCTCTGTGAATTTTTAAATTATATGAACTTTTTATGTACTTTATTATGAATTTCTCACAGGGCTATTTCAGGTTGTTTGTCTATAAAAAAGTACACGGGCTCAGGTCGTTTGTCTATAAAAAAGTAAACAGGCTAACGTTAGTTTGATATTTAAGTTGATCCACCGTATACAGTACAATTTGCTACTAGAAAACGGTTGGACAGAAGTATACGAGGATAAAGGTGCCAGAAGTCATGTGTGATCCATCTTCTGGCTTCAGTATGACCGTGACGATACTGTAAAAGTACTGTGGGTGGCTTGATTTGTGAGACACATTCCCGACATCTTCCAACAAATGTGACTCAGACCGGTCTTTCCAATCTGCACCCGCTCAGCATTCATACTTTGTGGATTACAGAGGTTAAAAGACAAGAGTTTCAGCTCCCTTGCAGATGTTCAACCTCATGCTTTTCATCACCACACAGGGCTGGGCTTGATGAAGTTTGGCAGCGCTGTAGATTTGACTCCTGGATCATTAAATAAGGGGAACGTTATAATGCAAACTGAGTCCTCGCTGTCAGCAGATGTTTAATACGTGCAACACAAGCCGAGAGACTTTAAATCAGGACGGTGTTCAACTGAAGCGCTCCTCCAGAATTTCTGGACTCCTTTATCTTCTGGTGAAAGAGGGAAAGCCTCATGATGCTAGATTTATAAAACGCAGATTTTTCTGAAGTTTAGCAGCAACACTTGTCTCACTCATGGTTTCTCTTAAAAATCGACCTCTTTAAAGACTCTTTTTTCAGCATTTCATCTCATTTAAATGGCACAATCAAAGTATCTTGTTCTCGTCCTCGCTTGAGCTTTCACTCTGCAGATCCACTCCTGCCTCTCTCAAGAGCAAAAGGAAATAGAGTCAGATAGCTTCACACAAGTACCAGGTAAATTCAAACTGAATTCAGTTCAGGTTCGACCCTGAAACGCCGTCTGCAGACAAATGTAATAGATCAATGCGTCAGACAAGAGTATCAGTGTCCCGGTGTAATTATTGGACAGAACACAACAGCAGCATGCTGAAGTGAGTCTGTCAAAGCCCACCGGGACCAAGTGTACAAGTGCTTCAGTTTCAATTCCACCTGCTTTACAAGAGCTGCTCTTTTTTAAACCTCTGTCCTGCAGAGGGTAATATTCAATATGTTACATCTGTTATATGACTGAACAGGCTCGTCAGAATAATCTTGACTTAATCAATCAAAGAAAACGGTAGAAAAATTCAAGCTGCTGTTCCTGTGTATGAGTGCACAAGTCACTAATAGAAAGATTTGTGGATTTATTTCCTCATGACACTTCAAATTTTCTCTCCATGACTTGTAAGGAAACATCGTTTTTTACAGCTTTGGCTCTAAGTGTACACTCACCAATTTTGACATGATAAAGTTACTATTTTGTCCATCTTGGCACACCATTGTTAAACCACTTCAGTGTTTTCCTGCTTCCAGCTGCTACCATGATGTAGAGCTGTAACGCAGCTGCACTTGTAAGTTTCACATTCACAGCTCTGTTGACAAGTCGTGTATAATTAAAATCTCACCCATGTTTCTCGAGTCTGAGCTAAAAGCTCTCAGCATACAGGTGCAGCTAATAATACTGATGTCAGTCTGCATGCACTGTCTCTTCTGCAGCTGAGGTCTAACATGAAGCACGTGTGGCACATATGCATGTATAGTTTCACTCCTGTATCACACGCAACTGCAAACAGCATAAATGTGGACACTCATCACTCATATTTTAGAGTTACAGATATTTCACTGAGTCCATAACATGAAATATAGAATATTAAGAATATACTGTGATAGGGCTGGGTGATATGGCCTCAAATCAATATCAAGATATATTGAGCAGTTCACCTCAATAACGATAAATGGACGATAACTACTCCACAAGCTGCTCACCCCCTCCCACATTAACTTCTTCTACTTCAGCCGCTACAACTTTTGAACCGTCCTCCATCTCCTCACCTGTCTTTCCCTCTTTGTTACAGACTGGATGGGGTGGAGTCACGTCTCTGACGTAGGACAGCGTCTTAAAGGGACATGAGACCATAGCCTACCTACACACATCCAAAACCAACTTTTAGTTATTTATTTTTTTGACGTGGAATATATTGACATGGGCAAAATGACATTGGTTATTGACATAAATTTCGGTATCGGTAAATTTTCGGTTTATTGCCCAGCCCTATACTCTGATAGAATGTTATATATAAAGCAGAATATATTATCAGACACATTTATTACTCACTAGCTCCAACTCAACCAGCTTAACTATGTAATGGGCCTGCTTGGTAAAAATACAGAGACGTTATTAAACCAGTGTGATGATTAATACTTGATTTGTAAGTATCAATTACTCCATTTGTTCATCCTGATTTCTGCATGTTTCATATGAGCTTGCAGACACAAACCAAATGCTGCAGTGCCTCTGAAAATCATGGACCAGTGAAGCCAATAGTTCAAACCAGTCTTCACAAAATGCAAAACAAAATATCACACTTGAGAAGATTTCATTTTGGACAGAGTTGGAAACGAGCTCAAAGAGCTGGGGGCATGTGGGAAGAAGCCTCGGGCCAGAACTGAACCAGGGCTGCCTGTAGAGCTGGGCGCCCTGAAGTAGCTTTTACCTCTTCATTATCGATGGTGTTTGTTAGAGATGAGGCGCTGCAAAAAAAAGTTAAATCAACTTTTTGAGTCCTTGAAATAACTTTAAACCGAGCTAATTTTGATCACATTGTAATGCCAAGGTTGCCATAGTTACAGGAAACAACAACCTGGTACTGCTTCTTTGAGACTGAACCACTGAGGAGAATTTTAATCATTGTTAGTCCAAGGAAACACACTCATAAAATATGCAGTCCTGTTTGTCCAGTCCTCTATGAAAAGCAGGAGGTTGTCATGTTTTAAGTTAACTTACAATAAACCTCGACTATAAACCAGTCTCTAAAAACAAAAGAGTATTTTCTACTCTGTAATAATTCATGTTTTCTTGGAGGACAATCATGAATAAAAATAAGAGTTCCTTCCCTGCAGCACCAGAGTGGAGATAATATATGGATCAGGGAGTCCATTTGAAGATAACACGATCCAGTTTAACCCTGAACGCACTAAACAACACAAAAGTAGCATCACATCGCTCGTGTTTTCCCCTTTTTTTCCACAGAACTTGCTGCGGCATCAACAAGTGTTCAAAGTTTTACCTGAGTGTAGTCCTGAGGGGCACCACCAGGGGGCTCCGGTTTCAAAGCCAAGTGCAGCCAGGGGCAATTAATCACACTGATAGCACAACTTTTATATCTCAAACTTAAGATAAGAGTTTAATACTAAAACAACTTCAGTACATAAGAGTGTGTCCTGATACTGGAGGACACAGCAGCCCCAGAGCAAACACACTGCAGCCTTATGTCTGTGTTTACAGGCCGAACAATGAATGAACAAGACTCTAATTTGTTTTAAATTCTGAGAAATGTGAGTCATTTTCTCTCTAAATTCCTCCGCTCGCATACTTTTACTGGAAACCACGGATGAATCCTCACAGGACCACACAGAAAAAAGAATCACCTCCTCCTGCTGCTGCTGCTGCTGCTGCAGGAGGTTTTACCATATAAATGAAGTCATCTTTAAACCTCTTTCTTCGAGGTGCGATAATGAAGTGCGATCCGGATTCAGCAAACATGTCCGTCCCCTTGTGTTTTACTTAATTTCACCTGCAACAAAACCTGTGTTTACGCAGGCCGTGACAGATGCGATGTGTAACGCGGACTGACTGTGAGAGGGCGTGTTCTTGTTTGACAGTATGTGTCCTGAAAAGGAAAGCACGTCTAATGGGATTTAGCTGAGAGCCTGTGACTGTGAGTCCTCTATTGTATACATTTCCATCTCTTGGCCCTCCTGGCTGGCAAGTCTCGCCATGACCCGAAAGGTCCGTCTTGTTTCTAATTTCCTCTGTTTATTATATTTCTCCGTATCAAAGCTGCCGCCCTTCACGAGACCACCGTGGAAGCAGCAATCAAACGTGGACAACGAGACAAAATAGCCAGATTTTACAGACAAAACCTCGAGGGGTGAACGAGTGTGCGTGTGTGTGTGAGTGTGTGCAAAGGAGAGAAAGGGATTCCACAAAGTGAAGTGCTGACATCTGCTGCAGGCCCTTGCAGAGCTGGAATGTGATACTCTGCTTTACACAAAGGGCCCGGGCCCGTGCAGCAGGCACAAGAAGACCTCCACATGCCCCTCTCCACGGGGGCAACACACGTATGAAATGACTGTATGGATGCCCCACGCATGCTTTCCCCAGCCATTAACTTTGATTAAAACCACAAAACCTCCCTTCATACCTTGATTCTGGGGAGATCTCTGCTCCCTTTGAGGTGGTAGTTTCTGAGCGATGTGAGACTGGGGGTAAATTGCTGCAGCATTGCATCATGTGTCTGCCTCAATGGGTTCAATATGTCTCCGGCTCTCCTTTGATTGTTGTGTCTGTGCTGCAGCAGACTCACCGTACAGTGAAGAGGGGGGATACACTGCTGGATTTGGCCAACAATAGAAAGGGAGGAACCACATGAAACACACTTGATGAGGTACAACAGTGTGCCGGGGAAGAGAGGAAATTAGGAACAGGAGGGAGTATTGTTCCAAGCCGTGTCTCTGCTTTGATTTGACAAATTGAGAAGCTCTTAAACATTTCCGTCCACAGAAACATTTGGGCAGAATGCACAACAACGTGGTGAAAAGTCTGGTGAGAGGACACATTTATCTTTTTTCTGTCTGTGGGGAAAAACGAATCAAAGTTTTAAACAATTTCGCAGCAGTCAGAACGAGCTCACCTCTGTACTTACGAAACGTTTTCTGTTCAAATCAGGAATCTGCGCTGTGGATTGTATTGTTGAACTGTGTATATGTTACTGATTTGATAGAACATGATGCACACGGAAAAATATGTGTGTTGGCCACAAATGACACGATGATGCAGCCCGACAGAAAGAGACAGTAAAAACACTTTAATGTGCCATGAAACAGTGAGAGTGGACGAGGCTTCAGCAGAGGCAGTCACAGTCCATTTTCTGTCACTATATAAGCCAAATGGTGACAACAGAGCTGTCCCTAGCTTACCCCAGGGATACGTTGTTTGAGCTGAGCGTCACTCTCGGTGACTCCACCGCCGAATGCATACAACGCTACTGCGCAATGTTGGTTTCAGGAAATGAAGAAAAATCGCTAAAATACCGAGAGCTTTTTGGCTTCAAATCCGTATACTGGCGGGAGGCGGAACCAAGTTGTCCATAGTATATACAGTCTGTGGTTGAAACCGAATGCATTCTTTGGTCATTTGAGAGCTGTAATTTAATTATTATGCAAAGAATCATGGGATACACCCCACGGAATCAGGACACATTTGTTGGCTGTATTTTGAGGAGCTTTTACGATAGCAAGGACGTCAGTGTGACTCTTTGAGCTATTCGGTCTCCAAATGTGACCTTTGACAGTCTGAGGGCGTCCATGTAGATTTTACCGTCCAGCTACCACTTGAACAGTGAGCCTTTATGAAAGGACCTCACAACTTTACAACTTAACAAGTTCTGTTTTGAGGTGGCTTTTGAGAGCAAAAGAGTCAGAAAAACTCACCACATCCATTTCTGAAGTGCGATGACAGGTCTAGAGCTGCTTCCTTTGCAAGAGTGAACACATGAAGTATTTAAAACAGACTTAATTAACATTACTGAAGCCAGGAAGCACAAGTACCAGGACAACTTTTGTGACCTACAGACAGTGAGAAGTGCCCACGAAAATGTCCTTTAACCTCATTTTTGTGGGCACAAATATGGCGCTAAAGGACACACTCCTGCTCCCTGATTATTCCTCTGATATCACAAAAAGATATTTTTTAGTCTATGTGGTGTCACTTTTCGGTTTCTGAAGAACATGAATTATCTTCACAATCTCCCCCATATAGTGTTTTTATAGACCCAATACATTTTTTTGAGCCACACTGTAAAAAAAGGACATTTTTACTTGGTGACTAAAGGGGATTCCTTCGCTTTTGCAGACAGTCTCAAGTGGAAAATGGAGGAATTGCATTTTCACACTTCTGAGTATGTCCTAAGTTTTCATCATAATAGGTTGCAGCTTGCCGTATTTTCATGAAAGGATAAATTAAGTTTGGTTTTATTTAAGTTTTGTCGTTTATTTTTTATTGACCAGAAAATAATGATTTGTATATATATAATCTAACACATGAGAGTTAGATGAGTGTTTCGTCTCTCATCATATCTCTCCAAACTCCTTACACCCAGTTTTCCTTTGAACCTGTGACTAACAGTGCTACTGAAATGTCATAAAAACACTCTCTTGTCATTTGTCTGGTTCCCAGTGCTGTTGTAAAGTTGTAAAAAAAAGAATGAGACACGTGTATATAAGATCAGGCTTTAACATATTTAAGATTTTTAAGATTGTGCCGCAAACAGAGTCACTCCTTGTCATCTCATCTGGTATACTAAAGTTTAAACTTCACTTTTATGACACTCCAGGCAGCAGAATTCCTTCATTTATCATTTGAGACTCTCTCTGCGTCTTTCCGGAGCTGCTCCTCTTTTATCTCGCTTGGAAACACCTTATCAGTAAACTTTCAGGAAACATGTGAAACAGCTCACAACAAGTTAGAGTTGTGTTTGCCAATTCGCGTCAGAAAGTGGGTGAAACACCTCATTGGACGGAGCAGCAGCGTAATAGTTAACACGCGGGGAGTTTCCTCGGCTGGGAAGTTCAACTTTATGCACAGCACCTGTTGTGCAGTCAGTTGGCAGTCTCCAAAAACCCAACCCTCTGCGCACAGCGATATTTTATCTCGGAGTCCACCAAGTTATGACTGGAGAGCTCGCCAGACAACAGAAGGGGTCTCGATGTTGAGTAGAGTTCCTGTGTACAGACTGTATCAGGTTTCTGGGCTCTCTCGCTGTCTCTCTCTGTGTGTGAGAGCTTTGGCTGTAATGCGTAAAGATCAGCGGGGATTTATGCAGACTAGATGAGGAACGCACCGTGGACGCGCGCTTTAACCAGCATTCATCTGCGCTTTTCTAACAACCATAGATGATACGCACATATAAGGACGCCTGCACAGTTTATGCCAGGATTATAATCACTTAAAACCAAACTTTTTATGACTCACTCTCCAACTTTTATGCGAATCAACAACAGGTGCGCACCCCTTTTGCGCAGAGGCGACTGGTCTGGAAGCTTTAATTTAAGGAGATATAAATTATACTTTACCCAAAGGAGAACTAAAGGTTAAGATTATGTGGATTCTACTCTACGTATACCCTCTCCTAATGTGCTCCAAACAGCACCGCTGCCCCGTTAACGACGCATATGTGTGGTGATACAAACCATCCCGTCTACAGCGCTTTGTGATCGCCAACCACCACTCCATCCAAATGATCCTTCCATTCTTACTCCTGCTTGCATCGCTTCTCCAACACTATGGCTCGGAAGCTGAATCAAGTCATGTCAGCAAGTTTCACCTTCCAAGTGTGAAGGAGCAGAACGGTGAGTTTGTCACACTGGGTGTTTTCCCACTTTGGGCACAAGCGCTTATTCTTACGCACTTTTGATGTACATCTTGCTTGAGTTTAAACTGCAATGAATGAGAGCGTTTGATTCAACTGAAACTACATTATCCAGGGTAGGAAGTTGAAAATTACCTCTTACCTTTAAAGTGTACACCCCTGTATGTTTAAGGGGGAAAACCCTCTGAAATTCCACGTCCCCAGGGAGAACTTTTCCCTGTGATCATAAAAAGGGCTCCATTCATGCAGCAGGAGCAGCAGCAGCAGTGGCTCCAGGCGATGTAATTTTGCTTTCCCTCCCAAATGCACTGAGCAGCACTATCAGACTCAGAAATCCACTTTTATCGCTGCTGAACATTAACTTTAGGTTAGACTGATTAAGTGGTGCTTCTTTAGCCTCTTGATAGGTCACTTTTGAAGTTTTTATTGCCAACATGGGCACCGTGGCTGGCAAGGTCTTTGTTATTGTTGTACAATGTGGTGCTGCACGTGCATGGGCGCGAGCACACCCATCCATCTAACTTGGTACAACCACTCGAACTTTTGCAGGATGCACAAACCTCTGCTTACAGTGCATGCTAAACAATAGCATTATTAGCCCAATGTTGTTATAAAGGTACGCTTTATTCATAAGTAGACCACCTTTAAAGCTCCAGTGAGGGATTCTCCACATTCATGAAATAGACCGAAATTCATTTTGGTGCAGTTTTAAAATATATAAAGGCAGAAAAGAAAGGCAGCAACAAAGCTGATGATTTTTCCACTGTAATTTTTCATGTTTAGAAGCGGTGTGAGAGGGTAGGTGTCAGTGAAGCTGCTTAAGAAAACTCTTGTTTACATTTTTGAACAAAAAATTATTGTATAAAAATGTCACATTTGATCGTCAACAGTCAGACGGGTTAAATATTTTTGTCTGAAGATATAATTTGAGCATGTAGAGGTCAAGATAATTAGACACTGTTTGTCCACAGGGGGCGCCAAATCTGTTAGAAGTTCCTTATAGGAGCCTTAAATGAATGCATTTGAAACAGGCATGCATATGTGTTTGTTTTGGTGCGGTTTTATGATATATAAAAGCAGAAGAAAGTGGCAATAAAGCAGATGATTTTTCTACTGCAATTGTTAAAGTTTAAAAGCGGTGTAAGTAGCTGCTCAAGAACACCTTTGTTTACATTTTTGAACAATAAATTCTTGGATAAAAATGTCACGTTTGATCGTCAACAGTCAGACAGATTAAATAATTTTGTCTGAAGATACTATTTAAGTAGGAGAGGTCAAGACAATTAGACACTGTTTGTCCACAGGGGGCGCCAAACCTGACAAACGTTAGTTACAGGAGCTTTAAATGAATGCATTTCAAACAGGCATACATGTGTGGCTCAGTGATAGAGTCAGTCATCTCTCTCAGTCATCTCTCTGTTGGACAGCTGAGGTTTAGTTCCTTGTCTTCACGCCAAAGTGGGTGTTTTCTCAGCCATCAGTGTATGAATGTGGTATGAATGGGTGAATGTGACATTCTAAGTTAAAGAGCTTTAGTTTACCATTTATTGACTATTTTGTGTCAGTGTTTTTGTATGAAAGGCAAATTTGTTGGCTGTTCTCAATAGCTTTGTTCATCGTTGACATAATCACTTATCTGTCACTAACCATTTTTCGGCCGTCCTATCCAAGACTGACACCTCCTTTGTAGTTTAAGCTCTTTTGGAGACCCACTAAATGGCTTCTTGTCGTCTTTAAATCCATATAATCCAATCAGATAAATTGGTCCAGATTTAATTATGCTGTTTTTGAGGCCGATTCAATTAGGCGTCTTCCTGAGTACTTAAACCTTCTTCATACTTCTGCATTGGACACACATCAAGGGTTCATATCACCCTGGAGTTATTGTACACAGCCTGGCATGAACCTATTAGAAAATGTAACCACAGGGTCATCAGTTGGCTAGACAACATAAGTGTTAGTCCCATGTACTGAGGCTATATTAAGTGTTTTTATTACTATCTTCATTGTAATCTTGTTTCTTTTATTGGCTTCGTCTGTTATTATTTTTTGTTGCTGATATTGTGAGCACTTTGGGCTGCATGCCTGTATGTATAAAAGGAGTTGAGTTGAGTTGAGTTGAGTTGAGCTCTGGTCCTTGAGACAGCAGTTGCTGGTCAGACTTTGACCCCTTGTTGCATGTCTTATCCTACTTTCTTCTCCTCACAGTTCCTGTCTTTCTTTCGCTGTCCAATCAGAAAATGCAAAAACCACTTAAATTCACTTAAATAAAAGTGCAACCAGAGGAGGAAGCATTGCACAGTGCAAGCCCTTTGATTGGTCCACTGGGTAGCATCCTATTTCCTACTTTTACAGCATTTCCAGAAAGAGGCTTTACATTTCTTCACCTGTGATCTCTGCACTGATTTTATTGCTGTAAGAGCAACTGCTGCTCAATATTTTCCATCCCAAGCTCCAATATAACAGGCTTTTGCAATGGTTTCCTGCGCACAAACAAGCAAAGAACTGGCAATATGACTGGCATAGAAATTGCACTGCTGACTAGTATTTTGATGGCGTCTTGCAGAGCAGCCAAGACACCCTGGTGCAGATGTATGTCACGCTCATGAAGGCGCAGACTACAAAGAATACAAACGTTTTTTTAAGAAGTGGTGTGCAAAAAGACAAATTACAGAACTTGAAAACTGACAATTTTATGAATAAATACCTTAAAACTGATCAATAGATCATGATTTCAATATATGAAGGGAAAAGTTTTCTAGTGACACATTGGCAGAGATTTACTGGGCAGCATAAACTGTAAGTGGGACCTCACAGGGTACAGTTCAAAGTCACAGCATGCCTGTATCCTGCAGATGTTGCACTGCTCTAACTCCATTCATTACCCAGTCTCTACAGCCGCTGGGTTTGACTGGCCTTGTGTGAGGACATGCAGCGCTGACTTCACTACAGTAACAGTGAGGGCTGGGAAATCAGAGCCTCCCGCCGGGACCTCCAGGTTTAATCAGGACGGCTGAGAAAGGAAAACAACAGGGAGGAGGGAGAGGAGGGGAAGGGATGAAGGAGGAGGAGGAGGAGGAGGGGTGATGTTAAACTGTCAAAGAACTCTTTAAAACAGCGGTCACACATCGGCTGAGGGCGAAGCTGGCTCGGCCGTCTGTAACCTTTGACTGCGCTGCTCACTGTTCTGGCACACTTGATTGCTGATGCTCTGCGAGACAATTTGATATCGATCTGAGGCGGGGGAGGGAGCCAGACCTGTCTGGCATGTTTAGTAGTAGTTGCCTGGAGAGTTACGGTCCCCAGCCGTATTAAACTTGGCAAGCGGCTGCTGATGACTCCATAAGATATCAGAGGGGGCTTTTCTCCCATAGAGGGCCGGTGCTGTGCAGGGTAACCATCTGTCACCATAAATGACTGAGACAAAAGTCTGAAAAAGGCTCTGAGAGTGGGCTTGAACTCTGAAGTGTAAATTTAAAGTTTTGTGGTCATAAATAATGTGAACATTTCCTTCCTCCACCACTTAGGGTTGTGTTACAATAACATGTATGGCACGACATTTTACATGTGTTCACCACATGGCGATTAGATTTCATGGTTAATAAGGAAACTTTGGCTACAAATGACATCTGCAGTTGCGCTAATGAAATCGGGTTGAAAGCAAATGCTGTTTATCCTGACCACAACCGCAATCTTGAGCTGTGTCTACAGTTTTCTTGTGAGAAAGTCTCTCTCTCGATACTTTTACAAAAGGAAAAATTTATGGATTGTGTTGTTTTTGTAGGACACAAGGCTCATTAGTCCATGATTTTATGATAGTATCATTTTCACCATTACACACTTAACTATTGTTTCCTTCATTTATATTTCCATAAAACTAATTACAGCAAATACTGGTTTAGAAATTGTAGACCCTTACTGATTTCAGGAGGTGAAAAGTTTCTTAAATTCCAACTGGGCAGCTGATTAATGAAACAATCTCGGGAATAATGAGCTGGTTTTGAGCCAAGATGATTAATTAAAGGTTGTGTGAAGGCTGTTATAAAGAATATTTAACTCTATCAGTCATCATCAGCTGATTCTGGATCTGATTATCTGCCACAGTGCCGAGAGTCTTAAACAATTCACATTACATGATGGCACCGTTTCTAATGAGAACAATATTTCATGAAAGTTTCTGTGAATAAAACCATCACATTGGCGGATATCCAAGATGCAACCAGGCTGATAGTCAATACATTTACATGCTTAATAAAAAAAAATATATGCTGTGTACCAGTTACTTCGAAAGTTGGACCTGGGAATGAGTTGACCTGAGTTGACGGTGTTCCAGTGAACAAGTCGGAAAACCAAGATAGAAGCTAACTGTTAGCTGTTGTTAGCTGTTGTTGAAAATTGTCAGCTGTTGTTAGCTGTTGTTAGCTATACCAGTTGTAAACAATGCATAACACTGTATTTTACTCTTACATACAAGCACCGTGTTCACAGTTAGATGTTGGGCAGTACAACATATACACCACTTATTTAATTTTACAAAAACAAAACAGAAGTGATAATAAATGATACATTACAAGAGCATTCACTGTTACTCTTTACTGTTAATGCACTGCGCTGCCATCTTGGATTATGACGTTGTCATCAAGTCAGGGTTGGTGAGGATTGTCCAACTTCAGGGGGGGCGTTCCAGATGAATTTCCGACGTGAAGCTTGGAAATCCTGACTTCTGAGTACAACTGGAACGCAGTTATTGGTTCAGATGCCTTAGTCTGACTGAAACTGGACTTTTAAAAATCATGTAGACACATTAATTGGACAGAAACTGCACTGCATTTATACAGTTTAGAGTTTATTTTAAACACCATCCAAATATTAAGTGGCCTTAAATGTTCTTTTGATCCAAATATAAACCCTATATTCAGTTTTAGAATGAAAACCAAATCTACAGCATTTCCTCTAAATTGTAACCTAAACCACAGGTATGAATGTGTTTCTTCATTATAACTGTTCCTCATAGACTAAAGAGCTTTGATTTGTTCTTAAACTACAGGATTTATGATGTGTGTATCTGCTATAGCGGCATTAGTTTAAGTAATGCTGTCCTCCCTCTTGAGCAAATAGACTGAGGCATTACCCAATAAAGCTCCGGCTGCACCTTGTCTTACAGCCTATTAATAAACAGCTCTATCAAACTGTGCTATTACACTAAGATGGACTTTGTTCATGCTACACTAGGCTGTGATTTGTTTGTGTGCCAATAGTTGTATAACACAGCACCTCCTGCTGAAGATGCACCTAAGCTTCCTGCTCACATAGTTCACCTCTCTGTGGGTCTGGCTCCACATTATCTTTGTAGGCCACGATTTCACGTTCACCCAGCCCACCCAGATACACAGGCCCGGGTCTTATTTAAAAATCCGGCTGCAAATATTAGTCGGAGATGTGGATTACCTGCAGATATTCCCACATGAACACTCCCCCGCGCCCTGAGTGCCGCTGGAGGAAGGTATGCAACGTGCCAGACCCGCCAATGATCACAGAGGCGGCTGTTCCGCTAAAGATTATGAGATTAGAGCGAGAGCCGGGGTCACAAAGGTCACAGGCCCGTGTGGACCGAGTGCAGTTTTCCGTGTTTACATACATACATGAAAGCTTGAAGGTATAGAGGTGCATTGTGCATTCAGTAGGTTATGATGCAGACAAGCGAGCGGTTTATAGTCGGGACTTAAAAACAGGAAGAGAGTGGGTGGCCTCGTAATGACTGTTTCAGGTGTGATTCATTCATTCAGGGATCACTGAGAACAGTTGTTTCGAACACTTAAAGAGCCGCACAGTTGAGTTCTGTTGGTCACTCATGGGTAACTGTGTTAGTTTTTTAGATCACAGACAGTTGAAGCAGTTTTAAAACTTAAAAAAAAATGCAATAACCACTTAGTAAGAGCGTTTAAAATTCAGTATTGTGTGTTATTAATGCGCCCTGATGTTAAATATTCCAGTTTATAATGTATTCAGCAAGCATGCATGATATTATGATATAATATCAGTGTTGGCAGATATGAAAATGTCTGCTGATGTGCACGCCCAATTATGAGCTTCAACATGTCAGCATGGAGGCATTTTGAAGTGTTGTAAACAGGCAGCAAAATAACTGCAATGCTTGTAAAGCCCAGGCAATTCAAGGAGAAGCAAAACAACACTCCTTTAACATTACCGGTTTAATGATGCAACTGAAGAGCCTTCATCCTGCAAAACCAAGAGGCATCAGCTAAAACCTGTCTGTAACTACTCCATTTCAGTTATTCCAGCAGTGACTGTCCAAAGGTGAAAGAGCCTGACTTGAAAAAGACAATTCACCGCTACCAATGACAAGCATTGCAGAGTGGTGGAAGATGCAAGCGTCTATGTATACTCATAATTTCAAATACTTTACATTGGATAGTGTGATGCACTTTTCTCCTAAACAATCATTTTCACCGCAACTGATATTGAAAACCGCAGTGTGTGGCAAATCTAGTGACTGTGGCAGGCGACTATTCATATCAAATTTTGGAGCATATAGTGCCAAACTAGTTGAAATGTTGTGCCCTTCATCAAGAGTACCAGGTCAGGAGAGCATCAGTGTATAGCTATAGGTTTGGTATCATATCAGGTTATATGTGTTTGACAATATCAGCATTTGGATGTTTGCAAAAATTCAAAATTGTGCATTCCTTGTATTCAGCAGTTTCTCATGCTACAGTTTGAACTCCTTGACTATGATATTCTGTATCTATTGTGACAAAAAGGCCTGTTAGTTTGCTCCTGAAACTTAAAACGGCAGCTAAGGCTCATGGGTACTTTAGTGTTCAGGCAAGCTCTGAGGAAATCAAATAACAGGAGGCAGAAACAAAAACAGAAAGAGTTAGAAGTGCGGACGTTCATAACATAGACTTGTTGAATTATTGAATCACTCCAGAGACCTTTATGTGTCTGGAAAAGCTTTAACTGTAAATACACACTGATAAAAGTCTTAAGTTGTTTATAAGAAGTTTCACAAAGTTAGACATCATACTGTTTGAAATCACATGTGCATTTAAAGTTTAAAACTGTGGCAAACTTTCTGTTTCCCATCCATTTTTCTCAAATCCCCCCTGACTAGACCAAACACAAGGATTTATATACTGTATGTGTAAGCCTCGACTACTGGCAGCTCCAAGTGTGGCCAGCTGGCATTCAAGTTTCCACTGTGTTATTGTAAGTGGTTTCCATAGTGCTTAACTCAATGTTTTAATTTGAAATTATGATACGCCTCTTAAACCAGCGAAACAAAACTGGCCGCTCTTGGAATCTCCATTCACTCTTTAATACAGGTCAGATGTTTCCTGAGCCTGCGTCCCTGGGAAAGCTCGTTTCCAGTGAGAAGAGGCCGTACTTTGATGGATATGCCTGAATGAATGAATGCAGCACTATGCAGTTAATCATTGTAGTGGCCGGTGCAATTGAAGCTGGTATGCTTGGCTGAATTAAGAGCATCAAAGATAATGGACGGCTTGAATGTTGAATGAACTCAACGGGAAGTGAAGAGGGGAACAATGAGACAGAGTATATCACTATAACATCAGATGGAAACCGCACATAGTAAAAGAGGGATGTTGTATCTTATTTCCTCAATGAAACCAGTGTGCTTTTCCATGGGAACACTGGATTTTTGAACTGGTCTTAAGGGCTTGTCCATCTTGAACGTCATCAGTTCCCATGTAAATATTTAGCGAACGTAAGAAGGAGAAAATCCCTAAATCTGCGTTTATGACATTTCCAAGATATAAGAACCCTCCGGCACTGAATACAGGAAGGTCTATGTCTGAAGGAGTTTTTCCCCTCAACCTCTCACTCTAGAGGGGGACCCAGGATAACAGTGTCTATGTTTCCCCTGTCAGCACTATTTTAACTTTGAGTGCTGTATTTGGCAAGCAAAGCATGCCACCGCCTGCCTGCTGTTTGTCATTTCAGGCAGCGAGAGCACCCACCGTCTCCCCCTCCACCTCTTCAATCAGCCCAGGGAGTTTCCAAAGGATCTGGGTCACAGGTTTAAGCCCTACCGGAGAAGAAATGTTCTCAGCAGACACCAAGTCTGTCTGGGTCGCCTGAATGGTGATGTTGTCTTTGTTTGCGGTCAATGCTGTGGCCGGCGCTGGTCAGATGAAGTCAAGAAGAAAAGTAACACCTGAGTCACTGAAAAGTGGATTAGCATGGTGCCTTGAACCTGCAACAAGGGATTTATTGACCACTTGGAGACAGCACCTTGTAAATACAACCTGATCAGAGTGATTCTGGAAGTGTTTTTGCTAATATTTGACAATTCAAGCAACAATGATGATGTTTATTTGGGGGTTTGACCACTTAACTGTTGTGGATATTATTTTCATTGCCATTTATGGTATGTTTTCCATGTCCACCAAGTCTTGGATAGATATGGAGTTGCTAATGCCATCCCAGGTTGCTCCATATTTCCTGGTTTGTCACTTTTAGCTAACAAATGCAGTGCACCTTTGACCTCATTGTGGCATATTAAGAAAAAATGCACTCGACACACTAAGAGAAAAATACATTTTTAGTTACAGATATGATTTGTGAGACTGAATTCCACTGCTGACAAGTTGTCCGAGTTTGAAACTGTATCCCTCCTGCAGCATCCTAGACAGTCTCGGAGCCGCCAGCACCACACTTCTTACAACTGTCTTGCTTTTTGTAGCTTTTGTTGTTGTCTGCAGTTTGTGGTAAAGGACTTCTAGCCAAGACTACCTTTTCCATGAAATGCCTTTGACTACAGTCAGACTAGCAACTTGAGAAGCAAGAATGGAGCTGGCGTTGGGAAGAATTGTCTAAAATGTGATTCTTGTGTGTGCCGATGCCAGAATGTAGCCATGCAACAAAGCATGCCATCAAATTCAGAGTACAAGACATGCTTTTTAACACTTCTTTATCATTAATGCGTGGGTGCAACCAGGTATTTTATTGTGTTACAATATTTTACCATGAGGATGGCACTAAAAGAAACAAGCAACTGCTTCTGTGTGCAAAGCATGCTGGTCACACAACAAAGCGTCTCAGTCTTGCAGTGCAACTCTCACCCTCATTAGGTTATAATTACACCAGTGTGTTTTGACCATGATTTGTAACTAGTGTACATTAATCACAGCAAACACATTTAAGACAGTTCTGGGTTTTAAAATGGAGGAGCAAGCTAGGCTAATGTGTCCTGCTGGTTAGCGTAAATGCTAGCATGCCAACTCAGCATTTTTTAATTAGCAAATGTTAGCAAAAAGTTAAAACTGAGAGTCTTTGGAAAAATCATTGCAGATGGTTTAAGATATTTAATTAGGCTAACAGAGAAGTTAAGCTAAAGTAGGTTACTGAAGATAGTTAGCTAAACTCCGAACAGTGTTGCTTTTGTGTGACTCAGCAGAGATGCTAGCAAGTGAAACAGCATTAGCGGGCTTGTGAAATGAATTCAACAAAGATTTCTTTGTCTTAATTCTCCAAATGAGTGGTTAGAAATGAAAATGGAAAATGAAACACAAGTTTTCACGTATCATATCTCTGCTAGCTGTCTCCCCTGTCGGTCGTTATTAGCGCAGTGACTCAGCGATTTCCGTGCCAAGTGGTTTGCTAGCATATATAAACTAACTTTAACTACCCTGTGACGGAGCATAATACTCTGTTTATTTTGTTAAAGCACATTTGTTGTGAACACACACAGTTGGCTCATCTGAAATCCCACAGAGCACAGGTTTATTTAGAAACGTGAAGGAGACACACCCTGATATCAGCAGCTCCTGCCAAAGTGCCCTCAAGCCAGACACTTAACCCAGAGCTGCTGAAGGTCAGTGAGTGTGCTTGTAGCTTCTGGGTGTGTCTGAAACTGTCTGAGCGGAAATCAGGGAGTAGGTAAAGGAAATACATTCACTCTCTTTTAGTTTCGTATCAGCTCAGCGTCTGTGGTGGTGTCGTTGTTTGGCCTCCAATAAGAAACCCGCTTTCTCAAATAACACCAGGATGTAGATAAGGATTCTCAGTGTGGCTGTGTCGCTCGTGTATTTTTGGTTTGTCACTTTTTTATAGCAACTGCTTGTACCAAAAACCCCTGTTTCATTGACAGCTGTGACAATTTTATATCATCACTTACGAGTAAATAAACTCAGATAGTGTTTCTATTATGCTTTTGCCCCCTTATCTTCAAGCAGAAATTACTCGAACTGAAACACAATTTAGCTTCCTAAGCGGAAGGACTTGCTGAATGTTATCAGCTGTTTGTGCACAATGGCTCAAGTAGCTGCAGTCTGACCAGCTGCCACAGAGCAAAGCAACCCCACATAAAACAGACTGAATAACACGAGGCAGAAAGAAAATGAGCGGTTGTGGAGTCGAGTGCATGCCTTTGAGACTCCCGGAGCAGAGAAAGGAACTGTATATAAATTTAGACTTCTAAACAAGGAACTGTAAATAGTCCCATTGCTGACATTGATTCTGACGGGTGGAGGAAAGTGTCTGCAGTCTAAACATGAAGGGTGGAGTCTGTCTGCCTCAAGTCGAGGCTCCTTGTCAGAGCAAATACCTGTCTTTCACTGTGAGTTAGCATCGTTTCCTCTGCTTACTTAACTTTTCTGTTTTTACTGTTTACCCCCCTGACCTTCTGTTTCACTGCTCGCTCTGACTCGCCGCTTTGTGGGTCAGCAACACGTCTACAAAGGAAAGAGTGATAACTTTTTTAGCTGCTTTCAAGGACTTTGCGGTCGTGAAACTGAACATAAAACACAAGTGACTTGCTTAATCAAAGTCAAAATAGAAAATGCAAAATGACATTATCATGGAAGTTCATTGCTGCCACCACAGCAAACAGAAAGACAGAAAGTCATTCCAACAATGAAGATTTTTTTGGGTGATGCATGCACAGAGACGGTCAGGATGGAGAAGCTGCAAGAGTGACGTCGTGCTCTGAATAAGAATAAGAATGTAGTTCACTTCGGAGACAATGAACTGCCGCCAAATGTCGATGTACGGCACCCAGGCTTCCCACTACTAGCTTTTTAGCAGTGGGGATGAAGCCAGCTCTGTTGAACTTGTGGAGTACTTTTATGAACAAACCAGCTGGGATCCAAATGGGCTAAAACCCAGCATGGATTCAGAGCCGTGCAACTCTTTGAGAATGGAGAATGATTCCCTTTTGTGTGTGTTCAATGTTTCTTTACCACCAGTCCTTTATTTTTGAGGACTTGAAAACCATCTCTCCCTCATCTTCAGTTACAGAGCAGATTTTCTTTCCTTTTATTTGGGTTATAAGTCAGAACTTTTGGCTAAATTTTCTTCTAACAAATGAGAGTTGAATCTAAGTTTCCAAAACATTACACTGGTAAAACACACTAAAATGGATTGACTTGGTTTTGTTTGTCTATTATTCTACATGATATTCTGATTTAGTTCAGGAAATGCCAGTGACTGAGAATTAGGAATTGATGTCTGCTTATAGATAATTTAGGTGCAGCTGATTAAAAATGAACATGAACTAGTTCACTTTTTTACTTTTTGGACCATGAATGTTCAAAATTTCAGCAAAAAATCAGCTTTTTACGATCTTTCTTTTGACTGTTCGGCAGCATTACACTTCCATACATTTCTATGGTTTTGTATCCTTATGTAACAGGTGATATTTTGCACTGAACAAGGCATGTCAAGGCAAGAAAGTGTCCTAAACTATCTGACACGCAAAAAACGTGATAATATGAAAAAACAGCAAGCCTTGAAAGATTGATCTACTGTAAATCCTGGCCAGACTATATCATTCCTGATGTTACAAACTGATCCCTTCAAAACAGGAGTCTCCATTGATAAAGCATCTGATATAACTGGAGGCTGTAAGAGTTTGAAACGTCGCCAGTAAATCCCTGCTTTTGCACAGACCTCACTTGTCCTCCCTGGTATTGTTTGGTCTTACGGCGATTGGAATTCCAGCGGACTAAAAATCTTGGCAGCGAGATGAGTTGACCTTGGATTCTGTCCCTGGAGGGCATGTCTGCATAGTTTGGCAGATGTCATCACCTCCCATCAGAGAGGTATTTCAGAGTGTCCTGTTATGACTCGGGTCTTCAATTCACGGAGATTCGCGGGCATCACCTTGCAGTTGAGTGACAGGGAGCTTGACCCAGATCAAGTGCAGAAGAAGCTCCCACAGCTGTGTCTTTTATGAGGAAGGAGAGATCCTCGGTAAAGGGCATTTTATAGATAGAGAGTGAATAAAACCCGAGGAAGAACTCATCTTAAAACTTTAACAGAAGCGTATTACTCATTCTTTGTTGTGTATCCTCTTCCCTTCTGTGAAAAACTGCCCCCATTACCAGTTTGTCCCACAAACTCATTATCGTAACCATCAAATGACACCATGTAACCCATTTTCTTTCCCATGGGACAATATTTTCCAATGAAACAATGTCCTCTAGTCACATCTCTCCAATATTTTCATCCAAGAATCCACAGAAACGCCACAAACATTTCAGCCTCATTCCTTGATAGCAGAAACCACGCTGTCATACATGTCATAATATGCAAACCCATCCCCGTGGCAGACTCTCGCTCAGCTGGTTTCATTAAGATCTGGAGCGCTCTGCATGTGTGAAACTGATATAACGCTTTCGTCAGATGCAGCCCAGACATTTCATGGTTATCAAGCGCCGTCATTAATGGTGCTAATTTTAGAAAGCGCCAATGAGAGCTGCTGATGTGTGACAAGCCTCATACAGTCTGGAATACACATTTGAGACCTCGGAGCTGATAGGATGTGAATGGCTGTTTAATGCAGTTGAAAAGGGAGTAAAATGAGGATGTGACGATGCACGTTAAAAAGTGTGCTCCTCAAACAATATGTATTAGCGTGGATTAGAATAGGCTTTGTGAATCGGAGATAATAAGCTCAAAGAATAACAGGATTTAAAAGAGAAAAAAAAAGACATGTACATGCAGATACTGGAATCAGAATTGGCTCTGAAACTACATTCATGCACTGATGACAGAGGCCCATCTGAATGAACTAATCCCATTCTCTCAACGTTGGCACAGCCAGCAGGGGCAGTTTAGGATTCGGTGTCTTCAGCATGCATCAGGACCTGGGATCATCAGAGGACACAGTCATTACATGCATTACAGTCTGGTGCAGAAGTAGTTCAGAGGCTCGAGTCCTACGATTGATTCCTGGTCCTGACTTGATTTGGTCCATGTCACTTTGGTTGCACCCCTAAATATGAACATGAATGCACAAGCCCCCAGACTTAATAAAAAGATACGGTAACAATTTATTTGATGCATATCTCTGTAACGCATTATAAATTTATATATAATGTGTTATAATCACATTATAGCACTGTATAACTATAGTTATAAACACTCATAAGTGATCAGAATGCTTTATAGCAATAATCATAACCCATCATAAAGCATTTAATCATGACTTACAAGGTCAGGTATTATAATGTGTTATAACTGTTAATAACGGTTGCATTGCATTATCTATGTAGGCATTTGTCTGTTAGTTGTTAACAGTTATAACACATTATAATACCTGACCTTGTAAGTCATGATTAAATGCTTTATTATGTGTTTTGATTATTGCTATAAAGCATTCTGATAATTTATGAGTGTTTATAACTATAGTTATACAGTGCTATAACATGGTTATAATGGATTATACATGTATTTTTAATGGGTTGTAGAGAAAGGCGTCAAATAAAGTGTTAGCAAAAAAGGATGTTTGTAAAAATGAATAATTTAAAATGGTGTTAATTTGGATTTCTTGGCTTTGGGAGCCTGTTGCACTTTTTTTGCACTTCCCCTTCATCTTTATCTTTAAACATTGGAAATTTTAGCTTGTTTGCGTGATGTTCTAGCTTGTCATGTGCACAACCAGATGATGCACACTGCAAGAACTCAAATCATATCAAGTGTTTATATCTTGCTCCTTTAAAGAAAAATCAGATTAGGTTTAACTTAAGCCACGTTTACCCGACAGTTCCAGGAAAATATCTGCTCAGAGCTTTTCAATTTTTGTTTTTGGCATCTTTAATATCTTGGAATAAGCCACTTCCTAGACTTGTCAGGTGAATGTTGCTAAAATCAAGTCAAATGAGACGCTTTGTTTTTTCGGGAAATCACCTCGGACAGCTCAGTTGGACAGGATGTTGCTACTTTACTAGATAACTTTTCCATTTTTGAGTTGTTATTAACTTACCTCCAAGTAGACGTGCAGACTTGAGTGAAATCTGTTGGATGTGTACCGTCTTGCAGTCTAGCCTTGTGTACTTTATGTTTTAGATCCTGAGACTGGGCTTGTGTGACGTGTTAGGGCACATTTAAGCAAAGTAAATATAAATCTTAAAAAGAATGGCCTTTTTGTCAGTGCATCCCAGCGGTGCATCATCACTCAAACAGCTTATCCCCTTTAAAGATCATATAGAGACGTCTCTCTTGCCTTCGGTTCCCCTTACCCAAAATACTTTGAATACTAACCCATAAGTCATGCATGTCCATGGAAATCAAACCAGCACTGCGTCTTCCTAATGTGCCATTGGAGGAGAGTGAGAAAAGAACCAGAAGCTATTAAACAGAGATGTGAAATATCCCAGCTCTCTTACATGCAGGAGGGGGGGAATAAAACACACACCTGTCCCAGTAATCATCAGCGCAGCGCCGTCCCATGCTGCCTGGATTATGTCACCTAGCACATGGTGAGATGTGATATACGACGCGATGCCAGTGGCGTAGAGAGACGGTAACCCAATCGCACGTACTATTTTGAGAATGTATGGCTTTTCCTGAAGCACAAATAGGTTTTTGGAGCAGACTGGATACGCTCTGCCTCGGCATGCTTACACTCAGATCCCCATGGGAGGGTATCCATTTCTACGGCCCAAATGGAATGAAAATGCACGTTAGCTACCAGGTCTTATGACTGACTGGAATGATTTGACCAACTGTGTGTGTGTATGTGTGTGTGAGCTTCTGTCTCTGTATGCTTATTAAACAGAATCTCCTGCAATTTCCATTTAATAAAAGAAGAATGAGATGACCTCTTACTCGAGCCAGCTCCTCTGTCAGACAAGATTTCTGCGGCGCAGCTTCATACCTCTCTGACTTCAGCGGATCTTCCCTATGGTGATCTGGATTTCTACTCTACAGCAACACTCCATAAAAGGGAGTAAAAGTTATGGAAGGACACATTTTAAACCCATTCAATAATTTCACAAAATGATTTTTTTTTAAAGAGCAGCTGTAAACACAATATCCTGGCTCTTGTTTTCCTCCTTTCCATTCACCCCCCGAGTGTCCATTGAGGAAATCGTTGCGGCGAATATAACACAATGTCCAATGTGTAACTATGTTGCTCCATGAGAAGCTGCTGTCCTTGTACCATGTAAGAAAAAAACAACTTGGCAAGACAGACAGATTTACTGGAAGAGTGCACTTTATTCGGTCACCAGTCTTGTCCTGAAACACACACACTCTTCCTGTAAGCGCCTTTGAGATGCCCAGTTATGTTCCACTTTGGGATCTCCTGTTATTCGGACACATACAAGACTTCGCACCGTGTTCCAGCGAGAACTACATGTCACTGATTTGTCTGTGCACACATGGTAACCGCTAATAACTGTATCATACTTGCTGATTAAAAGAGGATCAGATTCTGGCTGGCACTCTCTATGAAGGTAGGGAAAAGAGAGGGCACCGTGCCCGGATCCTACAAGGCTTAATACCAGTTGATGCGTACAGATATGACAAATTCAGTCATGTGGTGAAAATGTGGGCAAGTTGGAAATGGATCTAGAATAACACACAGGGAAAAGATAAGCAGGAGATGTCTCCTGCGCTTAGGACTGGAAGTAATGTGATTCAGTGCCAAGCCAGCTGGTTGGGTTTGTCTTTTTCCGAGGCTGCACTAAAGCAGGAGGCATCATGATTTTACACAGTTAGATGAAATATTAAGTTAAAATGTTGGATGTTGAAACTAAACGTGGGCAAGTTTTCAAACGGTGAGGTAAACATTTGTCGGTGTAATCTCTGGATGAGACTGCAGTCTGAGAATTATGAGAGAGGGACACGAAATTTGATCAGTTTGTTGTAACGTGGCGCAAACACAAAAATTACGAAACAGAAACATTGTGTTATGTTCTTGCTGCTGTGGAGTGTCTTCTCGTTCCCTTTATAAACTTTCCTGATCAGATTTGGGGCCTAAAACATCAGACCAGTTTTCATATTTTGTGGTGAACTCAAGGCCACTAGCTCCATAATACGGCAGCAGTGGAGGAGGCTTCTGGAAAGCCATTGGAAGAAAATAGGGTCAAAAAGTAGGGGAGGTTTAAGATACAGCTAAAACAGAACATGTTTTTTTTTTTTTAAACACCAACTTGACATAAATGTAAACCATTTAGTGTAAATCATTTAGAGTTATTACAGACGTGGAAGAAAGACATTTTAAAGCCTAAAATGATTTTAATCCCCTCAAGAATGGTGCAGTTTGCATAATGTAGGACTGCAGGATGCATTTGAAATCCACTGTACAGAAAAAAAGTCAAAATTAAACAAGACTTTTAAGCCTAAAAGGCATTTATTCGAGCAGACACTTTGACTTGTCCTAACAGGAGAAGTACAGGTGTAACTATTAACCTCCTCATGGCTCCGCTCCAGAAAGGAGTGCCAGTGAGCCGTGCCAATGAGGCGAAATACAGAGCGAAGGACTACAAGCATCGGCACAAGCAAATACAGCGCAGCTTGTTTTCACCTGGGAAAAGGTGTATTCAGCTTTGTTGGTGGTGTGGTGGAGTATCATAAGAAAAAAAAGAATGTAAAGGGTCGTCAAAAAGGTGTATATTTAAGAATTTTGATCTTAAAGTTAGTTCAGGTTAGTGGTCATAGTCTGGAGCGGGTGGGAGGCGAGTTTGTGGTGTGTCTATTCCAGGTGATAATCAAAATGACGTCACCTGGCCAGTTTTATTGTGGCAGAGAGGACACTTATCAGGGTGTCCGTGTGCACGTGGAGACGTAGACCACTGTGTACTGCTATCGTGCGGTCATTACTAAAGTTGGTATAACTAGAGAAGCAAGCGGTCGGCAACATTCACCTCTTGAGGAGATGTCTAACTTGTTGTTACGGTGTGTTTGACGCTAAGTTAATTTTACGCCCGAATATCCCTTTAAGCAGCGTCAAAGGCAGCGCTGGCTGCTGCTGCTGTGAACCAGTTAGTCACAGGGTATGATTATATAATTTTATTAACACTTTTTTTTGCATCTCAGTTATCATCAACACTGATGTATTGTGACAGCCTTCGTTTACAGCTTTTTGCACATCTGCAGTATGACAGTAATCACACACAGCTGCTGAAGATGTGGCGTTTGGCGTTAAATCTCACTCACAATAAGGGTAATGTGATTTTTTTATGTTTTTAAAATACGCGTCGCTCTTTGTTTTTGCCTTTTCACAACTGAAAGCGGTGCCAGCCAGAGCGAATCCGTCTGAAATAGATGGCTTTGCATTGTTGTGTAAAAGCATGTTGTTTTTCAGATTTAAATGCCCCAGCTGGGTCTAAATCATACGCCAAACATTTGAGGCTGCACTCATGCATCTGTGCTCTCTGTAAACAACTGCTGCTGATTTATCCAGTTGTGCACACAATCCTCTTTGAGCACCATCAACACACACTCAATCATACAGAAATCGAGGATAAATGGAGCCATTCAGAGTGTCTGCTTTCACGGTTTATGCTGTAATAAATGCAGCACAAACAGTCAAAGACATCTATTAACTGAGCAGATTATATAAATAAAACATGACATACAGGGTGTTATATGGAATACAATGCTGGAGCAATAATAAAAAAAATGTCCTGACCAGAATGTCAAACATGCTCCTCTCTTTCTATCTCTTAGAGATTTCTCTCACTCTATTTTCCTCTTCACAGGGAAGATGGTGTGATAACAGCTTGACAAGACGTGGTCTGAATGAGTAATGCTGAGGGGAAAAAAGGGAGACAGTATGTTCGAGGAGTATGACAGGTTACCTACCAGTTTGCAGAGAAGGTGTTCAGCCCCCTCGTCCTCCCTCTTTCTCCCAGCACATATCTTACATCTGTTCAGCTGCCTCTAATTAGGGCTTTTACAGACGGCAGCATTAAAACGGCCCCGGAACCACGCCAGCTAATGAGACGCCATTGACAAGCCAGATCTTTCAGTTTGTCAAGATCTATCTTTCACTTTGTGCCTCAGCGGCCAAAGTTTGTTCAACACTTTGTGTGCCTTCACACCTGTTGACAGGCCCTTGCACAGATTTAGAGCGGGTCACTGAGTTGGCTTGTTCGTTGGCGCGGTTTGCGGCATCTGCATGCTCGCAGCGATGGATCATTGACATTTCTGCATGCTGCGAACACGAAACATTTTTCACCACTTTCTCGCTGCCAGTATTTGTGTTAGATTGAACACCGTCGATTCATCACTCTGCTGTTACAAAGCATGTTTATTTACAGAGGAGAATGGCAAAGTCTAAACCTACAGTAGTTTCGTGCCAACGTATCATTTGTACATGTCAGTCTGTTTCAAACAGAGCGATGAAGCGCGTGAGGAAATACTAAAACCACGCCACTTCACTAACAAGTCAACTTCCCAAAAATATAAATTATAATAATGAGACTGTACTGCAGCTTGGATTCACAGTGGTGTGGTTTTAAATCATTTCGACATGGTTATTAAAAAGTAGAAAACTACAATTATAGTATCCCTTTAAAAATGATTGATAGTGAAGTTAATCAAACAAACAAATAGTGATGATACATCCTCGACAGCACTTCAGTATTACATAATTCACATGAACCCATTACTTTTGAAATGAAAAGTGAATTGAACACATTTGGAGCCAATTACAGGCTATTAACCACAAGAAATATGAATAGACGTGTGTGTTCAAAACACAAATGAGTCATGCCTGCTTAAAAAAGAGAGCTCATGATTCAGACCTTTGTTTCCAGGCTGTCAGAAGATAAATGATCAGCTCTTCTTGGGTCACGTCAGGTAAAACATTGTCCACTCAATCATCTCCTTAATCTTTGATAAACATTTATTATAGAAGAAAAAAAATCATTGACAAACAAGAAGTTACAGAAGTCTTGAGGTCGCAGATGAAGCACTGGTGAACTCCTCAGAGGAGTTTTTAGGGAGTTATAAAAAGACTGAAAGTGATACTGAATGCTTTTATGACCGACAAACACAAAACAGACAATCAGCATTAGACTGACTCTTAAGTTCAGGGCCTGTAGCCGCTGTAAGGTGGGTAAGTGTCAGACCAGATTACTGACAGCACAGTAAAGAAGCGACTTTTTCACTCTCCCCACGCCAAAAATCACACTAGCTTTGACATTTGATAGCTTTGACAGTTGATAGATGACAGGATGAGATATTTGCCAGAAAACACGACTTACACCTGAACAGGATAAAATCAGCCTCAAGATAGGAGTCATCATTTTGTCCACAGGTGGCGCCAAAACTGGCACAGGCAGATTTTCATCATAGGAGCCATCAAAGCAATGATATTACATTGAAGAGAGCTACTAAGAGGTCTTGTTGTAATGATACCTGAACATTGTTTTCTTCTCTCACACCTGCACAAGCTTTTTGTCCTCAATCACCAACCAAAGGAGTGAGAAAAAGAGTGTTTCAATCTAGAATTCGACTCTTAGATTTGCTAAATTTGTCTATTCCTGCAGTGTAACCTTAAAGTTGATGTCTAAGCTCAAACTTACATCTAAACTCAATCATGTTCATGGCTGCTTGGACACTCTTAAGTCCATTATCTGCACCTTTAATGTCCCATTTTTGTCTCCACCAACTTACGAGGATAAAATATAACATTTCAGAGTCCACCTGCTCTTTGTTTTCTTGGTTCTAGCTTCTTGGTCCTGTGGGTCTTGGCTCAGCCGCTGATAACAAGGCTTGAGAGCGTGGTGGGAATAAATCAGAAGATACAACTTTTGGTCTCTCTAGTCTGTTCAGGCCGTCAACATAATTTGCCTTAAGGATTCCCTAACTGATCATTTACACTTCGGTCTGTGTGCCTTCAAAAACAATGCTATCACCCATTATGAGAGGCAGACACTAAGAACACAACCCAGGAGTGGAGAAAGAAATCCTGGTAGGACAGGGACAGAGAGGCGGAAAAGAGTCCAAAATGTGGCTTGGTCTGACACAAAATGACGCTGTCTGCTGCGATTTTTAGCCAACTTTTGCAAATTCCTTCAGTATGTTAGTAAAAACATAATGTATATCGAATCACTTTATTTGAAAACCCTTAAATCAGATGCACTTGTGAGGATTTGCTCCTTGTTTCCTCAGCTGTGACTCAACCATAAACACTAGGGCTGTAAAGTCCTACTCGACATTGGTCGGTACCTGCTGAGTCGACCAAAAATCTGATTGGTCGACTTTTTCTGCATCAATTTACAGTCTGTGGTTAATTTCATCAGGAGGAACATACCAAGTGCTAATGGGGGTGTTTTCAGAGCACCCCCATTTTACAGGTAACAGCCTGTCATAGAACATCCTTGTTGGATTTGCCCAACCTACTGGAGACAGTTAGATTGGAGAGCGTCCACGTTAATCAACGTCCAGTGCTTTGCTGAATATTTTTTAAATTTTGAGCATCATGCTGATATCAGAGTCGAAAAAATTCTTTCTTTGGATCTCTTTCGTTTTCTTTTGTTGATTACAGCCCTAATAGACACTTTGGCTTAAAGTCTCAGATTAACTTGGTCATGGCGAGAAAAGCTTTCAGATACAAGGTTAACTTACAGATGAGTATTTTTGGCCTTCATTTTTCCAATCTTGGTCCGTTCATATAAAGCAAACTCCTCTATAACCCCAGCCCAAAGCCGTGCTTTTAGATCTGATTTATTAACATAACTCTTGCGGTTTTCCAAATACATGCTCATTACAGGTTTCTGCTTTCGCCTTGGTGTGTGTTCCTCGCATTTGGAAGTTAAGTAAGACGTACTGTACGTACCAAAATGTACACAACCACTTTCTACAAGCACCAAAGAGAAGCGCTGATGTTTTATGAGCATTTATCTGGGGAGGTAATTACACTGCTATTGTTCCTTAAATGCAGCCTTATGAATATGCATGGCCTCCAAAGATAATATAAGGCTTTTAGTGGCTGCCTGTCACTTCAGTTTCTTGTTTATGTTTTTCTGATAGCGGCTGCATTTAATTCCGGGTTATGTTTGGAGGCAAATAGACACAAAGGCCTTTTTTTACGAGCATACAGAGAGGCAGAGAGGAGTGCTGGGAAGTCTTTTGTCAAATGCTGGACACTCAGACGCTTAATGACCCATGGAGGCTATTAAGAAGTCAAACTGGGTGCTAAGTGCTTTGCATCTCCATTTATTTGTCATTTTTCTAACCATTCCACAAACAGGCACATTAAGAGGGGGACTATACTGAGTCTGGTGACATTATAGTCGTCCTCAGAGGATATTAGTCATAGTGATGTGTGTATAAGAACGGTTGCGACAGTGACTGATGGTCAGAAAATGGCGTTGCATCAGTCGATATTACCCTTGTGCAAACTTAGTACTCCGTGTTGTGGAAAGCAGCTGATTACATCAAATGAGTTATGTTCAAGTAAATAATAACCTTCATTTCTCATGAAAAGCAGCTGGTTGTCAGTTCAGTCGCTGGAGGTGTTTATATGAATGAGGTTTGTTCCAAAAGCGTCTCCTCTGGCTGTTTGAAAACTTGCAGAAAAGAGTAAGACAAGGCACTTTTGTCAGATTATACTTTGCATAACTCTCCTTTCCATAAATTGTATACACCCCGGCGTACTTCTTCAACCAGCGCAGCCACAGTGATTGACATGCAAATCCTCTGGAAACCCTCAGATGAATAGAGCCATAAAGAGCTGCTCTGTGTGCAGCATTGCAATTATGCAATAATTGTATTCCCCGCTCTTATGGGAATAAACCTGCAGACACTAAGTCACTGCCCTCGCCTACAGACGTTTCCCCTCAGAAACACCAATTTTCCCATGTTCTAATCCTCAAATTGCTACTCATGTCAACTTTGCAGATCCAGGTACAAACTTGCTTGGTTAAGCAAAGCCAGCCCTTTGGCAAGTTGTTATGCTGGGATGTATGTGCAGACATTGTTCCCCAGAGTTCAGAGGGCTAATACACTCTCCTCAGAGGTCTTCAAACACCAACGCTCTGGATTTAGTGTGTGCTGGAGATGCACAAGGTTGCTCTGTTGCTAGTTAGACAGACAGAGGCGGCTTCTTATTTTCTATCAAGCACATTTTTCATGTCAAACGGTTTGTGTAAATATTTTTAGGCTTAAAAAAAAACAATTATTAGGGTTTGGAAGAAGAGAGAGGAGGTAAAAACAGGCAACATAGACTCCTGCAGTGGGATTTAGTAATTACTCTGGTGTCAGATTCTGCTGCTTTAAAAATTGTATCATATTTGTGGATGAGAGACATATTTTATGGCATTGCTGGAAGCTCATAGCAGCACAAAATTAACCAGTTTTGACATAAAAATATGTCCACTGTTGATCTGAGTTTAGAGATAAGCAGTTCACACTGATCCCAGACTATTTCTACATTTCAAAGTGGAGACAGCCGAATCTGAAGTGGAGGCTTTCAGTTGTTCAGTCCAGCCGTCGCCCCCAAACTCTGCCTTTTGGTTTTTCTCCTTCATCTCTAACACTACTTAATGGGTTTTACATGTTTTCAGATAATACCTTACTAAGAGCAGAGTTTGCCTCGTGCAGACTCTAAATGATACCTTGAGCATCTGTATGTTGAAATGATTAGACAAAGCATGGTGTATTTCCTGCCATTTGAATAAGAAAAGGCTGATGAAGCATGTGTTCGGTTTGGGATTGACAGCCGTGTTGACAGCAGTGTGGCTGTGCAGTGGAAACTTAGTCATGAGTAAAGAAGCGTGTGAGCAGTTTGAAGCCTGCAAAATTAAAAAATGGATCTTGCCCATCCTTTCAGCTGTAGGCATGTTGGACGTCTTTCTTTTGAACATCAGCTGTGTCACTGGAGTCAAAATTTCTATGATACAGTCAAATTGTTTGTGTTTTTCTCTGGATTAAAGGGACTGCGTGTTGTATTTAGTGGCATTTAGCAGAATTGGCTTGATAAAAATGGGATGTTAAATTAACGTATGTTTGAATTAGTGAATAATCACTTGATAACAACAATCATTTTGATGTTCTTCATTTAAAATGAACCTTTCTTCATCTATACAAAGAGTGGGGTCCCTTTTCATCAAAGCAACCATTTTGCATCACCATGTCTTTACGGCAGCAAAGAATGGACAAGATAGTATGTGTGAGTTTTTGGTGTGTGCAAAATATTTTATATTGGTGAACACTATTGATGGTAGAAACTTAAAAAAAGGAAATAGAGGTTCATATTTACACATACCAGGAGCTTCCTGTCCTCGTAGGCCGCTGTTGTCTCTTTAGTTCCATTTACATGAGGGGTGAGCAAGGGAGCATTTCAGTCTAGATTAAAACTGTGAGATTTAACCTCCTCAACATAAAACTTTACCCCACACCACCTCCATATTCATCTCTTCTTACCATCTGTTCATCCTTCTCTTTATCTTTTCTAACATTGAAAGAAACTCTTTTTATGTTGCCATGGTAACCGCGCCACACAAAAACTAAAATCCCCCTTCTCACAGTAACACCAGCCATGAATAAAACAAAAACGACAAAATACAAGTTGACAAAAGATTTCAAATGACATGTTTTAGCTGAAAAGCTGAAAATTTTAATTTTAAAGCTCCTGTGAGTGACTTTTGGCTTATGTCAATTTTGGCGCCCCCCTGTGGACAAAGCAGTCTTTGCTTATCTTGTCCTCTGAATGCTCGAGTTGACTCGTTTGACAAAATATCTAATCCTGCTGACTGTAGACGGTCGAATCTACAGTTAATTACAAATATTTTACATGGAAATTATACAAACAAGGCTGACACCTTCCCCCTCACATGGTATTGAAGTGTCAGTCTTGTCACTCCCTGATGATTTTGTTTAATCTTGAATATCATGTAAAGGCATCTGAATGAATTTGAGTCTATTAATTGAAAGCCAATTAATTAGCTCATGATCATATTGGTGATTCATTGTTTTAATTGATAAGCTGACACTGATAATAGTCATAAGTTGCAGTCCTACTATGACTAAAACGCTCTCTTTTCACCTCTTTACTAAACTTTTGTCTCAGTGCTTCAGACTAAAGCACTAAAGCGTTTCCACTTAAGTGAGAAGCCACAGGCCTGTTTCTGTGCGAGCCAGAGCTGGATGTTACAGGAAAAGAGCATTTGTGCTCTGCAAACCCTCCCTGGGTAAATAAAGGTTGGAAGGAATATACTTTCATTACCCTGCTTTCTGCACTGCAGCTCCTCTTCTCCAGACAGCTGGGCTAAAAGGTTAGGGAGGCCTGGCGGGGTGGCAGTAATTAGAAATCCAGGGCGACCTGCTTAAAGAAATCAATGTGTATCTGGAAGCAGAGCCAGAAAGAGGAGTTTTATTCTTAAACCGCCACAATTAAATGTTATTCTACTTGTCTCCTTGTCAGCTTTTTTGGATTAATCATCCAATTTGCCACAGCTGAAAATCTCATCAGACGTTTAGAGTCTTTCCTCAGATTTGCCTGTGTTGCTCGTAGCTTCTTAAAGGGTTGTTCGGAGGTTAAGTTTGCAGTGTGGATTGTGTGATGTGTTTAGATGGCTTTTTCTAAGTTATTAAGATCCAGGGGAATTTAATACACTCAGCCCTGGGAGGTCTGTATGTGACTTGAGTATTCCTGATTGAAGATAAGATTAACGTAATGGGACAAAGAGGAAGAAGATGTGTGAAGATGACTCTCTTAGTGTGTGAATTTGGCCGTCTTCCAAGTTGCAATCTTAGCTCAGCTGAGATTCCCCAGCAGATATGTGTGCTCCAAAATCAATTTAGAAGTCATTAAGTGAAAACATTATTGACCTCTATGTAGACATTCATTGCAGGTTTGAGTGTTTCTGTCCCGGAGCCAGCCAGCTACAAAGTGGGCTGTGATTGGCTATTAATCCTCTCAGCTGAGTGTATTGTAAAAACCTGCATCTTTGATCACTGGTAATGGCAGAACCTGGATCCAGTTCGAGAAAGCTGTCCTCCAATCTGGCTCGCTGCAGATCAAACTGTATTTTTCTCCCCCCTTAAAAAACACCCAGCTGTCCGGCTCACAGATGTGACTACAAAGCAGCCCGGAGCTGCCGTCCACAGCTGCGGAGAGAGGTTTAAATAAGACTTGGTTCATCTGTCAGCGTCTGGTTTCCAGCCAGAGGAGGTGGTTAGACTTGTAGTGACTGTGAGAACAACCTCGACGTGTTTCTACTTTCTTTTTTGTGCTAAACCATCAGTCCTCCCACTTAACGATAATTAACTCTGATATTGATTCAGAGTTGGACAAGTGAGGCAGAAATTGAGGTTGATGTGGGCAACCTAGAATTAATGGAGGCTTGGACTTTAAATGTAATTTAAAAGGGAAACAGAAAGACTTCACACACTTCAAATATTCACACACTTCTTCTTGTACTGGAGCTTTGTGATATCACTTGTAAAATACTGTAACTATAATTGTTTAATAATGGTTTTTGTCTCTCTAATTTAATTTTCAGTAAAAGTCATTTACTTTTCTACCCCTTAGTTTTCTTTTTTACCAAAAAAGGTGGAACGCTGGGTACAATTTTCATAAAAACTGCACTGGATGGTTTAGAAAATTCAATAATCTTATAAAAAATAATACAAAGACAACACATCTAATGTCTTAACTGAAACATTTGCAATAATATCAGACATGACTCTGCAGTGGAAATTACCTCATGGACTTGACATTACTACCAATAAAACCAAACTTATGAACTTACTTTGTCACTGCGTCCACAAATGCAGGTTGAAACTGAGCAATGCAAAGAATAGACTGGAGAGTCACATGATCCAGAAACACCAGGACTTCTTTTGGAAGACCAAACCTATTCTTGAGCATCTGAAATCGTTGAAGGCACCTGACCACCTCAGCCACTCAACAACATGTGTTAACTTAACAGCGTACTACCGTTTGGGTTAAGAGCATGATTTTGGGATCGCTGGCAGACCAAATGCAGTATTGAGCGTTTAATCATCTATTGCACATGGACGCCATGGATGCAGGGCATTTTGGGACTCCTCACGACTTCAATTAAATTTGTTGAAATCATGGATGCTGCGTCTTCTTCCTCAAAGAGAGGGACCACCTGGCTTGTTGTTAGCGCTCAGTTTTAAGGCTGGCGTTCATGGTAGTACTGTATGTAGGTGCATTGGTGCCCTTGGCATGGTTAGCTCACATATCTGAAAAAGCGTTGTCACTTTGGAACAATAAAAACAAGTTTTGGAGCAACATATGCCGCTCTCCTGACAATATCTTTGTCGGCAAAGACCTTGGGTATTTCAGCTAGACATCCAAAAGACAAAATACTGCATTAATGTAAATATTGTTTATTTATTTTTGCTGTATTTTATTTATAACTGAAGTTTGAGGGTGTACTTTGGTAACACTTTATCTATTTACCATTGATAAATTATGGTTATTGTAGTTTATTAATGTTTAATCATCATTTAAAAACAGCATAAAGACCAATTATAAATGGCAAATAGACAATTTATTAATGTAAGTTAATAGTTTCTTTACTATTAACAAGCAATGAAATTATGATTAATAATCATTAAATTATTAATGGACTATTTATTCAAGGTTTATATAGGGTTTAGATATTGATTGTAAAGCATCTAGATTAAAATGTGTGTTAGTAGCACTTTGTAATTGTTAATATTTTTTTTTTTCACCATCTATAAACATTACTTAGATGGTCATTGTAAAGTTAGGGTAAGGTTTTAAAAATTGTAAAATTAACAATTTATTAATGGTCTATATGCTATTAATAAATGATGATTAAACATTAATAAACTATCTGCTTACCATTTATTAATGGTCTATTTATAAGTCATGGTTATTGTAAAGTGCTACCTATACGTTTTTATTTTCTGGCTGATTCTGGCGCTGATATCAAGCCTAAATCCAGGCTCAGGAGCCCAGACATAGAACACCAGCGGGTCAACACACATAGCCGGCTGTAGTGAAAAGACCGACACTCAATCTACCATTTGCTGGATGCCAAACACAAGTGTGGGCACTAATTAGAGGCTCTGAGAAATCATTGAGGGGCTGGGAAGCGTTGTAACTCGAGGAGAAGCCGTTGTCTGGTGACAAGTTTCCGTCACCGCGCTGGACGGGCCAAAGCCTGGGGGGGTTGAAAGAGTTCACTCCAGCTATAGTGTGTTCACATGTGCCCGCACACTACAGTGCATTCACTATCATTAACAGCCTGCAGCTGTGGCTTTATAGAGCCGTATCACAATTTGTAATCATTTCTCAGATAACACTTTGTGCGTTGTATTTCCTTGTATAGTAGTGATGGAAGTGAAATCCTTCCTGGATCGAGAGCTTCCTGTTATTCAGCTCCGGCTATTTTTAAGACCTCTGGTTGTTTATGTTTCACTGTTTTCTAGCAACTGGTACCTTGACTTACAGTTGGTATGAATGGATTTTTAACCACAACTGTAAAAGTCATCTACTAATCACTTGCAGAGGTAATTCTTTTTGAGTGATTTTCATTTTAGTTTTAAGTTTTAAGGATGTTGAAATGATTAATTTTCTTTGATGCACTTAAGCTCAGAATTTCAAGAGGAAATTATTGTTTCTTATTTGAATAGCATGTCTAAAATTCCATTATTTTGCATTTTGCACGTATGAAATGTTCAACAAGTTTCAATATTTTTTGCAGTCGTTCCAGGTTAATTCTGTATATTTACTGACCTTCAGTGATCCCTGGTTGATACAAAAACATTAGCACTTTTCATGAGTTTCAGTTTGATTTGTTATTTTGTGTGATAGAAGTTCTGTTAACTTAAAACCATTGCTCCCTGCAACCCACCAAACGTGGCTCCCATTCACCGTGTATTGCTAATGGACACTTCACTGGAACAGTGGGAGCATATAAGGTGAAAACACTCCTCATATCCTACTATTTTAGCAGGAGATTATCAAGTAAATCAGGTATTTATTTTTTTACCTTCGGTTGACAATGGTTTGATACTTGCCAAGCATGTGCTAATAGATCAAACTGCTCACCTCTTTTTCAGCTCTGCAAAATTTCATGTAGCTGTTTTGTGATGGAAGCCCCTGATATTAAATCCCTGCATATGATTGAACATTGTTATAAACTCATATATAGGTATAGTGCATTACCAACCATGCTTCTTATAGTGCTTATGCAGGGAATTTATTGTCTTGTATTTTGTCTAAACTAGAGCCCGCACTAACGTTTGGAATAACTTAAATAAAAGTCACACAAAGATGGACTTTCTGTGGGAGTGATGCAGAAAGAAAATAACAGCTTAGTCACACACAGGCATACACACGCATGGAGAGATCAGGTTGAGCCATCCGATACGATCTGCAGATGTTTTGCTCTGCCTCTGCAGCAGGTGTCAACAGATGTCTACTGCTCTACTGCTCTCGGCCAGGTTGACCTTATGTTTAGAGAGAGAGAGAGACCACCCCTCAGTCAGTTCACACTCCTGCTGGAAATTATCTGCTCCCTCTAAAGTGTTCCTGTGCAGACCATTAAACCCTCCCCCCTCCAGGGTCGCCGGTCTGGCCTCCCCGCAGACAGCAGCACGAAAATGGAGCATGTCATAGCGAGGATCAATAAAGTGTCACATTATTAAGTTACGACACAGCAAAGCCAGCAGGTCCCCTCCTTTCAGTGCTGGGACTGATTACATTTCTTGTGACCTTTGACCTCTTCATTTTAAAGGGCTTTCACGGGTCATAAGTGTCCACCTGTTGATGACAGGACTTGAAGTTTTCACATGTTTTGAAAGTGAAGTAGACAGGACGAGGAGGAGGAGGAGGGGCTCAGGACTTTCAGAGTGATGTTTGCATTTTTTTACTCCGTCTGTCAAAGCACGGAGAGGAAACAGCTCGTCATCGAGAGCTGCTACTGTTTGTGTTGATCTTCACATGTGTCAGGAAATCTTCTGACATGCTCCTCTGTCCTGAAAAACCTGTGATTGCAACAGGTCCCATCACTCACAGACAGACTCTTCACTATGTGCAAGAATGTTTGCCTATTTTCAAGCGAACATTGGGAAGTCTCAGCTTTTCAGAACAGAAAAATGTGTTGAAGGATCCTCAACACTGGATTGATAAATAGGTAACAACAGGTCATAACTGGCAAAGGGTAAATTCACTATATGTGGCTTTACATCACATTTATTGGAGCCATTTCAGTGTATTTAAATTTTAAGTCTCAGTGAGCCTCCTAGAGGCCCAGGGTGGAACTGCACTTTCACACTTTGCACAGTTTAATATCTTCAATATCGGTGTTTTATGACCATAGAATGTTTATACGATGACAACTTTCTTCATTTCCTGAAACCAACATTGCGCAGTAGTGTTGTACGCATTCAGGGGGAGAATCACCGAGAGTCGCTGTGATGACGCTCGGCTCAAACAGCGTATTTCCGGGTGAGCTACGCAATCTTGGTCAGCCAATAGGCTGTATCAAGTGTCAATCATAGAAAACGTGGACCTACTAATAACTTTTGAAAATGGGGCTGCACAGAAAAAAGAGGACTTGAGCACAAACCAGTCTGACAGTAACAACATGTCAACATCGCAACCAGGGGGGAGAAAAATTTATGTTCTGTGTAATAAATTTCTAAAGTTTGTTCACAGCCCCATAAGCTTTGCTGGCGGAGGCAGGATTTATGACCTATACTGCAGCCCGCCACCAGAGGGTGCTGTTCTCGGAGTGGCTTCACCCAGCGAGGAGGCAGACTCTGTTCATTCGATACAGTCTATGATCATGACAGAAAAAAACAAAACACCAGCATATAATATTAAAAAAAACAATAATAGTAGGTCAAAAACTTCATTAAAAAGCACAGATCTTATATCGTAAATATATTTCCAGCATTGACATTGATTTGTCGTACATGTGCATAAAAATCTTGATAGATCTTCTATCCAGCAGTAAGTGAGGTGGCAGAAGTTTGTTTTGTTTCCTTTGGGCAGCCTCAGCAGTTAAGTACATGCACATTTAAGTGGAGCTACGATTACTGCGTGATTAGGCATTATAGAGATTGACTACTGGCTTTGTTCAAGTATACAAGCATCTGATTACTTCACATGCCAAAACAATCGACAAACAAGCCAGCGAGAAGCAAAGAAAACAGTAAATGCCAGCGCAAAGAACTGGCATCAGTCGACACCAGCTCTTATACTCGTGGGTTGACGACATTATAATTGTGCTAGCATTGTGAGTCCAACATACTTGTACACTGGAGGGTCTGCAATGTTTACAATATTGGGCCTGAGTGCTAGCTGGCAATATGATGTCTTCTGTTCCCTCCTTGTTTGTGTGTTTGGAGCTGATTAATGTTGTGTAGCAGTTTATCATTGTACGGTTTTCAGAAAGAGGAAAAGAGGAGAGATTTTGGGGGAGATGGACTAAACTTGGCACTTGATATTCTTCCTAAATTATCATGCAATGCTCCAGTAATGTTCTTTTAAATATCTGTATTTCATTTTTATCAGGTGTTGTCTTGTATGGCTGTTAAGATCTTTGTTATTTATGTCTTTACTCTCTTGGTGCCAAAAAACAATTCTCCTGAGGGGCAATAAAGGTTCAAAATTCATCCATTTATTCATCCCTTCATTCATACAGCCTCTATGGCAGTGGATGGGGATGGTGGTGATACCAGTAATGTTTGCCATCAACCAGATCAATCAAAGGGTTGGCAGTTTGCATTGTTTTACACCTAATAGGTTCTTTTTTATTATGAGCTGCACATCCGATTTTGTGTGCAGAGGTATAAAATCCAGACTTGAGGGGATAGATAGTCCTGCTTTGCCTACAGGGGTGACAAAACCACATTAACCAAAAAGTTCCTCACAGGAGCTTCAATATTAAAATACAAAAACCTGTTTTTGCACATTTTGAATTTGGCTAAGTATGCAAATGTGCAGTATATACAGTCAAACAGAATGCACGTTGGATTATACCAATTACCATTATAAATAAATCCGGCACATGGCTTTAGCATGAAGAGCAATTGGATTCATGCAATTCCTCTTACATGCATGCATTCAGCGATCACCTGGCTGTTAAAGGAAGCATGTCTCATAGTCTTTCATGCTTATTTTAGCAACCTCTGGAGGGAATTTGGGTTTCCATTCTGCTTCCTCTTCACCTAACACACAGGAGCACATGCCCTGCAGATGAAACCATTACAGAAGGGTCCCACGCAGCCAAATTATTGTATAATGGTATAAAAGATTCCCAGGGTCTGTTCCAGCCCCTTTCTTGCCCGACTGACTGTAAACCAAAGAGCAATAAATATCCTAAGCAGGGTCGGGAATTTACTGCACCTGTAGTAACCACTACAACGTCTTAATAAGCAGCAGATGTTGGAGTGATTGCACCGAGCCTGAAACACATGCATGGAAAAAAGGGAATTCTTTGTTCGGTACAGTTTCATCACCTGACCAAAGCTGCTTCACCTCTGTTCCTCAGGGGGGGCTCTCATTCATTCTGATCAGCAGGTAACAGGGCTGGAATTAAAAACAATTTGGATTTAGTGTCACGGTGACTCGGTTGTCGATTACCGGTCAGGAAATAGCTGTCGTGAACGCTTATACATGATGCATGAGGCCGCTGGAGGAACACTGTGTAGTTCTGGAGCAATCTGTAGCCCATAATGTGTGAAAATGACAATTTAGTCAACGCACAGAGCAGATACAACCCTCAGGGAGGCGTAACCAATACTAATTTGTTATGGCGCTGATGGTTTTGGGATTATAACACATTTTTGTATGCTTAACGTCATCAGGCATGATAGGAACTCTGAAAAATGGCTCTTCCCTTTTACAAGTGTCTCGTCTGACCTCGCGTCAGAGACAGGTGGACATGTTTATCGCTTTTTCAAGGCTGAACGCTGCTCTGGCCTTAATATTTCCAGTCTTCTCCAGAAGAAAGGCAAAGTTATGTCTAGTATATCATGCGGTATGACCAGCAGATAAACTCTGAGCCGAGAGCCGATGGAGTGAGTAATGATATCATGTGAAGAAAGATGGATTTAGTGCAGCTAACAGGAGCCAGAATGAATGGTTCTCATTCCTCCCGCTCCTTTTTTTTAATGAGAAACATGCAGCAGTCTGGATAAAGGGGGCCGCTCTCATTAGTTAATCTTTGCTGGGAGGCATATAACATTTATTAATGCATCTGGGTATGCATGCGCAAATGTCAGTGAGTATAAAAAGCATAGTTTTGTGTACTTTTCAAAATGCACCACGCTGTTTTAACCCTGTAATCCTGTAATATATTTCGTTTCATCATAACAGGCTGCAGTAGCAGTTCTATTAATAATTGTTTAAGGCTTGTGTGCACGAATGCAAGATTGTGCACACGTCCATGTCCTCCTGCATGTGTGCACCAGCTCTGTTCCGGCAGGGGAAAGGTTAATGTTTAACAGCATGAATGCTTCACCCACTAACGTGTGAACAAAGCACAATGGCTGCACTGTATAGGCTCTTATTTATTCAGAGTCACTTCCTCCCTTAATAGTCGGCTCTACTTTCCTCAAACAGAGAAAAAAAAGTGGGTCAAGGAAAAGTCATGTTTGAGGTAATTCACTCTGGGGGACCTGCTTCTCTGATCATTAGATGACATTGGTTAACCCGGAGAGTGAGGTCATTTTTAAGTCAAAGTTACACCCAGAATCCAGCCCTCCACGGCTGGTAGCATGTCTGCATTTTACTGTACTCAGAGGGCGAATCAGTAAGGGAGGACATCAGTGAGGGGATTGAAAATTCACAAGCATGAAATGACAGAACTGTTTATATAAAGGAGATAAAGGAAAGCTGCAGGGAAAAAAAACAAAAAGAGTCTGGTTTGTGACCTTGTGGGTTTTGCTCTAATCAAATATTGGTTTTCTGCAGACGTCCTCCGCACCGTTTAAGAGTTCTGCTTTGATGCAAGCGAACAAAAGATCCACAGCGGAGACTCACTTCGATGGTTCATTCCAGATCTTCTTGCACAAAGACCTGAACCAAGCAGGAATGCAAACACATTGTTACCCCCACCTTCTGCAATTACTTGTGATGAGTGTCTGAGGATTAAGCAGGGTATTTGCTGACTTTTTGGATTTAATATGATTTCATCCGTGCAGATCTTAGGAATACCTTTTCATCAGGATCTAATGCTCTCATGTCAGGGTTCTTTTTTCTCCTCTGTTTCCCCTTTCTCTGCATAAACAAGTACAGATTTTCCTTTCACATTCTCCCCTTAATTATAGTCTCAATAAAGGGGCATTCCAGGCATTGTTTTTACAGACTTTCCCAAGATGTTAGGAACAGAGAGTCCTAAAATTGAGACCTTTACTCAGTGAAGGTCTCAATTTTACCCAGACTGCTTGAGGAGCAGGGGTGAAAAAATTGAAGGGTACCTGTTGTATGCTGTGAAAGACTGTGGTTGTTATGCAAGGGTTGTGTTTTAAGTATAATACACACAAACACATGTAATCAGGTGAGACTACCTATCGGGCATTCATCAGAGAGGCATCAAGAGGGCACTTTATTTACATGTTACCCACCGGAAAGGCATCCAGGGGGCACTTTGTTTTAGTTTTATCCATTTGAAGGAAATCAGGAAGGAAACTTTGTGTATTTTACACAAAAAGGGCACAAAAAAAACACTATTTACATTTGACCAACAGGAAGGGCATAAAGAGGGCACTTTGTTTACATTTTATCTATGAGGAGTTCTCTTAGAGGGCACTTTGTTTACATTTGACCAACTAGAAGGGCATCAAGAGGGCCTTTTGTTTACATTTTATTTACAAGGACTTCTTTTTGAGGGCACTTTGTTTACATTTTATTTACAAGGAGATCTTCTAGAGGGCACTTTGTTTACATTTTTCCTCTCAACAGGTGTCAAAAATGTTCTTTGTTTTCATTAGATCTTCAGAGAGTGTAACCAAGAACACTCTATTTACATATTTCTAATGGGAGGGATTACATTGGGCACTTTATTAACATCATGTTTACTAGCACAGCATAAGAGGGTACTTTATTTACATGTTATTTACCAGAAGGGCATCTAGGAGGCACTTTGTTTACAGTTGATCCTCTCGAAGGGCATCAAGATCGCACCTTGTTTTGGTTGAATATATTGGACACGCACCTAGAGGTCACTTTCTTTCCATTTAATCTACCTGAAGGACTTTCAGGGTGTGCTCCACTTACATTTTATCCACTGGAAGGCCATTCAGCGGGCATTTTGTTTGATTTTATCTACTGAAAGGGCACTTATGGCACTTTTTATGTGACTTCTGGCACCATTAAGGCCATTTTCCAATGTTTATCTCCTACAGAGGCATTTAAGCTGCATTTTTTAGTCATGAGGGCACATGAGTGGATAATCATCCACCCTCCCCCTTTTAGTTCATCATGGCCTTTACTTACTTGTATGAGAGCAGGTAGATTTTGACCATTTCTATCAGTACCACATGTACATACCTGCATCTGGACCTATACCACAGGATCACATTTTTCTCATATAATTCATTATGCACTTTATGAGCCGGTATGTTGGAGCCCACAGAAATGGGATGTAATTAAAAACATGTCATTGTGATGGAGGGCCGAGCTGTAATAGCTTGAAAGCTATCGGCTTGTTTCCTACTGAGCCAGCAGATGGATATAAAAGCAGTCAATCAGATCTGCTGTTTTTGCTCTTTTGCTTCAAAGAGAAAAGAGTCATTTCCCCTGTAAGTTTTTCAAAAGAAACAACAAAAAGTTATGGTTACATATTTTAAAGTAGGCGTGCTGTTATGATGGGAAGGTAAAGCTGAAAAGCCTAAAATATGGTGCTTTTGACCCAATAATCTCACTCATTTGACCACAAGGAGTGCATTTATTATTCTGTGAGATCTGCCGGAGAAGGCGGCCTATTTTTTGTTCGACAGTTTGTACTCGAGGCCAAACTCTTCACACAGTTATGAAAGAGCCTCTTCATTGGGAAGTCATGCCCGGGCCTTGTTTTTCTTTGCATCTGGCACTCTGTCATTCAATCTGTTCCCACCTGGCTCCCCACCAAACCCAAATGAAAACATCAAAGCGGTCTCTGATATCTGAAGTAATTGTTTTCTTAAAGAAGTGTCATTGTTGGTTTATCCACTTACTCCGTTTGATCGACAGCCACGGTCAAGGTGCCAGGAGACAAAGTCCGGATGATATCAAGTTACATCTTGATAAGAATGCTGTTTGTTATTGGATTAGGGAAAGATTGCACACCTTTGTGTTACAATATAAAAGCAAAACACCAAATTAAAAGTACATTTACTGATGGTGGTTATGTTGTAGATGTTTCTTTAATCTCCTGCTGAAACAGATTAAAATGTTTATTAATCACTGACTACTTAAAAAAACGTGCATCATTGAGTGATGGAGCCAAGGCCTCAGATTTAGCTCTCATATTGGCAAGGAAACAAAAAGTATGTATGTGTGTGTATTTAGTGTGATCTCAGAACCAAACAGATTAATTGAGATTATGATTTGTGGCATAATTGAGCAGCCCTAATTACTTGCACTTGGGTGTGTAGTGTTGGGTGGAGATCCTACACAAGCTGAATCAAGTTTAAAGAGTTTGACTATGTAGACTTAACTTCTTCGTGGCAGGTTTTGCAGAGGGGTGATTGGTCATCTTGAATAACTTCTTTGTTATTTTTGGTGTGCCTGAAATGCTCCCATGATGCTGGCTGACTTTACTGTCGTCTTTGGTTGGCTTGGTTGCTCTGCCACGGTTAAGCTAACGTAATGTGACCAGGATGTCTTATTCAATGCAGGCTGCGCCAAACACGGTGCATTGGTAGAGACTGACAAAAGACACACTCTCTATTGGAGTGTTATAAATAAGAATAACATTTCAAAGAGTGAGAATAAGTGAAACTGGTTAATCTCTAGCCATCCAACAGTGCGAGTTACATTCAAATTTTGACCAAATTATTGGAAGGAACCATTGAACATTGGCTGGAAATTAGTAGGGACATGCTGCTGTTATTCTTACCAAATTCTTACCCTTTGAATGAAGCTTTACCCAAGCCACAGACAGAAAACCTTGCGTTAGTAAGCAATGCGCAGGGGGTACCAATTGCATCTATTTTCGATGTGGAGGGTCGGCCATAGACTTTTGCCCAAAGTGCCCAAATCCGAGACAATTTGGGCAAGGTCTCAAGGTGTTGATATCTGTCGAAGTAGGCCTGTCATTTAAGCCTATGGCCGACCCTTTGCCAGCAAAGACGACTTGAGCACAGTCTCAAAGCGTCACTATCTGACGAAACAGGACTCTTACTGAAGTCTGTGGCAGACCCTCTGTGTCGAAAATGGACGCGAGTGGTACCCCCATGTGCATCGCTTACTGACGCAAAGGGTTTCTGCCTGTCCGTCAATATATGACGAGTTGGGAATGAGAACGTGTTGGTGAAAACTGTCCAATCTGAGCAGCTGTACCCAGGCAGAACCTGGGACTCCTTCACTCCTTTAGGTCTGAAAATGATCAATATTTGGCATTTGAAGAACGTAGAGGGACAAACCACCTTTTTAATGTGTTAAAAAAAACACTGAGCAAGGCTTTAGTGAGTGTTTTGTTTCTTAATTATTTAAGAAACGTACCCGACTGTTTGTTAGGTTATGCAACACGCTGATAAATCCTCATCTTAACAGCCCTTTGCTCAGTGACATTAACTACCAAAACATAGACTGCCGTAACAATAAAGCATCCCTCTAAAAGCTTTCTTGCTAAGCCAAGCATTTAAGCTAAGCAACCATAGGGTCATTGAGGAATAACACACGAGCCTGTTCCTTTATTTTTCCTTAATACTGGACTATCTCCATGCTACAACACAAAAACACACATTATTTATCTACATTACTGCTGGAGAATGTGTTTTGACAAAACCTCAAGACTTAAATCATTAAACCAGCCAGCTACAGGAGCTCAGCTTGCATAAATCTGCCAGCAAAAGTTGATATTTCAGCCTGTTTCTGATTGTTTTCCTCCGAAATCGAGGACATGTTGTATCAAAAGTAACAAGCATTTTAAACCTCAAGTAAAAGAAGAAAGGCTCCACACGCTTCAATTTCAATTCTCTTTGACTTGTTTTTCATTCTGAATAATTAACAAACACTTAAAACAGAGCGTTTCCCTCACTTCACCGACCACTCCTCCAGACAAATTAGTTATCCTTGGAAACATCCAGAGAAAGTTAGTGCGCCAGTGGAACTTTTTGACAGCTGACAGGGTGGCCACATGGCACTAACTTAACCTGTCTGTGTTTGTGTTTCTATTACAAGCAAACAACCTCTGAGTGAATCACACCGTTGGGCCTGAATCACTCCCTTCAATCAAATTTATGGCAAAATAAAGACCAATCAAGCTCAAAATGTGTTTCAAACATCAATATCTTCACTAAGTTGCACCAGGGAAATGTTTACTCATCCGTTTAATGGACCGACAGACTTCTAGCAGCACACTCCTTCTAATGAGCACATTAAACCCCTACAGCTTCCTCTGACGGCTAGACACATTGGATTGGATTATGAATACTGAATGATCACTGGGGCTACAAATATGAATACTGCTTAAACAAGCTAAGAACAGGCCAGGGATGGAATTGGAATACCTTGCGTTTGGTCTGTTTAAAGGAAATTCAAAGAAAACTGTGTACAGCCTCAGTGCGCCCCAAGTCCAAAAATCTTGCAGTCACTTTATTGCAAGTGCGACATATCATTTTGCTGAATGGGGGTTTCTGTTGATGGAATAGAGGGTGCTGACAGGGACCCAACTTTCACTGGAGTAGAAGTCAGAAAACCACTCAAGGATGTACAATATGAGTGTACCACTCTCTCTCCAATCATAAGTCAACTTGGATCACCTATTGATTCGATAGTAACTCTGGTATACGCTATATAGGAACGTTTTTTAACCTATACTTGAAGAGGATATTGAGGTTCAGAGTTACACATAAACTTGTGCGTGGCAGCTGTCAGCCAGGAGGCCAAAGCCAGCCTCTTCACCTCCTTGCTTATGTCTAGGTTAACCAAATATCATGTTGAGTCAGCATTTCCAATACGAGCCTCTTCAGAAACCAATGGATGACATCAGAGACTTCATAGTCTGTGCTAAAGAGCACATTTTTCTCACATGTGATAAAGACCAGCTGTGTTCTCACACATGGCATGCATGTGCTAAGCCAGGTCTGATATTTTATTGCATAGGGCCATAAATCTGCTGTATTTCTGTAATTTTCACATTTCATAATGAGCTGCATTTGTCTTCTCGAGCTATGAGAATAAGAATAGTAATATCATTCCTCGCATGTGCTGGTAGACTTGATCAGGCTGTTTTGATTTGGTGAATTGGATTAACAGCCCTGTAATCAACATGGCTGCAGGTTGGTATTATATCAGTGGTTGTGAGGCTCAGGTGGAATTATCCTGATGGTGTCAGGGTGTCTGATGAAGCCTCGGGGAGGTAGAGTGACAAGCCTCTTCACTGTGATTAAATTCAGAGGCTACTGGTCCCAGTGGGCTTTAATGGCTTGATGAGAGAAGAGCTGTTTGAAACCATTGGGCAGTGATCCATGCGAGTTACTGAACAAATCTGAGTCTAATTGAGTTATGTTGGCAACAAGCAGTTATGAACCAGCTTGTATGCATAAAGCAAAACTACAAAGTTCATTGCTGTCAGCTTAGTTTTCACAGGTTGACTAGTTTTCATGTTGGCCAACATAGTTTATCAGCTGTATCACGTTATAACCTGCTGTACAGTTGGAGACAATGCCATGTATACAGTACAGTATGATACAATCTAATATGGTTAATTAAAATGCAATGCAACACATTGCAGCATGATGTCTTACAGTGTGTTTGGATTAAGAGACCATGTAATGGAGAACAAATACAATGCAATGCACGACAATGTGATGTGATAACATATTATGTGATACAGTACAATACAATTCAAGACAATGTGATATAAAACAATACAGTGTAATGCAATACAATCCCCAACACATTACAATGTCTGATATGTTATAGTGCTGCGTGATACCGTATGTTATGATATTATAACCTTTATTTAACCAGGTTTGTGCCATTGAGATCCAAGATCTCTTTTGCAAGAGAGACCTGGCCAATGATACAATACGATGCGATAGTTGATCAGTGGTAACACCTGTGTAACTCAGCAGCGGCAGTGCTCAGTCTTTATAATTGGCCAGTGTATATTGTGGTATTAACTTCTATCCAGAGTGCTTAATTAATCCCACTGGGAAAAATGGACTTAAAAGGACAGATGATACTGTTTAACATTAAAATGAAAAGCCAGGGGACAAAACAGCACATTGTTACAACAATAACAATGAGAGCAGCGGGGTGCAGAGTCCCCGTAGCAAAATATGGAAATTCAACATTTACAAACATCCTCATTTTTCCTCAGATTATTCTCAAAGGACAGAATAAGCGTTCAATTTTTAGGATGTTCCTCATAAATATGACAGCATTATACTAGTCTTTTTCATTTAAGGAAAACTTTAAATTTAGGGAGGTTTTCATGTTGAATTCCTGTTATGATGTAACAAATGTAAATTAGTCAAATGTTGGATCAGAACAGATGTGTCAGGGTTTTTCCAGATGACACTGTCTGAAGGTGTATAAATCCTGACGCTGTCATATGTCTTTTTTACTGTCCAATACTTCATTTGATTAAGTACGTCTTTGCCAGGTGTTTGACACATTTATGTTCCAAATCATAACCTTGTCAGTGTAAAAACACCCAGTGATCCCCCCCCACATGAATGATTTTAATGGAACCAATCAAACTTTTACAGTACGCCAAGAACAAATCATAAATCTTTGTCTCTATTTTGGTTTTAGGGGTGCAGGACTCACATCAGGAGAAGATTATAACAGTGTCTGGAGAGGGAATGGTCCAGAGCCCTGACTTCCCAAACACTTATCCCAGGAATACCGAGCTGGTCTGGAGACTAGTGGCGAGCAGTAACATGAGGATCCAGCTCACGTTTGACGAGAGGTTCGGTCTGGAGGACCCTGAGGATGGAATATGCAAGTAAGAACATACAGATTTTTATTGATATCTTGGTATGGTTTTAAACTGTAATTTGGGCTAAAAGTTGATCAGTAGGCCAAAATTCGGTAACACTTTATAATAACTATACGTTACAACTTGTTAATAGAGCATCTGTAAACTGTTAATTAATAAGTAATTCATGACTTGTTAAGGATTTATAATGATGCCTTACAGATAGTTAATATATCATTAATTAACTGTTAGTTTATGAGTTATAAATGACTTGTTAACTGTATGTAGATGATTTATAACTATACCTCACAAATTGGTAATAGATCATGAACAAGCTATCAGTAAATTACTAACTTATAACTTGTTCAGTATCAGTTAGAAGTTTATACATGTTATTGGGAAGTCATTTTATAGTTGCAATTATTCCACATTTATTAACAGTTAATAAATGAGGAATAGCTGCAACTTTAGAATAACAAGTCATTAGTAACTAATTTACTAATAGCTTGTTTATGATCTATTACCAACTTTTAAACTATAAACTAACAGTTCATTAATGATTTATTAACCATCTATAAGGCATCATTATAAATCCTTAACAAACACTTAACAAGTCATTAATAACTAATTAATTAACAGTTTACTAATGATCTATTAACTAGTTATAACAGATAGTTATTATAAAGTGTTACCCCAAATTCTTCTTCATGTTAAGAGACTACGCTTACTTCTACTGTAAACTTACTGGGGGACTTTGATTTATATCAGAACAGGACAAAATCCAGTTTAATTGTCCAAACATTATAGACTGATATTTCACATCAGACCTTTCATACTGATGTTACAAATGTGCTACTCTCCAAATAACTCTCTGAACAGCTTATAAATTTCAACATTAACGATAAGAAAAAGTATTTTTTAGTGTCGAAATGAAATATCCACCACCCTTGATGAGATTGATGACCTCCCTCAGCAGTTAGCTGTTGCAGACTTTTAATTAAGAGCCTCCTATTTGCTTGTTTGGCCTCGCTCCCATCAAACAGGGGGTTCCCCAGGATGGCACACCAGATGTATGTCGGTCTGGAGTAAAGACATGTCCTGCCTGTGTTTGTAGCCATCTCTAAAGATTTAGAGTCAGAGTGTGGCCATTTGTGAAATTGCCTCGGTCTGGCGTGGCAGCTCTGGAATATTGAAAACCCAACATCAGAGTGATTTGTTTCACCCAAGACACCATGATGACGTGGTTTAGACCGGCGTATTTTACTTGATGTGGTCGATATTTTTAGCCCCTCACATGATTTTTCAAAAGACACGTGCCTCACCCACTGACTGTCACACATAAACTCAGACACACACACTCATATAAACAGCAGAAAAGATCCTCTGCTTTATTGAGGAGCCCACTTTCAATTACTGCCGGGGTTTGCCTCTGTTGCCGTTCAATTCAAAGAGGGATCCTGAGCAGCGGCGATCGATTTACCCTCTGTGCATTATGCTCAGTGCCCTGCTGTCAATATATCACAACTGACTGGTTAGCATGGAGGAGCCCATAAATGAAAGAAGGAGAGGAGCTGGGGGAGGGTGACCTCACTAGTCATTCCTGGAGAGCCCCCTAATGGAGAGTCAGGTGAATGACAGCTTTCTGCAGATCTGGCTCATTCAGAGAGAAGATTGAATTTTCCTCGTCAGACCGATAAAAACTGAAACTTTGATGAGTCATCGATGCACTTTTTTTAGTTTTTGAAGAAAGCTTGATTGTTGTTTTAAAAATACAGACACAATTTTGCATTTAACATCTCATTACTGGCAGCTTAAATGACTTTTTCTTCAACTGAGTGTCCGAAAACATCAGAATTGAAGTAGCTTTTAAGTGCTTTGTAACAGACAATACCAATAAATGAGATCCAATCATATTTTGATGATCATTTCATATCAAACAATATACTGATGGATGAACTGGCAGAGGCTTTGAGTGGCTTTGGCAACAGATGTGCTGACTGTCGCTCCAAGAAAATGTTTGTTCAATATCTTAAAAGACCCTCAAAACTCTTTTCCACTTTTAAAATGTTTTATTCATGTGTTAAGGACCTGATTGAGGTTTTTAAAGGCTGAAATTTGGCCTTTGTGAAGCCAGTATTGAGGTCTTGTTTGGATGCTGGACATGGCAGCAAGAGAGGCATCTCTTCAAAAAGTATCAGAACTTTTTACGAGTCGTAAGACTTCTTTTGGTCGTCAATAGAATAGATAGGAGACAGGCTTCTAACATTTTCAGAACACGACTTTTTGACCTGAAAAGATGGGGCTTTGAATTTTATTTCAGGCTGTATTACTTTCTTTAACCTTCCTCCTGTGTTAGCTTTTACCATGTACCCACTATGTTAAGGGTCGGTTTCAACCTGTGTCTTAAATCAGCTGTAAATTACACTAAAAACAATTCTCTATCATCCAATTTGGTTCCCCTCTCTAGGTTAACTTGTTAGGCTTCATTATCCATGAAAATATTGCTTATAATATTTTATGTAGTGGGTCTCTGGGCCTTTCTTTGTCAGTATACCCCTCATACAGACATCTATTCTGTATTGATCTTACATGTCTGGACATGCCCGACGTTGTTTTTTGTGCAGGGAAACACATGGAAAAATGAGAATTTCCTAAATCTCACATGATTGGAAGAGGATCTGACTGTCAGTGCGGTGTCTGACAGTGCACATATGATTTTAGTTTTTGCTCTGATTATTAGATATTGATCTAACCAGGTCAACAGCGATCCTAAAACAACAAGTGCCATAATTTTAATAAGAGCATTTTATGATTTAGTCAATTAAATTTTTTTTTTATTATTTTGTTGATATCGAGTTTCCTGACAAAATCAAAAATGTGTAAAACGGTGCAGACCCTAACACAGGAGGAGGGTTAAATCAGACACAAACAGTAAATATTTAATAAAACAAACACTCAATAAAGTGAAATCTTCCATTATTCATCAAGATGTGCAACCTGCCTTATATTGGCTTGAACTTCCATTAGAAGTTTTACGGTAATGAAAAATAGGTCCATAAATCAATTTGTGTCTCGATCAGTGAAAGTTCCTTGGTGTCAGCTTTATTGATCAACCAAATATCTATCATCCTGACCCACAGAAACAGCTAGAGGTGGCTTTTCACCTGATTTAGCTGTCAAATGTGTTGCCATGCTCAATAATTTTCCTCCTGTCCCCCGGTCTTAAAGAACGCAGTATGTAAGTGCAGGTAATTTAAGCCCCTCACTCAGCTCACCTCTGCGGTGGGCCGGGAGCTCCTTGACGAATGAGGTTAGTGTTGCTGTTGAAAACCCCCGAGAGGCGAAAGTTCCACCTCGGGGCAGGGTGCAGACTGACAACCTTTGTGCTGTCCCGCCTTTTTACAAGACAGCACTAGTCAGCGTCCTCGGGGAGAGGGGCGCGAGACAATAACTGCATCCTTTTTTTCGGGGTCATGCAAGTCATCGCCACGTCTACTGCTCTCGCTCTCACATTTTTCATTTTCTCTCTATCTCCCCCCTAAAAAACCCGCCCCCGCCAATGAGGCCCAACAGGTTTTGATCCGATCCCAAGATACACAGTCTTGGCAGGGCCGGGGAGACGGCTGAATGCAGCATGCAGTCACAAGCAGAAGCAGAAACAGACACACATTCACAAGTCTATCTGCTTGTTATAACTCTTGCCTTTTATTCCCTCTCTGTCCCACATACACAGACTCGCATAAACCAGCCCCGGGCCAGGTCTGCATATCTGCTTTCATATCTTTCATTTTGCAACAAATTCTTCCCAATCTTTGCCCTTAGACCTTCCTCTGCTGCTGCTTCTTTCCATGCGCATCATTGATAGCTCCTCTTACCCTTTCGCCACTTCGCAGGGTAATGCAAACAAACAGGAATGTAATCTCCTGTCCAATGATTCGCAGTGATGGCATGGGGAAGAGAGAGCAAACAGCAGAGCTTGGCTTTAGGAAGCCTGCAGCGAGAAGTCTTCGCTAAAGATGAGAGCGAGAGAGGGGGGAGAGGCTGAGCAGCCGAGATGCTCATCAGCTATTCTGTTTGTCTGTGGCACGATGAAAAGCATTCTCACCAAATCCACTGGAAGAAAGGCGTATTGGAGGGGGATCGGTCTTTGCTGCTGGTTGGCATGGCAGCGGAGTCGTGCTTGATGGCTCACAGACAGGGCTGCACTCAGACATGGCTTTTTTTTTTTTTTTTTTATCAAACCAGATCACCACAAACAGTGTTGGTGTTACTAATCTGCAACATCCAGGCGGCAGATATGAAGTGTTTACTTACATGAGAAGACAGGATGATCATTAAACACCCTTTATTTACAGGGAGGTAATCCCATCTGCGCTGTATAGGAGATTCCTTTCGCTGTGACTGTATGTACAGTTTGGTATGTATGTCAGTGTATTTGTAAATCTGGGAAACCGCTGTTCGACATGCTGATACTGAACACATGGCGATGTGTAATGATCAGGGGCGTCCTGAATTATTGATGAGCCATCTGTCAAAGCTCTGGAGCTGTCTGAGGACTGATTTTCAGAGAGGAAAGCTTCTCTCTCTTCTCCACTGACCTCCATCAAGATGAGGCTTAACTCCGACTGTATCCTTTTCCAGCACCATTTTCCACCATGCTGGTTTGCGTTTATGTGAATGAATGTTTTATAGCACATGTGGTTATCTAACATTTGTGCATTCATTGGTTCGCAAAGCGAGCACTCTCAGTCTGTTTGTTTGAGCGCATTACAAACTTCCTATCTGACTTTCTAAATCAAAGGCAGCAGAGTCAGTCAATGTATCGACGCCTCTCCCCTTCAGTTTATTCAACATCACAGAAAATCCATTTTTAGTCCCGCTCATGTCCCCTCATGTTGTTTTATTCAAACCAACTCAAACTGAATCTGTCAAGCCTGCGCAGAATGTAAACAATGTCCCTGAAATCCAAATATCCGAATTGGCAGCACTGAATGAGAGGTTAGCGTGCCTGTTGACGCAAATGGCAGAGTGATTTATCCCAGACTGTAAAGAGTCGGTGAAACAAGGCGGTATTGAACGCACCACAGCTACTGGTTAAACACACAGGTATAAATAATGAAGGCTGAACTCCTGAACTGTGTGTTTTAAGTGCTGAGGTTGGTTGATGTTAGCCTTGGCATGCTGAAAAAGAGTCTGGAGCTCGGCCATGTGCTCCTGCGCTGCACACTGTTTACAGGTCTTCTGGGTCGGCGGGGTGGTCAGTGAGACACAGACTGTCATGTAATTACAGGGTTGCAAAGTTTGCTCCCCACAACAAGGAAAAAAGTACTTTTATTTATACTTTTCTGAACTGTAATGCCTGTTTTTATTTTGTCTTCTCAAATCTGTGATGTTAGATATTTGAATGTTTCATCTGTCTTTTCCGTAAGATTTTTTGGTCACACTTTCTATAAAACCACCCTCCTTATGAGTGATTATAAGCATTAAAAAAACAACCTCAGCAATGTTTATGCAGAAGTTTATGCTCTAAACTTAAAGCACCTGTGAGGAGTTTTTTAAAGTTTATGAAATAGTCCAAAATTTATATTAATGCCTTTTTATGATATCCAAAATCGATCAGGGACAAAACTGGTAATATGGATGTAGTCATTTTAATGCCTGTAACTGGTGCATCAGGGTAGGTGTCAGCCGAGCAGCTAAAGAAAAGACATTCGTAATAAATAGAGCGTTTGATTTTTTTTAAGTCTGCAGGAGGAGTTTTCTTTCTCAAAAGACACAATTTGAGCATGTAGAGGACAGTATCAGCAATGCCTGTTTTGTCCACAGGGGGCGCCAAAGTTGAATTAAACTTAAACTTCCTCACAGGAGCTTTAATGCAAAATTTACAGTGTCTTTAAACTGAAAATATCACTCCCACAACTTCATCCAAACTCATGAGATCTCACTCAATGCTTCATAGGAAGATAAAATGCTATTATTCTAATCTGGAAAAATGTGTTTTTTATACTTACAACATGCTACAGCATGACTTTAGACACACTGATTAAACTTTAATATACAATAAAGAAATCATAAAGTATTTTTATGATAGTTGTGATTACTGTATAAGATACTAGATATGGTTAATTACTAATTCACATATAATTTTATACACTTTTACTAGTAAAGCTCTAAAGACATCCAAGGGGTACATCCGTACTTAAAGAAGACCAAAATTATAAAAATTACAATAAAATAAGAACATTTAATAAAATAATAAAGCCGTCAAAGGCAGGTAGTCTTTGATATGCTTTATAAAAGTGAAAAAAGTGTGTTACTTTATATATTTTTAACAAAAAGGGGAATGCTGATTAAAGCTCCTGCTGGGAACTTTTGGTTTCTGTCAATTTTGGCACCCCCCTGTGGACAAAAGTACTCTTGACTGTTGATCTGGTTTTCTGATGTTTTTATTTGTATTTTGGTATCATGTCTAGGGCTTAGTATGAATTTTGCTCTATTTCATAAATATCACAGAAACATCACATATAGGAGCTTTAAAGGCCCATATTTTTAAAATGGTACCAAGGTTTGTTTTGTTTGTACACAGAATAGGTTCTGTATAAACTTTTATGACTGGAGGCAGTTGTGGGAGTTATAATGTGTCTTGAAACCCAGAATTTAAAAGGTGTTTTTGTTGGTATTGCATGAAGGTATAAAACATTTTAAATCACACATTTATGAGGCATTATGTTTGCTGCTGTTCACACTCTATAAACTTTGTTACACGTTGTTGTGAGGACTTATGAGGATTGTTTTCAGGCATAATAAAAGTGTCCATAATACTTTATGAGTTGTGGGTTTATATAAAGCGCTACCTTTTTGTATTTGCTTTGTATTTTCTGATTCAGTCCATTGATTCTCAGTCTAAAACGGCTTCTGCAGTTTTCAGGGATGTTCTGTTCTTAGCTTGAAATTGCTGTGTAATTTAAACTCTGAAAAAGTCCAATTACACGGCTTATGTCCATGTATTTTGAAAAGGAGTTTCTGACAGTGAAAATGGAAGTGCATCTCTAAAAACTCTGTATATTGTTGAACCGATAAAAGCACATTATGTCAGAATTGCCTTTGCATAACGTCCTTCAACAGTAAGTGTATTTTTATTCACAAGGAAGCCCAAAGCTGGAGGTGTATTCAGAGTGAGCAATAATCATTTCTATGTAATAAAGTGAGTTTTCACTGCAGCTGAGTGTTTATTATTGAGAAAAGAAAAGAGACGTGCAGCTCCTGTAGAATCATCACACTGCAAAGAACAATATAACAAGATCCAGACGTAATTAAAAACTATATGTCAGTGACAACATGTAGCATCAGCGTAATAGTCTTGTCAGAGAGCTGTGTCGGCAGCTGTTTATACCGCACTGTCAACCAACCTGAGATTTGTCCTGAATATAAAAGCTGTATCCGGTTTAATTCCAGGCAGTAAATATTAGAAATGTGTCACTGCTGAGATCCACAGTAACCTGCTGTTAAAGATATTTATCTCCTTTTTTTGAATGAGGTTAAACCTTTATTTCCCTTGGAGGCTTGATTGATATTAAGACACGAGTGCTTACTGAGTGTAACAGCCAAAAAGAAAGTCAACTTTATAACAAGTCCTCTTCATCTGTGGTTTTCAACCGGTGGGTCAGGACCCAAAAGTGGGTTATGCCGCCATTTTCAGTGTGATGTATGCAGGAAAATAATGGAAAAGTCTTTTTCATTGCTTTATCTTGAAGAAGCATGTGTTTTCTGTGACAACAGTGGGGTCGTTTCAGCTTGATACCAGCTGTCACCTGCCATATAACTACATGATGAATAAGTCTGAGTCACTTTGTCAGTAAGAAGGTGGTGGAAGGTTTCTGAGGAACCCTTTAGTTAAGCTTGGAAGAGTCAATGTTAAGAGTTAATCCAATACCAGTGACAGATTGACAAATCAATTAGTTTGTGTATTAATTTATAAGACAATAAGGCCATTTATCAACCTTGAAAATTTTCACCAGAAACCAGCTCCCTTCAAGGCTGCCAAACAGGAAGTTGTGGCCGTGCCCCCACAGGACACCACTCGGCCTATCAATACAAGTGCATCACACATATTACCAGCTGTCATAACAGCAGTGGCTGGTTCAACTCCCCACAACCCTTTGCTGTGTGTTATCCCCGCATTTTTCATCTCTCCAAAGGCGAATAAGCTCACAAACTAACTTTGAATATAACTGCCTATAACAACTCCTGTTCAACAGCTGCAAAGACAAAGTGACAGCGGGTCATTTATCAAAAGCAAAACTACATTAGCGCTGTGCCAGCAGAGACTGAGGCATTAGTCAGAGTTTACAAAAGGGTCAGATATTTGAGGACCTGATCATATTCACACAGAGGCTGTTTGTCTTCTATGTGGGGTTTAGGATGGAAAGCTTGAATGCTGTTCAGGATATTCGGGCTACCTTTAGGATAAGCAGATATTACCGTTAGCTAGGAAGTAGTTGAAATGCAGTCATTAGCTAAAAGTACCTTGGGAATCTGGATTATGAGCTTCTGATTGTGTTTACAGCTGCTCCTGATCAGCTTGTGCTGTAATGATAATGAGTGTTGGATCATTTACTAATTTTCCCTCTTCCTCTGTCCTTTTTCTGTCTGTATCTTTAACTTTCAATCATCATTTCCCATTAGAGTCGCTAATCAACAGCCTTTTTTGCGAAACCCTGAGCTCCATCATGCCGTAGGTTCCTCTGGATCATTGCTGCAAACATTTTCCTGCTGTGGACCTGCCTACTTTCCAGCTGTTTTAACATCATGCATCAATCTCACCTCTGTCCATCTCTCTCTTTCTTCATCTTCCTCTATCCCCTCTCCCCTCAGGCAGATGACTGTCCAACATGAGTCTGGTTCTGCTCGAGGTTTCTGCCTGTTAAAGGAAGTTTTTAATCTCCACTGTTACTCACTAAATGCTGCACATTGTTCCTCTCAGATCGATTGATTGATAACATCTGTGGTGGTTACTTGGAGTTAGATTAGGACCTATAATCAAGGATGGCTCAGATTTCTCATTTCCTTTGTCTTATTCCACCAGGTATGATTTCGTGGAGATAGAGGATCCAGCAGAGAAAGCCATCCTGGGTCGCTGGTGTGGGTCTCAGTCAGTACCAACTGCTCTCACTTCCAAAGGCAGCCAGGTCCGCATCCGCTTCATCTCTGACGAGTACTTCCCCTCCGATCCGGGATTCTGCATCCGCTACTCCCTCCTGCCTGCGGTACGTACAAAACGGAGTGAAAACAATCATTCCTGTCATCTGTCTCAAAGTTCAGGGAGTCCACATGGCGGTAAGAAGTGCCTCTCCGTGAGAAAACAATCGAAACCATTTGCTTGCATAACATGGTGTCTTAATTTGCAGCCACCATTCCTACTAATGAGTGTGCCGGGGTTTGAGCAGCATTGGGGAGAGATTCTGTTTGAGCATCTGGCACCTGTACGATCATTTGTTTTATGAAGACACACACTTGAGCACAGATTGAAAATAACAACCAAAACCTTTGCAATCTCAGCAGGCAACCCAAAGCCTTAGTCTGCAGAACTACATAAAAAAACTGAGTATCCTTCAATCATTATATGAGAATTCTTGTGCAGAAGATACCAGAATAGTTATATAATGTCAGAGAGTGCACAAAATGACAGATATCCTTACGAAAGCTAGTTTCAAACTGTAATTTTCTCATTTCCTGGGGCTCGAATAGTTTTGCTCTTTAAATAATCGAGTTGTCATGTTCTATTTTTGCTCCATATAAATCCATATACCCTCTGAACCCCTACAGTAGCTATGGATCCAGTAAGCTAACTCTGACAGATGAGGTGTCTCACTGACGTTGATGGTGTTGCCTGAGACTGAGATGGAGAAAATAAGTGGCTTCAGGTTCACAAAGAGGTCCTCTGACCCTCGGGGGGAATCATTCAAGCCCCTGAAATGAAAGCAGGAATTAAGAGATAGAAGTGCTTTTTGTGGGGAAAATTGTCAAGCTGCTGTCTGTCTCTCCGTTTCATTTTCTGTTTCAAGTTCTGTCAAAAGTAATTTCCCCTTTTGTGTTTTTACAATAGCCCACTTCAAACAGACACTCATGTTATTTGACTCTATACTTTGGGCTGGAATATATTTTTGGCAACACAACAAAACCAACCCTTCTTTTTTCGCTCCGTCCCTGTTATTTCTCCCCTTCGTTTGTCCTAGCTTGTAACATAAACTGTAATCACCAGCTTCATGCTTTACCCCGATGTCAGTTTGTGTTCACCTTTTAAACTTACAGCAGATAAAATCAGAAAATTCAAGGTGTACTCGGAGCACATGTTGTTACAAGGCTGGCAGCTTAAGGGTTTGTGTGATGAGTTTGATATAGTCGGTAGGAACCAAGAAAACTATTTGCTACTAAATATTATCAGTTTGTTATTGAAAATAGTCATTTTTTCTTTGTTAATTTGGCCCTAACCCCCAATTTCCACCGCATCCGGAACGGCTGTAAAAAAGGCCGCATGCACCGATCACAGCTGAGCTCTCAGAGCAGAGCCATACCAACACATATAACTCTAGTCATTCTCTTGAAGAAGGTGTTTCTAAACTTGGCAAAAGATCTTCTAAACTTTTATACTGAATGACTCACTATTTTAATATCATTATTGTCATACGTTGTTTTTGATGATATATACTGTTTCTGCTCAAATCCTGTTCATACCCTGTTCTAGTTTTGTCATCTTAGATTAAGCTGATTAGCAAACTAAGTCTGTAGGAAGACTGTGGGACTTGATCCTGCCAAAAAAAGCTCTGATTGGTCAGTTTTTGAGGTGGACCCAGTCAAACTGTTGATAAAGTTTGCAAGCTAGACTGAAACCCAGTCCGCAGGCTCCAACTTTCAACTTATTTTTAAACTTATCCATGAGTTAGAGAGAGGTCTGCCCCCACAGAACCTTACATAACTTCAGTGACAAAAAAAAATATGAAAGACTTCAGTGTCTGTCTTTGTCTCGATCCATCTTCTTCCCACATTCTCTTTCACTTCTTTTTTTCTCCTGTCCTGGCCTTCAGACCACACACACACACACACACACACACACACACAAACACAAACACACACAAACACACACACACACACACACACACACACACACACACACACACACACACACACACACACACAAAAGCCTGCAGATAAAGTGAAGAGATGACTCGCCGTGTTATAACCTGTCATGTTTTACTTCACTTCTCCAGCTTTAAGTAAACAGCTCTACTCCTCATTAATCCATTACAGCCTGCAGCGCTGTGAAAACCCACAAGCACAGATACACAACTGAGGTCACTGACGGCACTTTGTGTTCTCTCTCTCTCTCTCTGTGACTTCTTCAAAAGCTTTTTTGTTCTTCCAGTCATCACAGACATTATTACTGCGTCTCTCTTTTCACCCCTTAAACCTAAAACAGCCTTGATACATATCACGTCATGCTGAGTATCAAAGCGGAGCCTCTACACACAGATGTGTGAAAGAAGACAGTCAGTCATTATTTGTTCTTGTCTCAAACAGGAACTTTGATGCATATTGTTGAATTACTGCAGGCTGCTGCTGAGACACTGTAAAGAGGGCGGTTCACTCAATCTAAAGCAGGATTGTGACGATAGAAGCTTAGAGCTTTTCTTCGTCTGATGAAGATGGTTTAATCCAATAAGACACTATTACAAGATGTTAATCGATTCCAGGATCCCTTAAGGGGAGGAAAGTATTATCCAACAATCAATTTTTCTAACGTAGACTTACTTTTAATTTGAGCAGCGGTCTGTGTGAGATTAGAAGTCTGCAAAGATTACTTTCATATTTTGACATGAGGTGTACTTTTAACATTTTTAACAAGCTTTGTCTTTGCAGTAAGTAATAAAACACAAAGAACAATAGAGCTGATTTTGGACCACAACTACAAATGTGTCTGAAACTGCCCCCTTTAAAAAAAACAGCTGATGTTATTCTGAACTCTTGTTCATACCAGAAGACATCATTTCTTATCTATAAACCAAGTGAACCCCTCTTGACTGAGGCCAGAGCTGTCACTCACAACCACTGAGCCAGGAGGATGGACAACAGAGAGACACAAACTACGTTTGCATGCAATCAATTTTTGTGTTAAGGTCAATATTTCGGTTTCTGAAACATTCGGAATATCCCTTTTACATGCGTGAGCAAACAGGGTTATTCCCGTTTACGTGGTATCCCAATCAAAACAGCAACACACGGACAACATCTCAACACACAGAGAACGTTATGACCATAGACTGTATATATGATGGACAACTTGGTTCAGCCTCCCGCCTGTATATGGATTTAAAGTCGAAAAGCTCTCGGTAATACAGCGATTTTTTACCACTTCCTGAAATCAACATTGCGCAGTCGCATTGTACGCACACCACCACTTGTGCAGTAACATCGTACGCATTTGGCAGGAGAGTCGCTGAGAGTCGCTGTGCTGACGCTCGGCTCAAACTGCATATCCCCCGGGTGAGCTACGCAATCTTCGTACGCCCATAGGCTGTATCAAGTGTCAATCATCGACAACATGAACTCCCTAATAACTTTTAAAAACGGAGCTGTACAGATAAAAGAGGACTTGAGCACAAACCAGTCTTACAAAAACTACATGTCAACATCACAACCAGGGGGGAGAAAAATTTATATTCTGTTTAATTAAGTTCTAAAGTTTGTCCACAACTCCATAGGGATTGCTGGAGAAGGCGGGATTTATGACTGATACTGCAGCCCGTCACCAGAGGGTGCTGTTTTCGCGGTGGCTTCACCCAGCGAGGAGGCAGATGTTGTCCATTCTATATACAGTCTATGGTTATGACGCAGTCTAGGACTTCCTGTACTCAGGGCCCAAGATTCCTTGCGAACAGAACATGTGCAGCACACAAATTAATGTTCCTTTTGATTGGGATTTCCAGATCGACATGACCAAAAATTTGGGTTAGAAAGAGAGTAACCCAGGGGTAATTATCCGGGTTTTTAAAAACAGGAATATGAAAATATTGTTTTTCAAAAGGGTTATTGGTGTTTACATGGCCGTGCACAACCGGGGTTATTGCTCATATTCCAGGTAATGACTGCATCTAAATGTAGCAACGGTGATTGTCTGCAGCAAAGTAGCAAGTGGTAAAAGTCGTCAAAGTTAATCATCAGCTGAGGCAGAGTTATAATGTTAAACAATTTTAAATGAAGCAGAAACATAAAACAATCATCATTAAACTGAAGTGTGGTGTCAGTGTGAGTGAGAATGTTACTGAGAAACCTAACGCTGGAGCTGATATCGGATGGAAACATCTAGAAATAGTCAATGAAGGTTTCTAAGGGTTGTTTTTCCACAACCATAATGTAACCATATGATGGAAAACTATGCTCCTCATGCATGGTTATGTTTTAGTTTTATTTATGTACAATACTTAGATTTAAAGTATTAGTATTATAACACAAATTCTGTCTCAAGTTTTCGTAGTCTTTTCTTGTCCGTTAGTTTGTATTTAAATGTCCATAAAGGGTGTTAGTTGCTTCGGGACATCCCTCGTTTCAATATTCACGGAAAAGTTAAACTTAGAAGTGAAGTCTGACCGGATTATTTTGCAGCAGAGTAACCACTGGTGTCGGGATGTCCGCCACAAACTTTGTGATGGAACAAGAAACCAAGTTTTTCTTTCATACACCCGCTCTGGAAAGTGTGGAAACCACAAGGGGGGGAAAAGGAAGCTATGGCCTCGGCACGTTTGGCCCGGCTTCCCTTTGAACTTTCCTCCGACAGAGGAGCAGCACGCACGAACAGCGGCACTCTGTTTCCTCTGAGGTCAACCGGCAGCTACTGGAACCTGGTGCCACGCAGGGGCCAGCACTTGAGTTTATATTTAAACAAGCAATGATTCCTCCTCCAGCACTTCCACGCAAAGGAAGAGGGGCGAAAAATAAGAGCTGGTCTGTAATTCACAGGAAGAGATTTGAGGAAGAGCGAGAGAGAGGTGAGGCGAAGAGGTTGTTAAAACATTGAAGAGCGGGAGTCTGTTTGAGGGGAGTCGGGTTGGGGGTTAAAAGAGCAAATAAAACATACATCATTGTCTCTGCAAAGGCCTTTTTCTGGAGTAAAACACCGCTGCAAGCTAGATCTGAAAATGAATCCTCCGTATTTGTTTATTTTTATGGATTGCATTAAAGTTTTACGCACTCAGACTTGAAAAACGGGGATAAGAGAGGGAAGGTAAGGAATAAAATCCTTGATATAGCAATGACGGGCAGCGCCATGCGGGAGGTTTTACTGCTGGCATGAAGAAACTGAGCTCTGTTTTTACACCAACCGAAATTGCAGTGTGTGGCATATAGTGAGAGAAACAAATACTACATTCACGCACTAAAGTCCTTGTTGTGTACTCAAAGCTCTCTTGTGCAAGGAAGTGGTTTTCTAGCTCCATGTTAAAGTGAAAGATATTGTTTTCCAAAGCTCTCCCAGGATGCTATTTCAGATTTCTCATCTCAACACAGTTAGCTGAACCTGTCATTTCACTCACCAGAAATAAGAGCGTGCGGTTGTGCAGCGAGAGAACAAAGAGAGCTGGAAATGAGGTAATCACAGCTTGAAAACGGGGTTCCTCTTCAAGGGCAGGGGGTTCAGAGAGTGTGGAAGTGATAAGAGCGACATATCCAGCTTACACTTTGATTCACATCATCTGAGAGGAGAAAAAAAAAAAAACTTTAACAATCTCAAAAAGCAATTTTCCCTTTCAAAACATGCAATCATTTCAGGGGAGCAGCACATCGCAATCTTGTTTTACAACACACTGCTGACTGTGTGTATGTATATCTGATTATACTGCAATGTTCACAATTGCACATATTTTATGACACTGGTTTTAACCACACAGCTTCTATTTTCTACTTTCAGCGAACTATGGTGTGCTGACTCGGCTTTTTTTTTTTCCTTGAAATTGTCTGAAACTGCAACTTTTGGGAAACTCTCTGTTATCAAGGCAGCTCCAAAATACAGCACAGCAGGAATGGGTGGACTTCCACAGCTTAGATTCAAAATGTCATTTTGGATGCAAACTTTTGCAGAAATATGCAGGAAAAAAAAAAATAATAATTTTGGTCTTAAAACCTTCAAACATGATCAGAGTCCTTTGTCATAAAAGCTATTTTGTTTATTTGGTGGAACAAACTCTGGATTTTCTTGGCTTTTTAAACTAATATCTGTCATGTAGTTTAGGAAATACTAATAATTTATCGCTCGAGGTTAAATCCCAGCAGGTAAATAATACAGGTGCAGCTATAAAAACCTACTGAGCCTCGGACATCTCCCATCTATAATCAGTCTGTATTTTAGCCTGAAACTAGACGATTGAATTTAATCCATTTATTATTAAATGTTAAATAAAAAACAACAGTGAGTTGTATAAATGATGGCTAAATGTTGGTTTAAAACATTTTTAACAGTCATTGATCAATATAGAGTGTAGCTTAGTCTATTAGACAGCTAAGAAAAGCTTCCATTTTTAGACCAGTGATAGACCGATTTTAGCCCAGATGTCAAAGGACCATTAGACGTCTATAAAACATCTCTTAAACCGAAAAATGCTCGATGGGAAATAAGCATGAACACCTGTAGTGACATTTTGAACCATGGACTTCGTTCAAAATTTAAAATAGACTTGTTAATTTTTGCAGCTTATACCAGTAATAGTTTATCTGAGCATTATTTGCCAGTATGAAGCCTTTAGTTTCATCCAACTCTACTGCAAATGCTAATAAATGTGAACAACAGTTACTTTTACAAAAATTTCTGCAGCACACAAGAAAAAACGACTCAAATCACTGAGACTGGAGTGACTACCGAAGTTCTGGATCATGTTTGGGTCAACAAGTGTTGCATGTGTTCCATCACAGACTATAATCAGTGAAAACCAGGGTGTTGGTTTTGTTAATCAGTGTAAAATCTGAAGAGGTCATTGGTCATGATTCATATCAGCGAGAGGTTGGTGGTCTCTCATCTGTTAGCTCTATTCACACCACCTTGACGTGTCTCTAAAGAATTGCTTGGCTTCCTTGTATGAAGCTGAGTTTGCAGAGCGCCGCTAATTGGGGGAATATTGCACCGCCGACATTCACAAGCTGTTAATGGCTTCCAGTCTGCGCTGTTCGCTACTGCCAAAGCTGGAATAATAGACTCTCGGCTTCCTTCTGTTGTCTGGAAACTCATCTCAGAGAGAGGACTGTTCAGTTTCCTCTTATTTTAACTTCTGTGACGTGATGTGAGCAGCCATTTCTCCACAAATACTCCTGTCCCATTTGTGTCTGTTTATCTCAAGAGGTGCCAACTAAACCGAAGGTTTTTTGAAGGCAGCCTCATTAGAATGAGTCAAATCTGTGGCATGCAGCTGTGTTTTTGTAGCCTGTGGTGCAGCCATCTCAAACCACCGGCATCTTATTTTGAAAAGTGTACCAAAGAGCTCCAGATTTTTAGTGAAATGACAGTCAAATCTTATATATTGTCTCCTGAATTGCACTTTGTATTCAGTGTAAAAGCACAACCAGATTTGCTCAACTTTTCACTCTCTTCTGTCTTGTCTGGCTAATTTCTTAGTCTGAGAAAGGTGGTGGGAATCTGTTTTCTTGTGAAAAACAAAAACACTTCCAGGGAAAATGCTTTAAGACTTGACAGCTTTCCCAGTGTCATGAATCCTGGTGTTTGCAACATGAGAGGTAAACATGCAGTAAGCCTCATATCCTCCCAAGGTAGCTGTCATGGCCTCTGACTGAAAGGAAAACTTTCTTCTTCCAGAAACCCTCGTGCCTCGCCGGGTTTCTTTAAAATTCCCTGTAAGTCATCAGAGCGGAGATAAGGATTCCTGGAATCATTTTTTTCTTTTTCAAATATTTCTGCTTCTCCAAAAGCCAAAAGACCCAGCTGCCAGCTACCGATGTTTTCAATGCTGCACAAGCTGCATTTTTTTGTAGCTGTCACAATCTTGCCTTCTACCTGTCAGTCACCGAAGATTAGAGAGACCAGCGAGCTGACATGTTGGACAAACGCAGCGTCTCAGGACTGAAAGGTTTAACAGATTAGCCTCTTCTCTTGTGGGAAGACCAGCACCCCAGGTATCAATCTTGTCTGAGACTGCACGCTGCAGCCTGCAGAGCCAGGAGCTGGGGACAAATAATGCTGCCGCCTACAGGAGCTGATGGGACAAAGGCTGAGATGTAAAGTGAGAGGAGGAGGTTATATCCACTGACAGCTTGAAAAGAAGCTATTGAGTCACATTTGACTGCAAACTGTATTAAAGGAATTCAGGGATTGACAATCTCTTTAACTCTGTTGGAATCCTGTTTATTAGTGTGTAGAGTAACTGGCAGGTAATGCAGCCATCTTTTACTCCATTTTTACTTCATCTCAGTCCACATTAAATCGACTCATACCCTGAGAAGTCAACAGAGTTTTTGGATTTTTATGTTTATATGTTAAGGTGACCATTGTCCTCTTTTACCCGGACATGTCCTCTTTTTGGGGGGCTGTCCGGCCTTGTCCGACTTTGTCCAGGGGAGTCTATAAAATCCTTCAAATGTCTGCGGTTTTGTACAGGAGTTACGAGTTTGTGTTAAGTGGACTTGCTGAGTTAGAAGCACGTAAAAGACACCCAATCCAACCCGAAAAAGTCTGAAAATTACCTTCGTGCAACCTCGTGACTCCGCCCCCGCTTAGTTGTGTCCTGCTCTTGGGAAGTCCGAATATGGTCACCCTATTATATGATGTTTTCTCTCTGCATGGTTGTCATGATCACAGTCACGTTATTTTTATTTTGTTCGTAACATTTCATGTCTTGTGTTTCCTGTTTTATTTTGTATCACTAACCCTTGTCTGTCTCCTCGATGTGTTCCTGTCTGCCCCCGTCTCCCCCATCTTGTCACACCTGCCTCCTAATTGTGTCTCCCCACCTGTCTCCCATTACCCTCATTACTGCTTGTATTTAACCCCATGTCTCTCACAGTCTTGTTGCCAGTTCGACGATCTTCACATTCACTTACCAGTATTCTTGTTTTTTCATACCCTGCCTGTTATCGGCTTTGGTAGTTTTTTTATCCTGAAATCTTTGATTATTGAACAAGTGTTGAACTAGAGAGCCCTTTTTGTACGCAGCCATGTTATTAACCTGTTGCAAATTAAGTCACGAATACGAGTTTTTCATACTGCTTGTGCGAACCTCTTTGAAACATGTTGCTGGTATCAAATTTAAAAAGAAGAAACAGGAATAGACAATAAGATTTTTAGTTTCAACAACTGATATGTTGTCTTTGCCCCATTCAATGAAATCAAGGGTTTAAAGCTGCTGTAAGCAACTTTTGGTTTGTGTGTGTTTTGGCGCCCCTGTTGTCAAAGCTTTGCCTGCGATCTTTTGTATAAAGGAGTAGTGTGTTCAGACCAAAACTTTATCTCTGTGTCTTTTGAAAGTGAAATCACTCATAAAGAGTAATTTCTGTGAAAAAGTAAAAGAAGACACTTTTTTAGGCCTGCTGTCAATCATCTGGTCTGACGCCTACACCTTCACAGCGACTTCAGGCATTAAAATGAAAACAGAGATAGTATTGGTTTCAATGTTGATGGTCTTGTTTGCTTTCAAAGATCCAAAGGAGGCATCAGTATCAGTTGCAGTCTGATTTTTTTAAACCAGTTTTTCAACCAAAATCTGATTTTATATGTATTCCACACTGTATTCCAACTTTATGGTGAGTTAGGATTGTACTTCTTTAAGGATTATGTCAAAAAAAGAGCCTAAAATAACATTTTCAGTGACAACGATACAGAGCACTCTTCAGTCACAGCATGGAGAAACTTCAGCTCAGATTTGATTTGTTTTTGTGTACTCAAAATAAGAAGTAAGCAGTAAGATGAGTGTCAAAAACTCTGATAAAGAAGACGTCTATGAATCAACTTGAATGGAAAGACTGAGGAAGATGACTGTAAGACGCACAGCTGGAAGGCAGGAGTGAAAATTTAAGTATTTGTGACTGAAAATGACAAAATTGGAGCAAAGCTGGAAACACATCCATCGACAAAACTTAATAAATGATGGAGTTTGGAGTGAGATTACATTTTTACTGTATCCAGTGTAAATCCTCAAGAAGAGAAGTTGATATCCAGTGAACTCACCACTGTGTTAATGTTTGGTAAAGCTAATTTATCTGTCATCTTTACGGTCTCAACTCTTCCACACATTACCTAAACACTTCAGGCTTATACTTCAACCCAGCTGGCTTGGACACTCATACTTTCTGTGTAACTCATCTCAAATCCAAACCACCACTGAATCTGTCGAACCTGCTTCCAATTTAAAGCTAATTTTTACCATGACATAAAATCCACCGCAGAGTAACAGTTCTCCTTTTTAATAGATTTACGGTTGAATTAAGACACATGCTGTCATACTGACAGAGTTTTTCCTCCCGTGAAACTTCTCTGTTTTATTATTTGTTACCTACTGAAGCCTTGAATCATATGAAAGGTCCTGACTGTAAATATCCCGAGGCAGTTTGTGTTTTGAGGTGGTTTTGGGTGTGGGGCCAACAGGACAAGAACACTGAGTACTTTTTTAATGTCACAAAAACCTGTGAATGAATGACCTTTGTTTTCTCTCTCCATCCCGTCTGCTTGTTCTCCTGCAGAGTGAATCCGAACCTGAGGTCCCTGCAGTTCCCCCTCCATCCCAGCAGGGCATTGAGGAGCTGTCAGAGGCTGTGGCGGGGCTGGGCACCATGGAGGAGGTCATGAAGTACCTGGAGCCGGAGCGATGGCAGGTGGATATGGAGGAGTTGTACAAACCTACTTGGCATGTGTTGGGGAAGTCCTTCGTCCTTAATAAGAAAGCCAGAGGTAGGACACTTTACTTAAAGGTACAATATGCGTGTTTTAGCTTGTTTATTTATCAAGGATTACGATTTTAGGTTATGATTCTTATCACTGTCGCCCTCTCTGTTTCTTGAAGGAGGAGCCGATCTCAACCTGCTGAGGGAGGAAGTCCGGCTGTACAGCTGCACTCCCCGTAACTTCTCGGTGCCCTTGCGTGAAGAGCTGAAGAGGACGGACGCCATTTTCTGGCCAAGCTGCCTCCTGGTGAAGCGCTGTGGTGGGAACTGTGCCTGCTGCTCTCACCGCTGCTACGACTGCCAATGTGTCCCCACCAGGGTCACCAAGAAATACCACGAGGTAAATATCGACTCGTTTGACAGATACAAAGAACAGATCACAGGGTCTGTTTTGAATTTTTCAGACATTTGGGTTTTTGGGTTCAACTTAAAAAGGCCAAGAGAACATACGATGGTTTGGCTTTTACTTTTAGACTCAAACAAAACCGCCCTGGAAAGGTCCTTGACGGTCTTGAAATTATTCTAGAGTAATAGCAGCTGATTTGAAATGATAGATTTAAAACTGATCTGGTTTATGAAAAAGAAACATCAGAGTTTAGAGGTTTTTATACGGCATAAAGCTTATCGGATCTCAAAAGAACATTATAAAAACGTCAATAAATACTTAAGCTTGATGTGTATCATCTGCATAGAGAAGTAAAAAAGAAAATTGCTTGTCTGATCTATGTTGTCCAACTCAGACGTACAGAAACAGCCATTTAAAAGTGTTTGTCCCACACGCTGCTGTCTGTTAGCTTTTCACACTGTGCTAGAAATTTGTCAAAATCAAGATGACCTACAAAGATCAGAAACATCGAGGAGCACGGGAATAAGTTACTAATATTTCTTTTCTGAGAGTCTGCAAACTTTTGTACAACATTAAGTGTAAGGCCGAAGAGTAGCATGTTATTTCAAAATCATGAGTATTGAGTGAAAATCATAGGAAATACCTTGTCTACCAAATTGGACATGATGCGTTAAAACAATATTAATCCCACTGAGCATTTTTTGGTCTAAAACAGGTCTAATAGACGTCTTAATGCAGCCTAGACGACTGGTCTGAAATCAGGCTACCACAGGTCTAAAAATGAAAGTTTTTTTAGACGTCTAATAAAGTTTAGAGTAGCCAGCTAACAGAGGTCTAACTGTTTATTGCTCAACGGCTATCATAGTTATTTTTGGTTAAGTACTTGAAGATCAGTTACGCAACTCACAGTTGCTTTGTGAAATAACCGTCATCGAATAATTGGTTAAAGTGCAACGTCTAAATTCCATTTTAAAATATACAGAATCTAGACGGTTGAAATTAGGTCTAGAATAAAAAAACTAGATGTCTAATAGCCGTCTCTTGCTCAGTGGGATGTAAGTCTTGAGAATCTGCTGTTTTTGTTAACACAACAAACTTGTCAGGGGCGAGTTTTTCTTTTACTTGACAAAAACATTATTTTTGTAACTTATTATTTAAAGATCTTGGGTTGAGTTTCCAGCAGACTGACAATGACATACAGGTGTTTTTAAGAAGTGTATGATTTCTCTGTTTTTAGAATAATCCTGTTTACATCAGAGGGGGGTTTTAATATCTGTCTGTCCTCAGAATATCGCAAAAACAGTTAAATCACCCACATGAGCAAGACCAGTAGGTGTAGGATTGTAGAGTAACATCATATGTGTGCTTTTTAAGTGTCTTCTTGAATGTTATTTAACTGCGTACGACATATAGTGAGCGTGATAGATTTATTTGCCACTGTGCTGCGGTACAATGATGAAGAACTGCAAAGTTTCCTTGTAAACATGCAATTAAACCTGAGCAGAGGTAAACCACTTGTCATCTTCCTGCGTGTGCCATCCATACAAACAACAGCTGCCGCATGCAATTTGAGGTCATGTTGTCAGCATCCCCGAAACCTCAGTTTTTGCCACCCTAATTTATACACATGAATAATACTTTTTTTTAACCTCTACCTTTTCCAAAACTTCCTTTTTCAGTGACCTAAATTTCCCTTAATGTTGGAAAAACAAAAAACAGAGAAGAAATCTTACTTCCCTTTGGACAGGATGTAAAATCCAGTTCTCTCCAAGCAGGCGGCTAACATTAGCCAAACTCAAAATGTGTTTTAAAAACAGAAAATTGACTAAATCCTTGCTTAAAAACTATCTTGATTCACTGATATCAGCAACATTTTGAGACTCTCTTTTCTCGAACGGGTCATAATTATTCACTTTTTCTCTTAGATCTCGAAAAACTGTAAAACCTCATTGACTGTTTTCATAATTGTGTTGAGTCAGAGGGTGGTTTCACTCCTTAAATACGATGTTTGTGTCTCGGTCCTTGACCTCAAGTATTTCCCCGTTTGGCAGGTCCTCCTGCTGAAACACCGAAGCGGGAGCAGAGGTCTGCAGAAGTCCCTGACTGACGTGCCCTTGGAGCACCATGAGGAGTGCGCCTGTGTGTGTAAAGATGACTCGGACTGACCTCAGACACGTGTTACAGCTGCCACTAGAACAACACAGGATGTAAGAAATGAACCTCTGCCACTGTTGCATTGTTCTGTATCTCATCCATTTCCACCGGGAGCTAACAAGATTTTCCCTTTTATTCTGTCGTCCTTTCACTAATTGGATTAAGCAGAACAGACTGGAATCTAATAAATCTCCTGAATGGATTAGACTGCCGTGGGATACCAATTGTGTGCTCTGGGTGCTTTTAAGAGAGACAAAAAGTCGCTGAAGCCGTTTTGGACTATTACCTTTGAGCTTGGAAGACTATCCTCCAGCCTCTCGGAGATAAGAACACCACAGCGTTTTTGCCTCTTGTTCTTGAGGTCTTTTTTTAAGTTCAGCTGGTGTGGGCTGATACTGTCACGAAAAATGGGAGCTTCTTTGTTCAACTACTTTTTTTTTTTTCATGTCTATAAATGAGCTGGCTCCAGCTGCCTCACTCCCCCAGCCCCTCTATTATTACCATCAAGGCAAAGAAAGGTGCTTATTCATGAGCAGTGATCCTCTGCTCCCCTATTGTTGTCACCGCAGATTTAATCTGAAATCACTGAAAGCCTTTCTAATAAGACTGTATATATCATGTGTAAATATGTCATTTACATTTCTTTTCTATACTATCGTGCTGTTTCTACCAAAGATTGTCAAGGAGGAGATGAAAGTCGTGCACAGAATCAGTTCGGGATTGTTCGTTATTATCCCGACCTTCTGGCCCGTCATCCAGCCCGGCTCCGAACTACCAGCTCTGCTCTCTCCAGGAACGCCTAGCTTCAAGCACTTCTTAAAATGTTTCCGATTGTTCATATTCAATATTTATTTGCTTAATGAAAGGGAAACTTAGGTCCAACATTTCTTATTTTCTACTGTACCATAGAATTAGTCTGCAGTTTTCATTGTTAGTCCTTTTTCGTCGCCGTTGTGTCATGGATCTTTTTTTCTGTACGGCAAAGTTATTTAACTTACTTTTGCAATAAGTGTTTGTGTATTTCATTTCTTCTGAACCTCAAAAATAAATTCTTCCATTTCTTATCGAAGGTCCGTTTCTTTGACTTGGGGAATAGTGAACGAACTCGACAGCCGTGAAATGATACCAGAGCCATGTTGGAAAGTTTGATTTACAATTTATAGAGAGATTCACGGCTTGAAGATCTCCGGAAGAAGAACAAGATGCATCAGCAAGCGGAAAACGGCAAATTTCAAAAGATGGATGTCAGGAACATCAATTCAGGAGAAGAAACGACGATATTGGAAGCTGGGCTTGGGCGGAAGAGGCTGGAAAAGATTGAAGGCCGAACAGAAGCTGGTGCCGAAAACTGAAAGAGCCAGGTGTTTGTTTTTGTGCGTCGTGCGCCGGAAAGCTTATAAATGGCAGCAGTGGGAAAAAGTTTGATAAAGTTGAAAAGATATTCACAGATTCCAACTTCCGGGATCAATAACTCAGAGACGAAACGTTGTCTAAACACAAATGATGCCTCTTTCATGTAGGGATGTGCGCAGTTATTCGGATATTCCTGTAAACAGGGCTGAACTTACTATCCATTTAGTAAATAATATTTGTTTAAAAAGAAAAGGGGAAAAAAGAAAAAAGCGAAAAAAAATAAATGCTGAAAAAGAACAGTTATAGGCTTTAGAGCAAATGACATGACACTAATAACAGCTCTGACTCTAACCACCATGATTTAAATAATGCTGAAGTTTAGCCGAATGAAAAGAAATCTAAAGCTCAAGGGACCCCATTACTTTTGTTAAAATTGTATGTTTAAAAGGTTGAAGTTATTGAATGTTTTACTGTGAACGTGAGCTATCATTGCTGTACAAAGTTTAAGCCACAGGTTTACTGCGGTATTAAACTCTGTATCATCAGCATAGAAGAAAACACAGAAAAGAGGCAACTGATTTACACAGTGCAACTCTTCAGGACGCTCAAATTGACGACGAATTTTGTATTTTATACCACTTAGACCTGCTTAAAATAATAGTTTGTGTTTTCATCGTCAGTGTGTCAAACTAAGTTGTAACCTGGCTGCCTGACTTGTTACTCGGGTTTGTGTACAAAGATGAAAATTACATGTGAGACAGACAGAAACATGGAACAGGGTGATTCAGAAAACACCATGTTGGAACTGAATATTTGGACTTTCAGACTTTTGAGTGACATGTTGTTATCGTCCCCTTAAAATCCCCCAAAATACCGAGCACTTTGTCCTTAAGCCTCATCATTTTTTTCTCCACAAACTTCTTATCAGACGCTGCAGCTCTGTTCACTCTCCCCCTCGGCCATCAGGTCACTCAGGAGGAGGTTCTCATTTGTCCATCTCACGCTGCTGTCCTGGCCAATTATTCTGATCTAATGTTCGCCCTGGCAGGCATCTGTGGTGACGCCAGATGCTCCTGCATAAAGCCGCCGGCTCCCAGTGTGGTTTTTATAATATTAAACAGGCTGCCTTCCTCAGCCGGTGCAGAGGAAACCTCACTGTATTGGCACAAGATGTGACACAGCATGGGCAGTTAGTCTAAGTGTTTGTGTATAAGCGAGTGTGTGCGTGTGTGTGGATTTGTGCGACTACAATCCAGCACTTGACGCTTCCACCCTTTACCCACATGCCCTACTGCTTATTGCTCTTCCACTGTGAAACCGAAGCAGCCCTATTCTGACCAGACCACAGCATCATGGCGAAATTATGTCTTTACTTAAAGCGAGAAACTAGATTTTAACTCATTTACTCTCCAGGGGGGGAAATAAACTCATTGCCTACACCCGAGTCAGAAGTTTGGTATGAAAATCAGCACGACTGATAACAGCCTCTGTGGGCTGATCAGACAAAGCAGAGATGTGTGTGAAGAGAAACTGAAGTGCATCTCCCAAGGTAGCGCGGACGTCGGTTGTTGCTAAGCACCGCTAATGTTGCTTAATAACAAGAAGCGCAAGCATTCAGACACTCGCTCTGACCAAAGGATGAAGCTCAATAATGGTCCCTTTCTGCCTCCTCCTCATATGAATCATCTCTAGAAAAGTCACAACAGACCCAGCTAAAGCATCTCCTCCCACATCAATTCATTTAATAAAATTACAGGACTAACCTCTCATGAATTGCAGGTTTGACCCTTTCTCTGCATCGCTGAATAGCTGGAAAGATGGAGCCTCCTACACCTTGAATATTTTCGATTAAATGATGAGGTTGAAGTCAGTGCGGTGCTTTGCTGACGCAGGATTTGTCATTGACATCTTCTGTCAATGGAGCGTGTGGAGGCTGCGTGCTTTGTATCTTCACTTCTTACCTCAATGCTCTTCAGAATCTGCTTTTTTCGTTCTTTTTTTCATGCAAGCATCAAATAACACAAAGCTGTGCGTCCTTGGCAAACTCATTTTGTCGGTGCCTGCAGCACACCTGCTATGTTGGCTCGTGTATGCGCAGTAAATTAAAGTGCAAATGGACAGGCTGGAAACAATGAAAATTTGAGAGGAGGTGTTTAAAGCTACAATTAGGGGTTTTTTACTGGTTGTGGAGCTGACTGAAATTAATATTAAAGTCACTCTATAACTGGCGGGTGGATCGGAGCCGCGTCAGCAGTGGTGCGGACGCTTAATCGATCAGTCATGGTGAAGAAAGAGCTGAGCCGTAAGGCAAGACTCTTGATTTACCGGTCGATCTACGTGCCGATTCTCAACTATGGTCATGAACTTTGGGTAATGACCGAAAGAACAAGATCACGGATACAAGCGGCTGAAATGGGTCTCCTTGGCAGGGTGGCTGGGCTCAGCCTTAGAGATAGAGTAAGGAGCTCGGACACTCGGGAGGCGCTCAGAGTAGAACCGCCGCTCCTCCACGTCGAGAGGAGTCAGCTGAGGTGGCTTGGGTATCTGGTTAGGACGCCTTCTGGACGCCTCCCGTTAGATGTCCCAAACACGTCCCACTGGGAGGAGACCTCATGGCCGGTCCAGGACCAGGTGGAGGGATTATATCTCTCGCCTGGCCTGGGAGCGCCTGGGAATCCCACTGGAGGAGCTGGTGGAAGTGGCTAGGGTGAGGGCCGTCTGGGCTTATAATCGGTGGGAATGCTCTGTCCACAGGGGGCACCAAAATTAACTCGAACCAAAAGTTCCTCACAGGACCTTAGAAACATTCACTGTCAATGCTCAGTCACATTACTTTCTATTCAGTGGTTGGGTTTGTTGCACGTAACCTCACATTATTAAGGCTCAGAATATTTAAGTGATAAATGACTGAAACCACTCAGTTGTTTTGATTTAGTGTCTCCTGAGTGTTGACCCTGTCTGTTTGTTTCCTTTCTTTGTTTCCCTAAACTCTGCCCTCATGAAATCACTGATTGGCAATTTGAAACCACTGGTCTGAGGTGTTTAAGTGATGCCTGCAGAAGTTAGAGGCAGTCTGAGTGGAGACTGTGGCCTCTCAGAGAGGGATTTTTGTTTTTCAATCATAATGATCCTCAGAGAGAGGAGGGTGTTCGGCTGGGTTATTTCAGTAAATGACCGCTGTGGTTTGAATTTGGTGAGTCAGTTCAACTTTTTCCAGATTAAAATAGAAACATGAATATAACATTCACATCAAACCAGCAGTGAAAATACCGTAATATGGCAGTTTTAAGATAACAGGAAATATTGGAATATCTTTATCCTGAAGATCTAGTAAGTTGGCAGCCTTGGTATGAAAACAGAGATGAGTTCAGCCCTACAGTGATAAAGTAAAACTTACTCCTCACTACTAAAACCTCGAAGTCGCAAAAAGACTCAGAAATATTAAATACTATACTGACCCCTCCAGAAAACCCTTTAAAAAACCCAGGTATTGCACTGATTAAACAAACATGATATTACACACTGAATAATGAATTCAAAGATGCTTTCAGGCAAATTTTGACACTTATGCTTTTAATGCCCAGCTAAGCTAAGTGGCTGCAGGCTATAAATTTCAGCATTCGTACAGGGGAGTGGGACTGATCCTCTCTTCTTACTCTAAAATGAATTATGTATAATCCAACATAAAGTATATTTGCATAATGTCCAGTTTTACTTTAAGCCCCCACATTGGTGTGTCTACACTTTATCTTTAATAGACTTATATCACATTATACCGTCTGGGTCTGAGTAGTTTCTGACAGGGGAATGGTGAATTGTCATGACAGTAGCACCCCTCCTTTGAATTCCAGTTTGGATGTGTGCTTTTGCTGTCTGCTTCTTTAGCGGGATATAAAAATAAAAGTCCATCTGTCGCTATTTCTCTTCCCGGGGGCTGAAACCCTCCTGGACCTGTCTCGTAACTAAACCAGCAGCAATTTAACCCACAGCAGACGTAGTATTGTGTTTTCCTTCTATCTCTGCAGGCAGGTCCTGGACAATACTTCTGCTAAGTGCATACGCACACTCCTGCAAATGTACGCATCTCCACTCACCGTCAAAGACAGCTGACATTTCATTCCAAACTCACCCAACAATCAAGGGATATTTTGACATTTCTATGTTGTATCTATTCAAGTGGTTTTCCCCTAAGTGGCTTTTAAGCACTGTTAGCAGTCTCCCAATAAAAGCCTGGGTTATACCTTGCTACAAGCACCCAGTTAGCTGTGCCTGTATTTCAAATGCTAATGATGCCAGCAAGTCACTTTAGGAGCAATAAAGCACAGATAGAGACACTTTCCTGCCCCCAAATGCAACAGAAAAATGAAGAAGTGCGTCTTAAAATGTCAAAGTGTCTGTGAAAAGAAGCTTGAAATAACTTATTCAGTCTGAAACTTTATCATTATGCAGCAGGGGAAAGTATACTGGACCCAAAAAAGAAGTGGTAAAGTCTTTCTTATACATATATATATATATATTTTCAAAGTAATTGTTGTGTTTACAAAAGGAAATCCTTGAAGATTCACTGCAGTCCCCACAAGGCTTTCACATTTGCATCCATCCATCTCCCGAAACTGGCGACTGACTATAAATCTGACACGCACTGTGGGAATTGATCTAAACGTGAGGTCCTTTACGACTGCGCTGGTTCTTTGAGCACCGACTGATGGGGAAAAT